CGTGAAACACAGTCAAAATCGGTCGCCATCCGAAACCAGTTTCATAACTGCTTGGTATTAACTTTTCCTGTTTTTTTTTTACGTTTCGGTCGGGCTTTCATCTGCCAAGTACCAAGTGAATGTCTTCTGTCGCCGAAACCGAAAAATCACAAGCAGTGATATCTAAATTGAAAAGTTTGAAGTTCCATGTTTTGTTTTCTGTGCGTCATTGATAATCAGACATTGTATATGCATGGTGATGTGTTTGAAGCGATATGTGGCGGTTCATCGTAATTACCCAGGATTTTAGCCAACAGGAAACCCAGTTAAAAATGTGCTCCTATAATTAATACATGTATAATACTTCTGAACAAGAGATTTTTTCATATCAGTGGTACAGCGTATAAATTAATATTTTGCCTCTGAACACAGCCATTTTACAAATACAAAACAGAATTATTAGTTATAGAATAAAGCATCATTTCAATAATTTTACACAAAACAAGACATTTTGAGAGTGTTCTATCTGTATGCAACAAAGGATCGAAAACTATTCATCACATTTTAAATAACGATATTTTGAATATGAATGTCTTCAAATACAAGTGTTTACTCTGTTCAAACTTTCTTGTTAGTTCAGGGTTTTGAGATCATCACAATTACATCCTACAGTCTTTAATCGGTGTTTGCTCTATAATACCAACCGAAGAATATTTTTGCTATATTAAAAGACTAGCCCACAATTATTTATCGCTAAAAGTTCTAGCGTAACGTAATACCGTATATATTTATCCTTTACCAAGAATTGGCCCAGGAACGCAACCATGGTTAAGACAAAGATTGTTAAATTTGTATTTATAGTGTCATATTTTTTCTAGCCAATCATACATAAGTTTTTTTTTTTTTTTTTTTCGGATTAGAGTATGTATGGTCTGCCTCGGATCAGTGTTACATATAATAACACGTCATACCCGAGTCGTATCGGTATTAAGCCTCGCAATCACATTGTCTCATATGCGGCGGTCAGATGGCAACCACTCATCACTTCCGTTGGGTTGTTTGATGGTGATACATACCAATCGTACATAAGTACCTATTTTGTCGGAACCGTGAAGCGAAACACAAATAAAACAGTCAATAATGATTAAAAGACTATCCCACAAATATTTATCGCGGCAAGTTCTATCGTAACGTAACACAGTATGTTCATCCTTTCACCAAGAATGGGTCCGGTCGTGCAGGATGCAACCATGGCTAAGACAATGACTGTTAAATATGTATTTATAGTGTCTTATTTTGTCCAACCAATTATACATAAGTACTTTTGTAGTCGAAACTTCAAGCGGAACACCAAATTAAACAGTCAATAATGATTAATTCATAGAAGCATGGGCAAAAATATACATTATGAGGAATCAATGTTAAATAATAAAACTGAATTAACTACTCACATCTTTGGTGTAGCCCTACCTAGCAGCGTCTAATTGTAAATGGCCTTGTTTGGAGTAAGAAAGGTTGTATAATACGCTGTATAAAAACAACCCTTAAACCTCCACGTGACCTCAAAAAAATAGTTCTTTTTGTTTTTAGTTTGGTGAATGATCGTGCACACTTATTTCGGTTCCATTACATTTGAACCCACGACAATTGTAACTGCATACTATTGCACCTATAAACATTTTTTTATTACGGATATTTGTTTGAACCCATACTAACCCTAACCCATGGATTTTAGCACCCGCATATTCATTGAACCCGCGGATATACGGGTGCAAATGTATGGGTTCAAATGTACGTGGGTTCAAATGTGCTGTCACCGTTATTTCTGTTACGAGTCTGTATATATAATTAAATATTTGACATTGAAACTGAGAAATCAACTAACATGAAAGATGTAGATTGTAGATCATACAAGATAACGTGACTTGAATATGAACGGTAAATAATAGTCTGGTTATTTAATGAAGCCTTCACTTTGAAAAGGCCCTGCAGAACATTCACTGATACCTCCGGCAAGACCGAGACATAGAATACTACTAATATGTAAGAATGAAATAAAGATGGGTGCAATGATACGTCTTCCACTTCTCTTTTTTGACAGTACGATTTCCTCATGCGATTTCTGAGAACTGTAAAAGAAAGAAAACCGTTGCTTTAACCACTAATGATAGATATCTTGTGACATGAAAAGGTGTGTTAGTTTCAACACTGGGAGTCAAATCCTAATTGCGTGGGCTGTTTTGACAATATCCTCTGATCTAACATTAACACGATTCTAATCTCTTAATTATAACACAAACACAATTACGTGTGAGCTAGATTTCAATGAGACGATCGTCATCGTAATACCACAAGAGACATTGACCGCAAATTATTAGCTTCATTTTTAAAGAGCATTTATTCGTATTTTAAGTACGCACTGCCTTTAACACGGATGGGAATTCGAGTATTTTAAGTTTATTTAAACATTACCTTACCATATTTCGTGTGTTTTTCATTTGAATGCACGAAAGGAAGTTTATGAGTCTTATATTCAAGAACCCTGTTAATTTTTTGTTTAAATTAGTCACTGCCAACGTTGAAAGAATCCAAATTATTGAAAAATGTTAATCAGTGTTTTTTGTAGTATATGATCTATTCTCTAAAACTAAGGATTTATAAGAACATAAATCGTGTATGCAAGCTTCAAGCCAAAAGAAACCTAGACCCGGGCTTTAAACGAATATACGATTAGAGCAGCAGTCAGAATAAAGCATCATTTCAATAATTTTACACAAATCAAGACATTTTGACTAACTAAGACCCAAGCGTGATCCATAAAGTGTGATTGTAATTCTGATTGATATACAGCAAAATTGCAGTGAATCGGACAGGTTTTGTTATAGTTTTAGAACGATGAATAAATGTACGACGACATTGTTTATCCAATGATGTTCGTACATATCCTGGACTTTTTATAACTCAGCATTGTGACCAAATTAGGTGATAAGGTACTACTACGCAAACACCTTTATCATAAGACAAAGAATAGAGTTTAATTAAAAGTTTAGAGATTAAGTATGTACAAACACAATACATGACAATTGAAATACAATAAAGTATATTGTTGTTGTTGTGTCTTCATATTACGTTGCTATGATTGGCGTAATACATGCGACAAGGACTTGGCCCTTTATTTTCATATTAAATGCTTTTTTTGTGCGGCTGTGGGTCGGATTCTGGCTTCAATTTGATCCAAACTGGGTCAATTTCCGGTTGGATTCTGAATGTAGGCCTCCAAAAAAGACTGGCCCTCTGTAACCTCCGTTCAGAACCGTTTTATGTCGTAACAGCGCTAATTAGTGGAGAAATGCGGATATATTGATTATGGTTACTACGTGGTTGGGGTCCAAAATGTGACCTTCGATATATTGCGGTAGCGGGCTTGGCAATTATTGAAAATGTCGAAATGTCCGTGTTAACGTTTTCGTGAAATCCTTACAATGAGTAACTTTGATAGATATGTAGTGTAATACAGTACTGCAAAATATACTTAATGCCCCTCCCCATCCCACAACTAATTTAAGTTAGCAATCAAAGCATTAAATAAACACGGTGCGGGTTGAGGTTCGCATTTTGATAACATTTAAATTAGTGGCTTTTTTACAGGAATTTTAACGGTAACTAAGATTTGATTAATGTTCAACTCTGCAACAGGGCTCAAAGAGCAGACGTCATTTTAAGACGTCACTAGGAAAATTGCCAAAGTATCAAGCGTAAAATAAATATGCTCTACGACCCTATAGTATTGTAGTCTTAGTCTTAGATGACGCAGACTACAAATCGCTCATGTGAGTTTGTCAATATATAACAAATAATTTTAATTGTTGGTTACTGCTTTTATTCAGGTTCTCGTTTTTTTTGACCAATTATGGCGTAACACATTGACGGAGTTAGAACAATGGGTGCAGCCCTACATCACACGCGTTGTATTGACGTCACGGGCCGAGCGCGATTGTTTACATTCTGAACGGTCTTCCGAATGTCTTGTGATTCAGAGTCATGTGATTTAACCCCTTATAGCCAATAGACAATGTTTCTACTAACAGTAGAATATTATAGTATAGTAGAATTATCTATTCCTAATAATGGGTTAATAATTATTACTCAGTATCATCTTGATTGTAAGTTCTGCAAGGTTTTTGACATCATATATTGCTGCAATATTTGGATTTTTTGGTTCGTTGCTATTATTCAGTTTGTAGTCACGAGATTTGAATAGATCTAACTATAGCTAGACGGCGTCGCCGTTTATGACTAAAGATTAAAAAATATCATTTTTCGCCCTCAGTAAAATGATTTGCAGCAATACATTGTGCATGCCATGAAACGTATTTATTCAAACATAACATTTAGTAGGCTTTTGTAGTTAGTTTCGGTCGGTACCGTTTGCGCGCGTCTTTCTGCTTTCAGAACACGAAATTTGTTTAATTGTTTTTCCATTATTGTACAAAAATACAAGCTGCTCACGGAAGGTACGCCTAATACATATCAAATGGTTGCAACACCCACGCCAACGCTAAACATAAGAAAATTATCTAGATATGGTTATGAATGCAGATTAAGCTGAAAATTCAAAATTTTAAACCCTTTCTAACCCCAACCCCAATCGCAAACGGATAGTTACTAATTTATTATTTCAAAACATGGAGGGCTTGTTTTTCTCCAATTCATGATTTTTGCATTAGTGGTGGGGGCTTTGTGCGAAAGATCCAATATTAAATTGAAGAGGTCATTTCAGAAAAATAAACTTGTGGAATTTATGACTTTTGGAGAGAAGTTTGAAAGCTCGAACGTAACTCCATTTCTGATTGATATACAGTAAAATGGGACAAATTGTGTTGGTCACAGCGCAAAAATTGGTACGACTATACATTACTTATATAATATGATGTAATGATGTTTCGACGCTTCGCTCTTATCGCAGACTTATTATAAGTTACCATGATGTCCAAATTAGGCACGAAATATTGCTTTGCAAACACCTTTATTGAAAGACAATATTAGTGATAGACAGTATTAGTGTGCACAAACATGAACAAGACATATAACAATTGAAAGACAAATCCTACACAAAGGGATATTATTTGTTACGCCACACCCATCATAACTAAAATTCCATTAGCCACGTCGCGAAATAAAATGATATTATGGCGTCATATGCCTTGTTACGACGTCGCATTTTGCTGAAGTATTTCCCATTGACTGATATAATACCCGATTTATCTACGGCCTGTAATGAGGCCATAAATAAACAGTATTATGGAAGCACGAACTATATTCATAGTCGTTATTTCCTTTATTAATTTTTCGACTTTTTAAAATAAAATAGTACAAAATAATAATTATATCATGTATTAATTAAACGGTGAAAGGTAATTTAAAAGCCATTACACAAAATATTAGGTACATATTTAAATTTCGTAAAAATGTAAAAATAAAAAAAATATAATGTACGTTGAAATTGTGCGAAGCTAGTTACTCGCCAGGAGCATTCAGAATCAGATCTGCTGTGTCTTTAAAATAAATAAAGCAATAATATGATTAATGGCTCCTAAAAAAATATTAACACAAAATTTACATAATGTGCCTGTCGTAATGTTGAGCATGTTGATATATCTTCATTAGTTTAAAAGGTAAGCTATCAGATATAAAATGTAGGATGGTATTTTACTAAGTTGCCTATTAAAATTTTAAAATAATTAAGAACTCAAAAGAAACACTGCGATCCAACCGCTCAAGAAGATGCAAGTCTATCTTAAGAAAGTGGCTAGTACAAAAGTAATAATTGGGTTTAATAAAAATATTGGTAATTATAAAAACACGGAATTCCTCATGCAGTCGCTTTCCTGATACAAATTAGTGAGAGTCAGCGACTATTCGGTCTTTCGTCGGTACATTCATCCAAATCGGTTGGAGTCATTGTGAGATAACAGTGTGCGCGAACAATCAATTTCAGTACGAACCAGACGTTCAAAGCTTATTTAAACTATTTGCTTAAGGTTCCATACGTATCCTCGAAAATATCATCGAATTCAATTTATCTCAAGAACCGTATTCCAAACCAGTGTATTATAGTGACCCATGACCCGTGTGTATTCGTGCCTTAAGGTGACTTTTAAGTCTGTAGGTATTCGCATGTAGGGCAGCCTAATAAAATAGCAGTACAGAGTAATATCAGTCGCTTTACCTGATGAAATTTGTGATAGCAGTATTTGTTGGTGCATTCACACCTTATTACAGTCAGTTTTTCGCGTATAATGTTTGCTCACAAACCATACCACTCGCACTTTAAGTAGTCGTCATCAGAGTACTTTATATCATCTACGACAATACGGACACCGCATCAAATTATTCATCAGCTGGCACAGTCTGCAGAGTAGAGGTGGATGAGTGCAGAAAGGGAACGGAACAGTAGCTATTCGAGTCCGGCATTCAACACAATTCAGTAGGACTGAAACCAAGACGGACGACCTGGAAGCAAATAATATAAGCAACTTTATGTTTATCGTTTTTCACTAACGAATCACCGATATAAGACATATATAGTTAACTAATATGATAGCACTTATATCCTACTGGATATATTCTCACCTCAAAATGTCGTGGCCAGTTACAATAGATATGGCGTTCAATGGTCGTTCCCGTGGGCAGCAAGCACAAGACTGTTCTGAAATCTCACAGTTGTGACAGAGGAGCGGCGGATGAATAGACTTGCAAGTAACAAATCCAACATTGGCAACGTCTCTCAAACATCTCACGCAGTTCAATAGTCTGCACATTACCGGTAGTCTTAAGAAAAATATATAACTTAGGATAGACTGCAGTTAAATAGCAGACACAAATAACTCGTTCGAGACAAGCAAGTGGAGATTAGTACAACATATCAACAGTTCTGTTTATCTAATCCAGTCTGTAAATAGCGAGGTATACAACAAATACGAGACCTCAAGAAGTATGTGCACCAAGATGGCGCACAATCTGAACATAGTATGTGTACCAGGTTAGGGTTCAGACAGTGCGCCATCTTGGTGCACATACTTCGGGAGCGCCCAAAATACATGATACCCTAAAATTCAAATTCTGTTAATTAACGTAGACGGCCAGAAGGAGGGCTGTTGTGTTAGGGTACAGTTTGTTCTGACAATGTGCAATTCTGCTCCAATATTTGGATATTCCAACAGGAATGACTCCCACAACACTAATGCCGGTGAGTGATATGATAAAATGCGACAACTGGGATAAAGTGTCGCTTATAAGTGCTAGTATAGCAACTAACCCCCAAATGTATCCCATTTCATGTTGAAATCATCAAAACAAAGTTAATTTTTCCCAAAATTCGAACAAAGACTTTCGTAGGAATCAAATTACACCAGTTTTAAGAACATAACATGTTCCACCTAGTCATTATCAAATTAAAATTTATATTCTCAAGACCTTTGGCACTGATTGAAATAATGATTGATGTTTCAGATACTTGCACATACGAAAGAGCACTCATATGCAATTGTAGATATATCGGTTGCTGATCTATTCTCAACAATAAAAAAACAGAAAACACGCCACGACATCCTCTTACCTTTCTGCGATAGCAGAAGATGTTGGAATTACATCTCCAGTTGGATTTGTAAGAAGCCTTCGGTGATAGTTTATCCACCTGCGGCAGAAAGTGACTAAAATTCCCATGAAGTGGAATTGCCTCCATCGTTCTTCCCGACGTGAAGCAACGTGTTGTCGACTGATGTTTAGCCATCTTAACGCATACGTTACTGTCAAGGACGTGCTTCGCATGCTTAAAAATTAGACGTAACATGTTCACTAAACTACCGGTAGACTGAAAATAAATTTCACATCAAAATATCGAGTATAAAAATCTTGCTGTAGAAAAATTTGTGCTGCTTATATAAATTATGAGTCGGCTACATTTTGCATTTCGACAAATAAAAACGCAGTAATCCGTTCATGGGCAATTGTCACGTAGAAGGGTCATCAGATAAAATAAAAAAAAACATTTAGTAATTTGTCCTCACACAAAACTTTTGCTGTAAAACATTCGCTGTATACTCTTGATTAATATTACAAATTTTATATATGTGTGCTCAAAGCAAGCTCTCCCAGGTTGAACTGATGGATGAAATCTTTGTTTTTACTGGGTTCAGAGAAACATGCCACTGATTTTCAATATATTTTGCAAAGTCAAAAAGTTGTTGCTTATTCGATTCTATAACAACGCTTACATATAGAATTAATTGTGTCTTGAAGAGATTTGAGCAAATTGCTTATGAGGTATCTAGTCATAAATAAATATAAAAGCGATGTAGGCCCACGAATTGCGTGTTCCCCAGAAGTGTTTTTGGTTTAATGTTTATCCATTTTTTCGTCTTGGAAAAGTTTAACGACATGGCAGATTGCCCAATTTGCGTTCTACTATTCCGCGGAGGAAATAATTTTAATAAATTACCCAGGATTATTAATTTTTACACTTATCTGGTAATATTATTCTCTTTATTTTAAAGCCACGCCAGAAGTGATCAAGCTGCGCCTTGGATAAATAAAAGTTTTTCCAATGGGCAATGTTGACTAATCTTCTATTTTCTTATCCAAAAAATAAACAGCATATTTTCAAACAAACTATGGTACCTGGTAAGATTATGGTTTGCCAACACAGCGGTCTGATGGTTTCTCCATCGCAAAGCCATCATAACAGTACGTGCTACTGAATGCATAGAATATCTCCTATTCACATCTTGCAACCTGGAAATAAAAACGTCGTCGTATTTAAATCTGTGTAAACCTCGCTGTGTTGACTTTAAAACAAAATACAGTAAATGAAAGACATTTGAATAAACAAACCATGAATATGGTTTATTATCCCTCTTTGAAATAATTACTAAACAAATCGGAACAATCTCAGGTGTCACCGACCCCTCGATCAACGCTAGGGTCATTACTAAGATACAAAAGATACCACCGTTCTTACCGTCGTGCGGCGAACCCTATTTTATGTTAAGACAAATTTTACATTGTTTGAAGGACAATCTTGGAGACTAATCATAATTCTGAAATTAAGATAAAATGTATTAAGATAAATGCGTGAACATTTTTCAAATTAAATAACAAAAACTTTGATTTGTTCTTGTTTTAACCCAATACAGTATCGACACATTTGTAGCGGTTAAAGATAGCTCTAAAAAGATACTATTAGATAAATATTATGGTGCACCAGTAAAATTGTATAGTAGGGCGGGGGATGATGGCCCCCCTTATTGAAAATTATCTCTATTTCGAAAACCTTTCTTCAAATATTCCTAAAACTTTGCAAGTACAAACATAAGGGGCTGAACTCTTTAGCCACTCGGCGGCGTCCGCCGGCCTCCAACCATCGCAACAGCAGAAACGTTTTTAAACGAAAAAAAAATTCGGGGAAGTTGGACATATGGTCGGATATGACGGACATGTGATAAAATCGCATCAAAATACTAGTATTGCGTTCTGTTTCTTATCAGAATATCAAAATAAGCAATGTATTTGGAAAATTTTTTGGGGCATTCGAAAACTCCCCCTATGTCCATCTTACCCCTTAAATTTTTGAAGTTGTGAACCCATATAATTGTTCACGAAAGTATGATAAAACACCACCTAGTAAAGCAGCCAAATTTTATTTGATCATACTTTCATCACACACTTAATCATCACACCAAAAGAACATCTGGGATAGCATGAAAGCTATCGTCATGGAATTTTACATTCGAATGAAAATATTTATACAAAAAAGCTTCAAGCAGAGCAGTCATCACATTGGAAGGACACAATGTGTTTTCCATACATCCCGGCACAAATATCGTGAAGCCACTTTTGGCATTTCTGGCACTGAATCCATCCTTCGTCGTCAAAAAAATTGCCGTTGCAGACAGCACAGAGGTTACTGTAACAATATCTTTCATTTGGCTCATTCTTAGTTTATTTTCTTTTTTCTTCCTGGGAGCTGCAACTTTCTTAGACGAGCTAGATGACATCGTTTCTGCGAGTGCTGTAGTTCTTCTGAACGAGCTAGGTGGCGTTGTTTCTGCGAGTGCTGACAGTTCGGCTACATATTTCTCACTTGTTAACACTCTAATTCCCGCCTGAATGGCTTTCTTTGCCACTTTGCTCTCTGAGTGGCTACTGGAAGAGGCAAATATATTCAAATGATAAACTGGTGCTATCAGGTCTCTGCTATTTTCTTGCCTCAAAGAATCACTGACTTTATCAGAAACTAACTGAACTCCTGCTGAAGTTCTACTTGAAAAAATCGTTAGAGAGCACAGAGCAGCATGGTTCACATGTGACACTTCTACCTCTGTCGTGGTGTTAACCTCATGAGATGGTACATCGTAGTCTCTATTTGTTATTTGCCTCTGTTTGATATTCTTTGGTATTTTCTCAACATTCTTTAGGATTTTCTGTTTCCCGTGCATCCAAAACTTGCATCTGGAAAAACATGATAGAACATAAGGGTAAGATGGCCACCCCCCATAATTTCATAAGATTATTGAGATTATCCAAGAAGTGTTTTGACAGGTAAAAGCAATAACAAAATTAAAAAGAAGACTTTCTGGTATCTTATTCACAAAGAACGGGTTTGAACGGTCAAAGTAAATATAAGCCCGAAAAACGCAAAAAATTTATTACCCCCTCATAACCCCCCCATTTTTACATGATCACATGCTGAAAGATATAGTTAGCTGCTAGATGGCACAAGTCGCTCAGTTAGTCCTAAATCATTGTCAGTAAGTATAAACTTACCAACAAACGCGCGATTCAGAGTTCCTTCGCTGAAAATGAGCATATAGTGCCTCCAAGAAAAACGTGTCCTTACTAAATGCCCTTTTTTCACCCTTCAAAAATCACAAGCCACGTGGAAAGCTACACAACTGACGAACTACGCCAACCGCTGAACCGAAATGGCTAGAACGAATTCCCTCCTTAGCAACGAACTCGGCAATGGCATTTGCAGAACCAAGCCCCATAAGATGTCGCCAATAAGTCAGTTTGAAAAAAAGTGTCCATCTAACCCCGTGTGTCTATCTTCCCCCGCCCTACTATATAAGCAAGTTTATTCAATGTTTTCCACAATTCGTCACATGTCCGCTGCGCCAACTTGACGTAAACAACGATGTTCCTTAATTACTGCGTTACGCAATTACGTCGCTACGTAGCAGCTCAGCGTTCCTTATGAAAAAGACATTATATATCGACTTCCCTCGCAAGTGTGTAACGTCATTGACCCAAGGTCATACGTTTAAAGTGAGTATCATTTGAACTGGTATTATGATGCCTGTTCACACCGAGCCGAACGTTTAAATCCTGCGGTTCACATTATTCATTCCAGGGGATAATGAAATGTTCGAATTTTCTCGGAAAAATTTGCTTGCTCCAACGAGGTGTTCCAACAGTTGCTCAAAACATTATAGAATGTAAACGGTCTCACTGATAGCACATTGTGCAGCCTTATGAATTTCATCAAAGCGTACAAATTTTACGTTATAAAGTACAAAATTTAAAGACCAGTCACCACGACTGGTGTTACAGCTCTTATCGACGGATTCTTTCGCGTCGCAAAATGTATAATATTCACCAGGTGATCTAGTGAGACCAACATCTCTTCCACGTTTACGTTGATAACACTTGTTTGTAATTTTAACGATATTTAACAGCGAAAAATTAGCCTTGATGTTTCCGGCGGAACCCCATTAACATGCGTGGTTCAATTTTTTTGGTCCAGCCATTTAAGTTGCGATCCATAATCAGATAACAAACGTATATATGGCCTTTGTTTTTTAGAAATTAATATCTATTTTCAATCAAGATTCGTTTGAATAATATAGTTGTCTAGCTAAATCGCGGCCGATGAGAACGACAAAATGCGTGATAGCGTAATCTAACTCACGTGAAGCATTACGCAGAACAATGTCGCTTGAACGTCGGTGCCTAATTAAACTTTGCGTCGTTACGCAAACTTAGCTTCTAATCGTTCACCGATTTTGTTCATAAACCGTTGGAATCAAAAACACACATTCTTCAATAAAACAATTTTTAACGTAAACGTAAGCTAGAAAAGACATCCGCACATCCCCTGAAAGGTAGTTTTGTATCCTTTTAAAAATCATAGGACATATAGCAAATTTAGATGAAAAATCCATAAATAAACTGTCAAAACTTATTCGAATACAAAAAAATTAGTAAATGGAACTAAAAATAGGCTTACATATCTCATCAAAATTTCTTGTAATAAATGATGTTAGTTATGAATAAAAGAAAAAATAGGCTTTCAAATGAGATATTTCAGACCATCCGATAAATAAGGGTTTAGAAGTTACATTGATGTAAAAAAACGAATATTACGAATTTCAAAGCGTCGAATTCATGCGACACCGTGGGAGTCCAGGGTGGGAGAGTAGCGTCGTTCTGGAAACTCAGAGTTCAAAGAATTAAAGCAAATGTTACTGCCATTGATGCAGATATCATACTGAAAACAAACGTCAAAGAGCTAATTGTATTATAATAATAAATGGTGACTTTTTTGCATTGGCGCGTTGTTTTAAGGCAAAGCAAAAGTTTAATTTCTTATTTTAAATAGAGTGAACTTGTCTACAATATATATATATTGTTACTCACATATATATATATAAATCACTATTCCTTACCTGGTGTGGTGATTTCTAATCAATGGGGCGACGACCGTTGGATGTCTTTTCCATTTTAGAGCTAACAGAACAGTACGGGCAACGCTGTACATAGAAGGCATTCTTAAGAGCTGCCAATCATATAGTAATCTAATGCAAAAGAAAAATATGATTGTATACATAGTTGCGTCAAATTGAATATCAAGAATCACACCTTTCACCCAATGCATGTAACGGGGTATATTGCAGGCTTATCGCTCTCTACGCCCCATCAACAAGCTTAATCTATACAACAGTCGAAACGCTCTCCAATAATCTGCAACGCCACTCTTTTTCTGAAGTTATTCTACTAGAATAAACAAATTTTTTGCCAAGTGCGCTCTTTATTATTATGTCTACTCAAAATTTATCAAGCAACTGACTGCTGCTTCCGAGTCCATTATGTTTTTGATAATGTCATCCAATTACAACGTAAATAGCACAAAGGCTATATTTTAACTTATGATGTAACCTATTCTATTTAAATTTTATTACATTCAAGTCAAGTTGCCAAAAAATCGATTTTGCGTTTTGTTGTATCTGGACTCAATAAGTGTTGCGTCTGTCTCGTTCAAACGGAACTAATCTGAAAAAAATATGCAATACCGTCAGTCATTCGAAGACAGACCGTCTATTTTTATACATCGTAAATATCATGCTTCAAACAATCTGAGAAAATGCATTATTTTGAAGTAATCGCGGTCCTTATCGTTGTATTGGGTATTGTGGAGTAAATTTGAAACAAACGGTCGTGTATACAAACAATACGAAACGAGTCCACAACCATTTTCTGCATACCGGTATCCTTTTATTAAAATAAAATCATTACCTTTAAAAGCCAGTTATATAACCTAAAATAATACGCATAAGTTCTGCAATCGTCTCATCGAGCGCTTTCGTTTCGTCTGTAGAGGAAGAGCATTTGAATGGAAGGAAATTACATACAAGTTAAAAAAAAATGTTTTTTTACATTTGTTTTTTCTGTAATTCAATTATTTAAACACATCATTGATTTTTGACGTTATATTCTAAATCTAGTCGTTACTGAGCCTTTCAAGTAAGATTATCAGTATTTTGATCATTCTTGTACTGGTATTTTACAGTTTCAGTACCAGGTGCATTACCAAGGATTTTTTCGAGATTATTATGTTCAACCTTGTAAAATACTAGTAACGAATGCGAAAATATTAGCAGTTATACTTCAAAGTACCAACGAAAGAAATATGTGTACATGGTTAACATTTTTGTGGGGTAGTGAACATCTTTAGTAGGTGATCTAAAAATTGAACATTCTGTCTATAATATAGACTCTATATATTACATAGTAATCTGAGAGGCATTTTCGAAAATGGCCTCTCCATTGAAAATAATATAATATAAACTGGAAATTGACCAATCATAATATAAACTGCTCACTTTTCCTCTTATTCTATTAACAACAGAGTGGTAACGTTACTGGCAGACTTAAACACAGATAACAAGTCCAGCGTTCAACAAAAACGTTTATTTTAGCAAACAATAAAAATAGAGCTCTTTTAATACATCTATGAGATATAAAATTATCATTTAATAGTATACAGGAAGGATAAACATTGTTACTTGAATGCGGTACGTAGGTACATATTCATAGCTATCGAGGTAAATAAAGTCGCCCAAACGCAGCGTGATAAACCATACCTTTATTATCAAATACTCGACATTGTAGGATAGCGCAAAGTTCAACATGCATACTTGCATTCATTTTTGAATAAATGTGACTTCGTATTGGCGTAAAAACAGGGATGCACAATATAAAATGAAGATATATAACAAATCATTTTTGCGGTTTCTGAACTGTGCAAGATAGAATGATGAGAAGAGACGCTAACACAACAAAAAATTTAAACTTTAATTCCTCAGTATACATTAGTTATTGTTCTATCTTTGCGAAAATTGCTTCACTTTGCTTCAAGTATTCCCTACTTTGGATTTATGAAAACATGACTAGCAACCAATTATCTCAGGCGTTAAATAGTTCTCTTAGATATCACAGACCGTATCAAGTACTCAAATCAAAATCGGTACTCCTGAAGTATATGCGCACCAAGATGTCGCACAACCTGAACCCTAACCTGGTACACAACCTGAGTTAAGATGGTGCGCCAACTTGATGCGCATACTTCAGAAGGTCCTCTAAATCTATATTACCTCAAAATGTACCAGAAAGAATTTAAAATCAACAATACTGTTACAATGCAAGCATACTACTTCGAACACTATCATATATATAGCTCAGCTTACAGCATGATATATCATCCGACTAGCGACTACACAACGATTGTCCGACGGCAGTGTTGAACTAATAAAGAAAATTCGTCTTGAGTTACATCTACGCTAGGGGAAAATGGAAGACTAATATTTACCCAGACATATTTACCGTGTTTAGGGAGTGGCACACAATCGATAGTAATAACTCATGGGCGATTCCAGAGAGTATGTAAGTAAGTTAGTACACAAAAATTTCCCAAATGAATGGTGCAATCTTTTTTACGAACAAATATTTTTATATTTAAATAAATCTTCAATTTCATATGTATCAATAAATAAACTATTTCTATCCAGGAGTTACATTTGAAATAGAAAACAATGGAACAATACGTTGTAGTTTTAAACCAAAACAACCTAGTTGTAATAGAAATCGTTCGGTATGGGCGGGATTCGAATTGCGTTTCATTTTAGCAAAGAAGCATGTTAAAAGAATACATTTGTAAACTGTTGTAAAACAAAACAGCACACGTCCCTAACGCCGATTAGTTGATTCAATATTTAGAATCAGAATCATTTCTGAACTTTAAGTAAAAATTTTCTAGATTGGTCGGATAGGACATGAGCCGTGCCCGTACTCGTACCTAAAAATAAGCCACTTTGCTCTTCCATGTTTCATCTTTTGCTTTCACCAACTCTGATAATTCGACTGAGAACCTCCGTCTAACTCAAAATGCGCCTACGGCAGTTAAATCGCTTTACCGTGATGTGTTGAAAATTGTATAACGCACATTCGAATTTGGTCTTTCACTGCTTTCAATTGCCGCAGTTATTCGGCTGCAATGCCTATTAGGTCATATTTGGTTGCTTTCAGTGCGAAAAAATTTCCCCAAAATATCCAGGTTCAATGCTGGATGGTTGGTGTCTCACCGTATTGACTGGATCCGTTTCATGTATCGCTTCAATAAATGTTTAGTGATGCGTCATTCGCCTCTACCCGTATTTTTTCTGAGTGAGTGCTCGTGACTTTGCTTTGAACAATTTCTCATATTTTAACTAGAACGCCTTAACTAGAAAAGCCTATTAGCTCATACCTAGTTACTTTTAGTGCGAAGAAATTTATATCTGATTTCCCCAAAATATTGCAGTCCAATACTGGATGGTTGTTGTCTGATCGTATGGATCACTATAGACCGAATCTGCTTCATGTATCGCTTCAACAAATATTCAATCCGTATCCGCTACCCGTATTTTTGCTCACGGATTAGTCATGGGTTAGTGACCGTGACCTTGCTTTGGACCAGTTCTCATATATTAACCGAAAATGGTAGAATAACAACACTGATCAGCTAATGAATAGGAAATGGAAAAGTTTTACCTTGGTAGCCATCAAAATATATTTCGACGTTTTTGTGCTTTGGTTCTGAATATCATTTCATCCATTCGCCATTTCTATTTTCGAACCTAGTAAAATTCTTTACCTAGTAATATAATATATAGATTTTTTTCAATAAGCATATTTACTTTTTCACGTATCCGCGTTTTATTGTTTCCTGTTTTAAAAGCTATGTATTTGAAGCAATAAATTCATTTTACCTTCCTATGTCGTTTACTTTCTGTTACATTCAGTGTTCTTTTACGATCACTTAGTTTTATTTTAAGACAGCAATTTGTTTTCGTGGAAGTGCGCGTAAGTTTTCTCCCTGATAATTTGGCGCCGCACTAACAAAAAGTTTTGAAACCGCAGGCTTAACCGATTGGTATATATAAAAATGTAAACGACTTCTTCGGGTGTCTCCAAAATGTCGTATCCCCCTTGTCCCACTTGTACCACGTGTCCCACTTGTCGCACGTGTCCCACTTGTCGCACGTGTCCCACTTGTACCACATGTCCCAATTGTACCACTTGTCCCGGAAAACGTGTCCCACTTGTACCACTCTTGTAACACGTAAGTGGGACACGGGACAAGTGGAACAAGAGTGGTACAAGTGGGAGACGTGGTACAAGTGGGGCAGGTAGGACACGTGGGTCAAGTGGAACAAGTGGGACACGACATTTTGGGGACACCGAACTTCTTCCATCTTCAATCACCGACGAGCAATAGCGACAACGCGCACTGTATGACCTCACAAATTCGTTCATCACCGCAGACTTTATCAATTTTGAGCCTGCCGACTTGAGGACTGATGGTTTGCTATGCTTTAATTAAAGTTTAAATACTCAGGTGATTTGGAATCTGCGTGAAATTTGAGTCGTGTAACAACAAATTGATTGATATTTATAGCGTTAAATTAGATATTGTGAACTGCCCAATAAATAGCCTATCAACAGATGAAATTTTTGAAGATTGGGTTATTACTTATCGATTCTAATCGGTAAGTATGTTGATAGGTATTTGTCTGTTTATCTGTCTGTTTGTCTGTTAGATGCACGCGATATCTCACAAAATTGAGATCGAATCTGCTGCAGATTTTGCATGTGCATTCATCATATCTCGGACCAGTAGCCTATTGATTTTGGGCGAATTATGTCGTATAATTAGCGAGTTATTAATTAATTAGTGATGGGACACAAGGTGTCACTATGGAGTAAGAGCGCTGTTTTGGGGGATCCCCTAACTTTCTATCGATAAGTCTTCGGTCTCTGACCGATATTCTCGTTTGGATGTTGGTATTGCTACCATTGGATCATTAGGCTGTTACGCGTCTGCGTATGTATAACTGTTATTTAGTCACTGCTATGACTCGGGTTAGGCACAACAGGTGGAGATTTATTTGCTCACCTTGTTGTGACGTGCAGATTGTTTATAATTTGGCAAAATACAAATAATTCGATAAAAATGTCGTTCTTATCTGAGGTAATTGGAGCCGTTACTTCAAGAGTCGCTTAACATGGACTATTTGATACTATACCTCAGTCTAGAAGAGTCTAATGAATTGAATTATTTTGCTAAATAATCGCTGTTGTTGTAAAGATTGCTGATGTTGCAATATATCACCTTTTTCTACAGCCAGTAGACTAAGTTTTTGACAATCAAAGCACGATTAGCTTACGTATCTTGCCTGTAACTAAAATTTTGTATTTTATGGAATAAAAAATTGACGTCATAATAAACATTAGTCAATGACATTATATTAGATTTTTGTGACGTGACGTGATTGTAAAAGATGGGCCTAACAAACAACCTAGCGCCTCTCATTGTCTAAATCTGTCTATGTGGTCTGACCGGTGACCGTACATTTGAACCCACGTACATTTGAACCCATGCGTATATCCACGGGTTCAATCTATATGCGGGTGCTAAAACCCATGGGTTAGTATGGGTTTAACTATCCGTGAAACAAAAAAAATCCCATAGGTGCAATTGTCGTGGGTTCAAATGTACGTGGGTTCAAATGTAATGGAACCGGTCTGACCGACTACCAATAATGTGATGCACAGTTTAGAAGGCAAATCCTGGCGAGAAAGGAGTACTTTGCAAGTATCTTTGACACGAAAAAAAAACTCCCAAATAGTTTCCGTCACGGATTTCTATCGAATTTCATGACGAAGGTAATAACAGGTTAACTTTTGCAGCTCCAGAAGGGTGTGTAGGAGGTATGGAGGTAACTAATTTCGTTCGCCTTTTTACATCGAGTTGTGTGAAGGGACTGAAATCTACGAGCAGGGGGTATATTCACTTGGCTAACACAGACAGTACCCGAACTCGTAATAGAACTAAAATAAGGAAAATCGGAATGAAATTATGGCCTAACCTTAACCTAGTACACACACCACGGAAGTACCTAACTTTTTACGTGGATTCGTGAATGTCCCTCCGATTTGTTATCGTAGAATTTACATTCGTATTTTCAGATTATATAGAAAATATACTCTTGTACGTGTGTTTTATATTTTATTGCATCTTTTTATACAATACTATAATCGGTGATCATCAAAATAATCACTGAAATCACAAATTATGAACAATTTCATATAGATATAAACAGATGTAAGTAATTTAATTAAAGATTAATCGGCAGATTTTCTCTCTTAATATCCCAATAACATTATGGCAACTTTAGTGGTGCAGACAGTTTAGACCAAAGTACCATAGCAGTTGTCCCCATAACATTCTGGAAATGGAAAGATACTTGGTATGATGTTGGTTTCTGTTGTGCATTCAAAGTGAGTCCCATCAGGCCCAGGGAATGTCATCTGGAATATAAATTGTTGTTACAAATCCACAAGTTTGTATTAAGTTCGTAATAGACCCGATTCACATACAAAAATGTTAGCTATCCCACGTAGTCATTTTATTATTTTTGGTTATTCCAATATTTCGGCATCGATTCGGGAAATAGAGGAAGCGTGTCTCAAAAATGTCGTGTCCCACTTGCCCCGTGTGTCTCACCTGTCACCCTTTTCCACTGCTGTCCCACTTGCGTTTGGTACGGGACTTGTGGGGAAAATGATGCAATCGGACAAGTGGAAAAAGAATGTGTCGAGTGAGACAAGTAATGCCATCGATACATCCGCGTGGGAAATGTGGGACACGTGATAATATTTCTTAACGACGTAGTCGTAGAGGGAGTTAATTAAAAATAGTTTAGCTGTGCATACCTGTATAAAGAAAGCTCTCCATCCACCTTGGAAAGGATTATCTATTTCTGCTTTGTAATGGAATTCATCTATTTTAGTAGCGTTTGCGTGAGCCCACAAATTAACCTGAGGCGTTGGTCCGTTGGGGCCTCCTTTGAGAAGACGAAAATCTCTCCTAAAATAGAATATATTGCTCTGCCATTAAATATAGCCAGATAGAAAATTGAATAAAGTGGTGCATATACGTCGAACTAAAATGTAGGTAACAGGCTGTGTGCCACAATACAAACTGAGATAACCTCGTTTTAGATTCCGAAACAGCGTGGAAATATCTGACAAGTACAGGTTTGGTATCCATGGTTACTTCAATAATTCCACCGGTTGCTGTACTTGCAAATGTCCAAGACACTTGTGGAAGTGTGAACCCCTGCACAAACAGTGTTTAAACGGTAAAAATATAAGTTGAAAAATTAAAATGGGTAAAGTGGCAAATAGAAGGGACGGATAGAAAATGAATGAATAAAAGAAAAAAAGAAATGAATTGAAGAAAGAATAATGTAATAAGGAAGACGAAAATAAAAATCAAACTTTCTCTACCTTCATAACACTAACATAAAACGCTTTTATGTTGAAGAAAAGTTGCAATTCGTGCCCAGCACAAGAATGTTCAGCATTTGGTAACATATTCACGTAAGTTGGTCCTTCCATCTCAGTCAAATAGTAATGAGAATCATCAGGAAGAAAGAATTCGTCACCACCAGAATTAAATATCATCTTAGGCATAGTCAGACGATCTTTGTAAGCTGAGATATTAATCATAATTTAATTAGCAGTAGTCTATTTGAAACTTGTAATTAGTTTAAAATTAAAGTTCAAAATTCCTACAGTTGTAGTTCAAAACGGAGAATAGATTAATTATTACAAGCGTGAGCATCAAATCTTACAAATGGGATCCACAATATCTGCCATTTTCTGTGTGTTAGGGTGATCTAAATCTCTTGTTATATTCTGTTCGTAATAATCCTCCATTGCAAAAGACCATCCACCGTATGCTCGGTAATGATGATGGAGATTCTAAGAAATCCAAATGTAAAAAGGATGGTTTAGTACAGAGTCATATTGCGCTACAGTTTTGTGATTAGGATGAGATTGATCTCTCCCGCGGTTCAGTGGCATTGGAAGGAAAATACGGGCTTCACTGATAGAATTTCAATAGCCTTTAGAGTTCCAAAAACCCTTACATTAGATTGAGACGCAGAGCTGTTATTTCACTTTCATTTTCGAACTAAAAAGTGTAAGTACCCAAACTGTCAAGTTTTGACTATCCATTGTATGTTGTTTCTATGCTTCATAGAAATGTTTCTATGAATTAAAATAAATATAATGTCCGATTCGATTCAAAAGAACATAGCAAATAAAAGTAATAGACTTCTAAGGACTCCATTAGCCATTTTTCAAGCAATGAAATCGATTTAGTTAGTAAATCGATTTAGCCTCCTTTAGTTGAGGGGGAAAGAAATATTTCACTAAACAACTCGAAAAAAAAAACTCTCACCCAATAGAGGAAATGGTATGTTACTCATAAACAAAAAATGTTGAGTAGTTATAAATCAGTTACAGTCAAAACCATTTCATTATGTACTTACCGGAACCATGTTCAATACGTCAAGGACAATTGGAGTAATGCATTTCACTCGTTTGTAATCAACGGCGCCGGTAGTCCAAGTAGTCCATCCACGCTATGTAACAATACGTATATATATATATAAATATTTACAAGTATCAGTAAAGTAAAGTTATTTATTAGCAGTATTAAGAGCACCCAATTATGTACATATGACAGCTTATATAAATTTTGTTTGTAGTAAAGATGTGAAGCATTTACGCTTCTTGATTAAGGCATAACAAATTTACCTTAGATGCACCGCCAACACAATAGTTTTCAACGACTTTTCCAACAGTTTTGTTGACGAAATCAGTAACTGCATCCATTGCCTTCACTGATGCTTTTGTCATGGGCATACGTAGAAGCCATTCTGGCTTTGTAGGATCGTCGATGAAATGTCTGAGACAGATTTAGAAATTTAATTCAATTGTTTTACTACTAATTTACATGAAATTTTCATACTTTACCTCCAGGTATACGCGATTATTCCATCTTCCGTTCGTGATTTCTTTTCAGGGTCTTCTTTGAACATCAAATGCTCATTTGGAATTTGTTTCAAATCCGCAGTTACGCTAATAAAATCAAACTTTTGTTTATAAATCTGTAATATAGAATTTTGATACATTCGGTGACACACATATTATTTCACGTGACTTTTTTCCCCAACAATCCGAATGAGGCTTTGTACACGCGCTCAATCATTTGGTCATAGGAATCTTTTAGGATGGGATAAGATTTTCATATCTACCTCGGAGGAGAGGGAAGCCTATAAACCGCATAATCATGTAGCAAACCATGGCCTCTCGTCCGGCTACGAGTCCATGACGGGGATTATAATAGTTACCCGGTTGTTTTGTTTTGAGATGCATGGTATGCAAGTATGTCGATAGGTATTTGTTTGTCTGTCAGGCACTTTCGTATGTTACGCGATATCTCACGAAAGCGAGGTTGAATCTGCTCCAAATTTTGCATGTGCATTCATCATATCTCGGACTAAAAGTCTGTTGATTTGGAATAATTATATATATAATTAGCGAGTTATTAATTGAATAGTGATATGACACGCGGTGTCGCTATTGAGTCAGAGCGAAGGAATCGAAACCGCAGATCGATAAGTCGGCGGTCTCCGATCGATATCTAGTTCAACGCTCTTTCTTTATTCAGTTTTTGCTATCTTATATATTAGTCAAAATATTCTAAGTTGTTTTCGGCTTATAGCATTTCGGTATTTGATGTATACCCACATGATAAAAACAAACAGATATACCTTCCCGTCGATACTGCAATCAGACTCATAAATTCAACAAATGTATCTGTAGTATCCGGGGGAGTGTCTGTGTTACCCCCGCCGTCAATAAGCAAGTATCCACTATTTTCCATGGCAGGATCGAACACATCGGGAATGTTAATGATCAAATAATGCCACCATATTGACCTGGTTGTATCAGCATCTGTAACGTAAAATTGCAAACAAATTTTTCAATGTACCTGATACCTGGCAAAGTACAAAGTATAGCATACTTCAAATTTCGAGTCTGAGTCGCGTTTTGCTTAAAAAGCAATTGACTTAAGTTTAATCGATTCGAAGTACCGTCACATACTTTAGAATAACCCTATGGCTGTTAGACTAAAGAACAGCAAGGCAAACCACCCGAGGTCTTCCCTATCCCTTATGGAAGTAAATGTAGTAATTAATAATAGGAATGAGTGATCTTGGTCTTAATCGAATCGATACATCACTTGCGACATCCCAGCCTTGCTGTCAAGTGTTCAGATCTATTACTTTTACGCCAAAGTACCTGTCAGCCATCTCTGTGACGTCATATTTAGCGTGTATGACGTAACGCCTGGAGATTTGTACGTTCGATCTCGAAGAAGCTCGTATTTGAAATAGCCATCGTCTTTCCACACGTAGTCATCCAAAGGCGTGCTGCTTACTGTGGCGATCAGAGCACAAAACTACAAAAATCAAAAGAAATGACCATTGCATAAAATACGTCGCAAGAATAGCTCACACTCCAGAATTCAGTTATAATTTTCTTTTGCCTAAGTTCACATTTTAAAACGTCGAATAGCTTCTTGATATTCATATAGTTATTGCCGAGGGGACAGTATAAAATAAAAACTTTTGTTTGACTCGGATCACATATGCACATAATCCGACATAATCTTCAAGACATTATAACAAAATAAACCACTTACCAATATCACGAATTGCATGTTTTTCTTCGTATTATCGCTATTTTAAAGGACATTTATATATATCTATTGCTGTGAGATGACAAAAATTCATATACACTATTGAAAAATTAAATTTCCAGTTTTATTTCATCTCAAAACATTAGTGAAATGAGTGAATTAAGAATCAATCTGAAAATGAATCTTCGTATACAGAATCATGAGCACTCCTTCAAGTAGATATTAACAACTCGGGTCGCATTTAGATTTTGCTAACACATAGATAATTGCTATTCCAAACACGGTATTCTTTTTACCAGTGCTCACATTTTGTTACCATTACTATATTTAATATTATTGGATGTTTCAGTAGTTCCTGCTTTTAGCAATATAATACTGGCTACACTTATTCTACCCACTCAACTTAACAGATACCTCTTTTACATCACAGCTGATTATACAATAAAGAATATCTGTTGTGCTATAAGCAATGCCTACATTTTTTCAACCAACACCGGTGCATTACACAATCATATGCAATATTTATGTTTGATCACTTGCAAACTCAAATATAAATATTTATACACGAGAAATGCTTGATCAACAATAAATCGAAAATAATTTTGATTTTAATTGCAAATGTTTAATTATTAGCGGCACACGTGACAAGTTAATATTTAGCCAGATGCATTGCAAATCTGTTTGTATATTATTATAGTTCAAGCATGATTTATCAAACATATTCGAATTAAATGTGATTTACCCTAGATTGTGTTTGAGTGTATTAAATTTGAAAATCTCAGATCTTCTTGATGTACTTTAAGTGGTGTTTCAATTAAAATAAAGTCCTTGATTAGAGGTCGTTCTGATAACGATATTAACAAAATGCAATGAGGGAAGAGAAGTTTTTCGTCCGTAGCAAACAATAGAGAACAGGTAAGTGTTATGAAAATCCCTTTGCTAACAAAAATTGTATTGCTCACAAAATATCATTATAAAGTTAAGTTTCAAGGTCACATTATACATTATGAAGTTTCAAGGTCATGTGTACCGACAATGTACAACACAGGATGACCCAACAAACAGAAACCAGATCATATCACAGGTAATATTTTAGAGAGAACATAACCTTTGTCATAACCTCTATAGATTACTGCAACTATCAAGTACAATCATACAAATATAGAAGTTTGAAATGTTGAATGAATTTTTTTTATTTATCTTTCAATTAACTGAGAAATATCTGTTTTTCTGGGTCACCATGCAGTTGGAAATTTATCAGCAGCTTGTCAGTTGAACGACACCACATATCAATACTTACACATGTCTGGTTTACGTGCAAGCGATTTAGGTAAATCGCCCACTGTGTTGGTTCGTGTTATAGTATAACATACAGACGAATTCTGTCGTCTGAATAAATGCTAAAAATTCGTTCTGTGGCTTGGAAAACTAATCAGGATACTCAACAGAGCCTAAAAGCCAGTACTCTATGATATCTACAGTGCACCTTTATAAGTTACTTAACTTCTGCCGAATACTGACTACAATTCTAATCTGAGAATGAGACACGTAAAAATAATTTATAAATAGTTTTATTTTTGAGTGAAACATAATGATATTGCAATAAATCAGCAAAGTGATAATATAATAGTATATAATTGTTCAACTGATTTTTCTGTTATATGCCTTGAAATACTGAAAGAAGCTATAAAAGAAACCCAGTACAGCCGACCCCATGACAATCTTCAAATGGGAATGTATTCGGTGCTATATTTGTCTCTGTTGTGCACTCGAAAATGGTTCCATTTGGTCCTAGAAATCCCAGCTGTAAAACATGGGAACGGAGCATTAATATTTACTCGTAATATTATCGAAATAGCTCAATGGCGTTGACTATGGCTACGATTTTATTTTGTTCCTTCTAGGCTTGCACGTAATTGACAAAAATCAATTCCGTAATTACGGCCAAATCGATTACGTAATGACCCCGTAATTGCGATATTTTTTTCACACTTTTAAACCTATCATAACAACCAATTTAATCCACTTCTATTCCGAATGGGACATCGACAGTTGGGACAGTTTGGTTTTCATAGTTCCGCCAGTACTACACGCCGGCGACATATGCTAAAGACAAATATCAAGGAGTGAATTCAAATTAATTTTATTCTGATTTTTATCTTTTGTGTTAGCTTTGATTTTCCTTTATCAACTTTATCACCCAATTTTATGCGATCAATTTTATCATTACCAACACTGGTATGTGGTAATATATTTATGAAACGATAGTTGACTTTTTTTAAATCGTATTAACGTATTAATACGAGTTTCGTATTACGAGTTTCGTATTAAATAAAAATTCCGGGTTTCTAATTTATAAATCAACGACGAGCGTATTCTCTCGTTTGATTATACTTGCCTCACGACGAAGACTTGTTATTGTACCGTTTTTTTTACATTATCCGACTTCACTACCTAGTTAGCATTTTATAATAATTATTGATGCCGACTTATTGACGATATTCCGATTACCATGCTTCATTTTACATTAAATCATTTCGCGGCCTAAATGTTATAACATTATTTGCGATAAATTTAGATTAAATATTAATTATTTGCGCATTATTTAAATACCGTACTTATGTGACATGCCTTCTCCGAAAATACAAAGTTATATCGCAAAACAATGCATTTGGTGGCATTTATTTTGCACTCACGAAAATATTAATTTACTTTTCTAACTCAAGTCGACAATCCTATCGGCTAAGATTGACACAAGTTTGGTCGAGTGCCGGTGGTATTTGAGTCGACGATAAATCAAAATAAGTTGCCGCATTTGGTAAAGACTTAAAGATATTGTAAAGACATATTTGGCCGAGATAGTGCGAGGCATTGTGAAAACAAGGCCAAGTACGGACAGATATATAAGGATAAAACCGGTAACAGAACATCAAGATTTTGTAATAAAAAATGGATCTCGCGCAGAATAAACACGGGAAATCCCGTCTTTTTGTTGTTTCTCTGCCGTCTGAATCGCTTTACCGATGCCGGAAAGACTAAGTTGCGTTGGTTCATTACGCAAGTTCTCTTCCGTCGTCATATTGCTGTTTGATAAGCGCGACATTAATTATCACGGCATTTACAAATAGACCATGTTTTATAAGTTGATCTCTTACATTCTTTAGTCATTTCACCCGAAGAAGTTGAAACCAGGTGTGTTGGCGTCCATCAGTCTCAACACAATTCTATCCCATATCTACGCTTGATATGTACATTTGCCATGCTAGATAAGTTGGTAATAGGTTAGTAAATGGCAACGCGTTATGCCTTCTCCATCTGCATAACAAGAGAGAAAAAAACGGCTGCGAATACCGGAACTCTAACTTCTTCTACTTATTAAACTTTAATTTTTTACAATCGACGGAATTGACTGCTCTAAAGAGAGCTCGTTGCAATCGCGAAAGCGCTCCACCAATACTTACGAATTTACGTAATTCGTAACTTCGCTTCCGTAACTCGAAATAATTCCGTAATTCCGTAAATCCGTAAATTACGTGCAAGCCTAGTTCCTTCATATACCTTTTATTAAATTTTAAAGTATATAGGACTGCTATTACATATTAGAAAACGTGGCTTGTTTGATAATCGGTGTGAATTCAGAAGTCCATCTCGCTATGCACATAATTGTGATTGAAATATCCATTTTGATATTCGAAAATGTAACAAACCTCACCGGCACAATCATTTAGATTAATGGGAAAATAAGATAAATTATACATTTAAGACTTTGAAGTATGATAGAATGTTAAAGATATCTATCACTTTGATATCGGTAAATATCTTTGACAATCCATTATCTTATCTTTTTATCGTTTACAAAAATTATAATTTTAAATGACGCTGCCAACAAATGTTTTACTTGTTAATTTTACGCTGCAATATCATCCGAATGCCCTACGCTACAAACAAACTTTTCTCAATTCCATAAGCATTAAATAAGTGTCGCTAAAGTGTAGATTAAATCTTCCATTTCTAAAACAGGGAGTAATTAACCTGAATAAAGAAAGCTGTCCATCCTTTCTCAGGCTTATCCACACTGTGTGAAAAATGTGTTTCACTTATTGTGGTGACATCACTTCCAATCCACATCACATTTTGAGGTATTGGTCCGTTCAAGCTGTCCTTTGGATCAAGTATGTTGAGACGAAAATCGCGCCTGGAAGACAGAGAGAAAACATAGTTGATGTATTTTCCTACGCGTTCGCTAATATTGCGTTTTTCGTTTTTAATGGCACGCCAAGGTAACAAAATGAAAACAAAAGGCAAAGATTGAGTCTCTTAAGCCATATAATAGGTCCTACCACTGCGTAAGGGTTATAACAAAACCTATCATTCGTTTCAGTAATAAACCATAGAAGAAATGTTCAAATGAAATTAGAATTTTGTTTAGCTAAATGGGAGTTCCACTTTCAACCATTCCATTCCCTAACCTATTACTCTGATTAGTACAATATAAAGGAGTTGAAAGGTGCTTACCTATCTTGAGACAAAGTAGTCGCCGTCCATGCAGAAACTCGAACCGGTTTTGTGTCAGTGGTCACATCAATAGATCCACCACCCGTAGGTGTAGTTTGTAGCGTCCAGGCTACTTTTGGAATTTTATAACCCTGTGTCAAACAAGAACACGAAAAATGAAGGGCAGAGTAAAAATACATCCGTTAGTATCTGATTAAGTATCAATCTCAGTTACACTGCTCAATTCGCTCTGGGTCGCGCGTTCCCTGCCGAAATACCACGAGGCAACTCTTACATATTCTTCTCATGGACTCATTCGTGTTAATAAACAAGAATAATATCTTGGCAAGAATAAAGAAACTACTGCTACAAATGGATGTTTCCCCGCCCTCCAACAAATTCTTCCTATACTCTACTATTGCAAAATATTTTATGCTTGTTTTGCAATTTTTACGTCCTTCTTACGACCTATTGCTGATTGGTTATTGTTACGGACATAAACAAAGAAATCGATGCTCGGGGAAACATCCATAATCTAGTCTTCATCTAATAAATTACTATTATACGTACACCCATAACAGAAACGTAAAATGATCTTATGTTGTTGAAAACTTGTAGATCGTGACCGTGAAATTCGTGTTCGTCATTGGGAACCATGTTTACGTATGTTGGACCTTCCATGTCTTTCAAATAATAATGAGAATCATCAGGAAGAAAGAATTCATCTCCCATACTTATGACCATTTTAGGCATGGTCAAACGATCTCTGTATGCTGTAATAAAATTATTAATTGATACTATAAATATGTACATAATTACCATGCTGTTTTTTATACCATTTGTTTTTATTTTTAATTTCCTTAATTTTGTTAGTACTTTGAGTGCCGGGCTCATGCTGTATCCCGCCATAAAACGATGACATCTGCTCAGTAGATGGATGAAAAACTTTTTGACTGATAAGGTATACAAACTCACAATATGGATCAACAATGTCCGCCATCTTCTGGGTATTCGGGTTATCGAGATCTGCTGTCACGTTTGCAAAGAAATAATCACCCAGGGCAAATGACCAACCTCCATAAGCACGATAATGATGATGTAAATTCTGTAATAATGCCATAAACGTAAGGTTTTATGTCGGAGCATAACTAATAAGTAGAGTATTCTAAACAACAAAAATAGTCACCTCCACCATGTTCAGAACGTCAAGTACGATTGGAGTTATACAAGTCACCCTTTTGCTATCAACAGCCCCCGTTGTCCAAGTGGTCCATCCTCTCTAAAATAAACATATATATATAATATCAATCGTCTCGCACGATTTCAGATATGTTCACCACATTCAAGTAAGTTTTCTTGGTAGATTACATTATGTTGAAGTACGGCATCTGTACGTTTACTACTCGGGGCACAGTAATGTTTTTATAAAATATCATATTTGGATTCTGGATTTGCGTCAATGGTGCCAGACCTTAGCAGCCGGAACAAATATAAAAATTATATCCTATCAACATACCTGACAAGCGTACTTCATATGCGAGTTACCTTAGCAAGAAATCTTAGTGGATATATAATACTCACTTTAGATGCCCCTCCTACGCAGAATTTACTGACTTCTTGACCACGTGTTTTGTTGACAAAATCAGTTATCGTGTCCATAGCTTTAACTGCTGCTTTTGTCATTGGCATTCGAAGTAACCAATAGGGCTCGGATGGGTCATCAATAAAATGCCTTAAAATTCAGGATTAACACATATTTAAAAATAAGGTATAAAAAAAGCAGTGAAATGTAGAGCACAATCCCTTTTACCTCCATGTATAGGCAATAATTTCGTCTTCCGTACGAGATCTCTGAAGTATATCTTTTTTGAAAACAAGACTCTGATTTGGAACTTGACGCAACAATGCAGTGACACTAGATAAATCAAAGTATCCTAATAAATAGAATAATACTGTAAAATTCCAACATTAGCATTACTAATACTGTAGCTACAGCCATATTTTGAAAACTGCAATAGAGGCCAGTTTACAGCTGCGGTGTCTCAATTAGCGGAGAACTTTTGTTTTCTATAAAATGTCATTTTGCGATATCGCTATAAAATACACCCCCCCCCCTATTTTTGCAGTCGTATAGATAAAAACAGTGGCTAAGATGGCATATTTGACTCAACCTACTCAAATCGCCGTACTCCAGATCACCTAGTCAATTCGGTTGAGTGGTAATTAACTTGAAATGAATCGACTTCAGAATGTCAGATTTTAGTCTACACGTCGTTTAACATGAGTCAACATGGGCCACTCATTGCCTATTTTCCGTTTTGACGAGAATCACTGCTGTTTTACTATTGATGAGTCCGAATATAATCAAAAGAGACCGCATTTCAATTTTACCTTTTTGTTGTGGAAGCAATCATTTGCATTTCAGTAAAGAAATCGTCTGTTGTTGAGGGCAAACCTCCCGAATTAGAGCCTCCTTCAATGAGCATGTACGCGCTGTCTTTCATTCGGGCATCAAACGTATCAGGGATATTCACAATCAGATCATGCCACCATATGGATCTTGTGACATCGTCATCTTAGTATAAGATTCATATATGTAACAAAAATACAATCAAATCTACACAAGTTCAACGATGCAAAGTGAAGCAAGGCTTTGTTGGTCCATTTGTCAATGACTTCATACTTGTAATACCCATCATCTTTGGATACGTAATCACCACATTCAAGTAAGTTTGGATACGTAATCACCACATTCAAGTAAGTTTTCTTGGTAGATTACATTATGTTGAAGTACGGCATCTGTACGTTTACTACTCGGGGCACAGTAATGTTTTTATAAAATATCATATTTGGATTCTGGATTTGCGTCAATGGTGCCAGACCTTAGCAGCCGGAACAAATATAAAAATTATATCCTATCAACATACCTGACAAGCGTACTTCATATGCGAGTTACCTTAGCAAGAAATCTTAGTGGATATATAATACTCACTTTAGATGCCCCTCCTACGCAGAATTTACTGACTTCTTGACCACGTGTTTTGTTGACAAAATCAGTTATCGTGTCCATAGCTTTAACTGCTGCTTTTGTCATTGGCATTCGAAGTAACCAATAGGGCTCGGATGGGTCATCAATAAAATGCCTTAAAATTCAGGATTAACACATATTTAAAAATAAGGTATAAAAAAAGCAGTGAAATGTAGAGCACAATCCCTTTTACCTCCATGTATAGGCAATAATTTCGTCTTCCGTACGAGATCTCTGAAGTATATCTTTTTTGAAAACAAGACTCTGATTTGGAACTTGACGCAACAATGCAGTGACACTAGATAAATCAAAGTATCCTAATAAATAGAATAATACTGTAAAATTCCAACATTAGCATTACTAATTCTGTAGCTACAGCCATATTTCGAAAACTGCAATAGAGGCCAGTTTACAGCTGCGGTGTCTCAATTAGCGGAGAACTTTTGTTTTCTATAAAATGTCATTTTGCGATATCGCTATAAAATACACCCCCCCCTATTTTTGCAGTCGTATAGATAAAAACAGTGGCTAAGATGGCATATTTGACTCAACCTACTCAAATCGCCGTACTCCAGATCACCTAGTCAATTCGGTTGAGTGGTAATTAACTTGAAATGAATCGACTTCAGAATGTCAGATTTTAGTCTACACGTCGTTTAACATGAGTCAACATGGGCCACTCATTGCCTATTTTCCGTTTTGACGAGAATCACTGCTGTTTTACTATTGATGAGTCCGAATATAATCAAAAGAGACCGCATTTCAATTTTACCTTTTTGTTGTGGAAGCAATCATTTGCATTTCAGTAAAGAAATCGTCTGTTGTTGAGGGCAAACCTCCCGAATTAGAGCCTCCTTCAATGAGCATGTACGCGCTGTCTTTCATTCGGGCATCAAACGTATCAGGGATATTCACAATCAGATCATGCCACCATATGGATCTTGTGACATCGTCATCTTAGTATAAGATTCATATATGTAACAAAAATACAATCAAATCTACACAAGTTCAACGATGCAAAGTGAAGCAAGCTATAGGTACCTGTTAACCATCGCTGTGAGGTCATGTTCAATAAGTATGACGTCACACCAGGGGCTTTGTTGGTCCATTTGTCAATGACTTCATACTTGTAATACCCATCATCTTTGGATACGTAATCATCTAGTGGTGTTCCGCAGCTGGTTGAAATTATAGCAAAGATCACCTGTCAAAATATTGCAATATACAAACTATTCTTTTATTGCATTGGAAAAATATCTTCGAGGTAACTTACCGTAAGACCAATAAAACTCATTCCTGCCATGTTACAAAAATACTAGAACCTAACGACCACCTAACTAACAGAATGACTGAGTTTACTTAATGAAGATCTGCCTAATCATAATCATGTTTACTGCGATGCATTGGGCAAACAATATTTTCAGCTGTTTGGCGTAGCCGCGTGACTATTAATTTGCTAACTATTTCGTTCCGTTTGATTAGTACTGCAAAGCTGTTATCCTTCAGAAACTTTGCCTAAGCCTAAAAGGGATTGTGTAAACGGGTTTTCTACTACCTTGTTACAGCATTAACTCGAACTACGCCGTGATGATGCCGACGCAAATATTGCCAAAACATTAATACATCCTGGTTTGACTTTCAGAATAATGCTGGGGTGGAAGTCGTAATGTCATCTTACTTATGGTAATTCATTTCAATTTGGCTGAAAAAATCTACTATGACTCAGAATCGACTTGTGACTCGAAAAATCAACGATTCGAAATAGGAGCTCCAATTTTAATCTGCCATGAAACTAGAACCTGACTGGGGACTAGTGACTCGACTTGCCTTGGGTTCAGAGACTTGTGCTCAACACTGTGTAAATAGTCAATGAAACATACAGACAAACAAATGAAATATTTTTAGTTCTTTAATCATCAATAGGCAAAGGTAGGAATGATGCTTTAGAAATTAATAGCTCAAATAATATATTATCTCACTGTGCAAGGAACATATAGATTTTGTTAACATGTTCAGTTTTGAGTTTCATGAAAAATCATCCTTGGCAAGTCCTGAAATCACCAGAAGATTTCGTTTACTTCAAAGTCACACAATAGTTTGATGACATAAGGCCAATTACATTTCGATGTACTAATTTGCAATTGGTAGATTGAATGCGAATCCCATAAACGGTGTCATGCTGGCGGCTCAATTAAAGATTTTTTTCTGAAAATATATACTATTGACGTTAAAACTTTATTATTATTGGTGTGACTTTAATGGAAATTTTTTGGACGTCTGTGCTTACGAGTGCTTGAACACATTTACGCTGTTGTTTATATGAAAATGTCTTGCAATGCGTGGTTTTCTATTGAGAAGAATTACGGTACTCACACATTAAGTAGGCTGGAGGTCTTTTCAATGAATAAATTTCGATATTTCTGCTGCGGCTCTCATTATCCTTTAAAATGTATCATTTTCAGTAAAATTTTCCATTGAGAATTAATCGAGGGCTGGGAATTGAAAGACTGAACTTCAGTACAGTGGTTGATAGTCAGGCAGAATCGGGCTTTAACATTGTTTTGGGACATAAAGTTTTTTTTATTATTTACATATAATGTATATGACATATATAATGGTACCCAGGTGGGTGTGGAGTATATAATGTTGAGCAATTTTTTTTAAGTGGATTTAAAGTATTCGTTCCAAGATGACGCACATCCTGAATCCTAACCTGGTAAACATACAATGTTCAGGTTGTGCGCCATCTTGGTACGAACACTTCAGGAGCGCCTTTTTGTTAAAAACAATTATTTCATAACTACATGGTTTAGTTCTGCATACATAGTAACATTGAATCTCCTCACAATGTCAGAAATTCAATTTTAGTAAAATAAATGGTAATTTATTTCACGAATACAAGCCAATTTCCATCGATAGCATCTAGCTACTGTCTATTGCGCTCTTCAAACTACATTTGCGTTGCCGCGCGCATTTCGTTTTCCAAGTTTAAGCTTAGGGACTTGGGAAATTTTTTATTAGTTGAATTGGATTGGAATATTTGACCTCGTCTTTCACTCCGAACAAGGCCATGTAAAACCATCCACTGGTATCTAAAGATGTGTAACGTGTTTTCTTTTAGAAGAACCGCAACCTTTCAGTGCTGCATTGACTTTGGCAAAATTAATATATCCTCGGGGAGATAGAAGGTATGCGTATGCGAAACCTAGATGTGCACCTGTTATGTCAACATAGTTGAGTAAAACGTTTTGAATACTAGTACATCACACACATTTTCCTGCGTGCTTCGGTTGTACGTAGTAACGCGCACATTTTTGCGCACATGCATCAAATTCCACTTGATTATTAAGCTATGGGTTTTTGACGAGCTTTTGTGTATGATTTCATTCCATAGAATTTGTATGCTGTTCTAAAGAATACTAGTTTCAGCTTTTTCATTCATTCAAACCGCGTGTTAAAAGTAAGTTTTGTAATATTGCGTGTTGGTTTCCAACATCCTTAAATCGGTGATGCCAGTAAATCTTTAATACAAAAAGATCAGTACCATCTGCAATAAAAACAGCAGTACCCACTCAAATGACAGCTGGGGGATGGATACTCTTAGTATCTGCTCCATCGCGTGCCTCTTACAGTCTTACCAGTTTACATGAGTGCCAATTGGTATCTAAGCTCAGCCAGAGACAAAAAGTTTCGGACTGCAGTTGGCGTGACGAAATGTTTTTATATATATATTCTACAATAAGATTATTTGATTGCATACTACTGAAAGTTCCGCCTTATATGTATTTTCCCATTGCACTATTCCTTCACTGATATTCGATAATATGATGCTCATCTGACATAGTTCTTAAAGTATGTAGATGGGTATAATCTTTTCTACGCTGTTCAGATGGGAATGCGCGAATATATATAAGAATTGCTAATATTGGTTTGCAATGCGATGAAATCCCATCTTGGCATTTCTGCCTCTCGCAATTGCTGCGTATACTTGTCGGGGAAGTTCTGTGGCGTGGTTATAAAATGAAAAAAAAAACATGGGAGTATTTTTCTACTTCTCTACTACTATCAAACCTTGACATTTTGTGAAAACTTTTTTCCATGCAACCTTTTTTTAAAACATCCCCAACAACCACAATTAATTATGTTATTAAACTTCCGAAACAAACACATAAAATCATCAACGGATGCATATCACCTTTTTGTTAAACCTGTTATCTATCGTAAATACAGCACATTTGACAATGTTGTAGTGTGACTTTTTTGGCCTCACATTTTTGATATTTGTAGTTTGAGCTCTTGGGGCTCTGTCAAACGAAGTTACATACAAAATATTGGTTGTAAATTGCAAAACATGACCATGTTGTTGGAATAACTTGGCATTTTACCACCCGTATATCATTCATTGTTGAGAATATTAATAAAATCATAAAATTTAAAAATCCGTTCTCGTGAAATTTTTGTTGTACCTGAATTCCAGGGACAGCATGACAACAGGCAGGAGAAGCACGGTCGCCTCTTTTAGAGTTTATGACAGAGTTTCTTAAAACGGGACCCCGTCCTCCTTGAAGGGCGCTGATCGGTTATCTGGGAGCACGAACAAACGGATGGAAATGCGAATATATAATAACGATGTATTTTTATAGAAGAAAAGAAGCAAAAGTGTTGAGAGTCTTTGGTAGCTTGAAAAGCATTGGCATGGAACATAAGAGTGAACTACATTCTTTCCTAGTGATATACTATAAAATGTAGCAATTTTCTCAGTCTTGTTCTCGTGATATCATTATCTTTCACTGCGTCGTCGTGATCATCCCGCTGCATAACAATTCTCGCTAACAAATAATTGACTGTTCTTCATCGGGTGTATATCCACTTGAACCACTGGCGACTGCATTAGCAGGCTTGTATTGTTAATTGCAACAAAAACGGGTATTTTGAAATAGTACTCTTTAGTTTACGCGTATGTTTCGACAGTATTTACATATATATACTGTATATGGGTCGCGACCCAGAGCTGGGCTCAACAAATACCTAAAAGTTATTGATTTTATTTCCTAGTAAATTTGGTGCTTGCGTAGTTTGTGCACCAAGATTGCGCACAACCTAAACATAGTATTGTAACAGGTTATGGTTCAAGTTGTGCGTCATTATGATGCACAGGTTTGACGAAAAACACTAATACAAATATCGAGCCGTAAAAAAATTGCTCAAGGCTGCAAACTCCACACCCATGTAGAAATGATGGGCAATGACCCCAAGATGAATAATCACAAATAAAAAAACTTTATGTCTGAAATCAAACTTGGGTCAAAGAGGTCCCCTTATCTGCCGGCCTGATAGGTCGTGTTAAGGGCAAATTTTCAACCTTTCATTATGATGTCATAGTGTTTGTCCCCAAAATGTTTAGTCTGCGTACCCTGGATTCATTGTTCCAGTAATCACAACATTTACTGTGCGGTTTAAATTATTTTATAACACAATATTTATCTGTTAGTTTGCCAAGAAAAAATGTCAACCACACATTCAAAAAAGCTCGCACTCTTCGTAAATACAATCAGGCGGTTCAATGTGATTGGAAGCAGAAGTATTTTCAAATTGAAATAGACTAGATATCATTATGAAAATATAAAACCGGCTATTGGTATATATTGCTGTATAATGCATCCATCACGATTGTGGTACGCTTTTTCAGAGTTCAGAATCGAAAGTCGACGCCAAAGTCAAGTTTTGCGTTAAATTTTTTCAGTGTTTAGCCCGAGTTTTGTTCATGTTGTTATTTCAAATGACAAACTTGAGTTTTGTCTTGTTGCTATTTTAATTTGCGTTGTTTTTACAACTTTGTAGTTTGAGATGCGGCTCTGAATCTCAAAAAAGGTTGGAAACCACTGATCCTCTTGCTGTAGAGCAGGGTCGTCCAACCTTTTTTACCGAAGGGCCACATTTTGCTTACTATTAAGTGCGCGGGCCACTTAACATGGTAGTTATGTTTCAGTTTTGACTAAATGTTAATGAAAAAACAAGCAATACCCTCACGCTAAATTTTGACAATTATTAGAACAAGAAAACTGTTTGACGGGGCGCCGTCAGTGGTTATTCCAGAAAGTTTTGCCAAAGACAAGCCAAGACGCTTGATCATTTTTATAGCAGCTTCCCACAAATCAATGCCTGTAGTCGTGCCCTTAATCGGGACAATGGACTTCGGCAATTTAAAAATTATCATCAACTCCCCGCATGATAAACAGTAGACTTGATGTCAGTGCTTTAGTCAAGCGCCAGTGAATACAATAAAAACTTTCCCGATTTTGCAATTAAAGTTTCTGCTATAGAATTCCCAAGCTCTTCAACCCGAAGAGAACCGTCTGTCCTGACAAGCCTATTTTTGCAAATGCCTTTTTTATTTCCGGACATGAAACATTGACAACCCGAAAAATACATTGCTTAACGGATTTTCAATCTGAAGCTAGCTGTAGTATCTCGCTTTTATGTATGTGCTATGGTTTTTATGTATGTATGTAGCGACTATGGCCCCTTGAAAGGGCTGGCAGAGCGCATTTCAGGAAAATAAGCAAATCGTTTGCATCACATCTTTGCACATTACATCAGTTGAATGATAAATATACTCAACTTTTTATTAATAAATTCCGAAGAATACAGCGCGGGGCACTCGAAATATTTCCGCGTGCCCCATATGGCCCGCGGGCCACGGGTTGGACGACCCTGCTGTAGAGCGTATTATTTATATATACACATACAAACGTTATATGATTCTCAATATAGTCTTTGTTGCAAGTTTTTCTAAAGCTTATTAACTTCTATTTAACCAATCACTTACGATTTTTTCAAATTGCCTTTACTTAGCCTCCCCCCTCGTCGTTTGTTTTCTGTGTAACCTATATACATTTATCCAAACATCCCATTTATGTAAATTTCTCGAGTTGTTTTTCTTTTTTTATTCTATTATATAATTTTAGTAAAGTTGCGTTTGCTGCGAAGCTTTTCGAAAATTCAAAAGTTAAAATATGTTTACCATAACGACTATTGCATAGACAATTTTGTAGCAAATGTAACAATATTAGTATATTTATTTATTTATTGTACCAATTTTTTGTGCATTTGCTTTTTTTGTGACGACGAATAAATGATTGATTATTTGACTGATCTAGATCGTGGAACTACATTTCTCCTGAATTGTTTTGAAATTTCTTGGCGCACTAGCGTCATCGTGCGGGCTTGTGGCTGCGATCGAGGCCAAAGCGTATATAACTTGGGTCGGCGAAGGTGGATGAATATATGCCTTTTTGCTGTTTTACTGTTTTGGTAATTTCTATACACTTAAATAACGGAATACTGGAATAAAGAAATTCAAGATTGCCAGATTCAATATGTAGAACGGCTTATGTCTGTATGTGACTTCAATGAATCATTTGTCAGTCTTTTGGGTTTGACTTTTTTTTTTGTATTCAAGTACAATGTACATTTTTTTTGTATTCAAGTACAATGTACAAAGTACAATGAACAATGGCTCTACTGTCAAAATTTATTCAAACAACATAATGACATGTTATCTCAATTTCTGCTTTTATATAGGTACGGTACCGGTATACTGGTAAAGGTACCGGTACCAATCATTCTTAAGACAGTAAGATATGAGGTTAATCTATATCTTTTTGTTGATCATTTTTTAGATTAGCGTAATTCCTATTTTTGAAAAACATGGTGGTCATTTATTATTAGTTGATGCTTCTACTCTTGTGTTATTTTCTTATGGATACGTATAGAATTTGAAGAATTCTAAAAGACGAGAAAGGATCAATAACTCTGTAACTTGGATATGGATTATTGAACTTATACAGCTGTGCAAGAAAGATGCAGGTCTGAATTTTTTGTTACATTTTCTGTTGTGATAATGATTCTAACTAGTATTTTTGTATTAGGACCTGATAGTAATTGATAATGGTATAGAACAGTGGTTCTCGAATGTTTTTCTTTTGTGGCCCATTTTTGTTGCACCAAAAAATTCTGTGGCCCATTAACTTTTATATGCAAGAGAAAAACTACAAGAAAAAACTTCTGTTTCAATAATTAAAATGAAAATTACCATTTAGTACCAAAGAACAGCATTATCATTAATCACAAACTTAACCAAGTCCAAAAGTTTTTATAAGATCTGTGGCTTATCTAAAAACGCTGCTGTGTTCTAGCAGTGAACATTGGATGATAAATCTATGTCTATATATTGTGCGATTTTGTAATGTGATTAATTAACCAAAATATCCAATTTATGCAAAACCTATATTCTATGAGGTTTCGAATTACTGAATTAGGGAACATGCAGCTCAATGATCATGATACTGACTCAATTGCATAGCCTTGTTTTGACCTATTAAAATGGTCTGAAAGTTTTTTTATTTTTATATTTTCTTTAGTTCTTTGACGTATTTCTCTTGAAAAAGTATTTTCATTATGAGAAGCCGAGAGTATTATGAGTGCGAGAGTTTTCCTTATGCCTGACTTGAATCATTATAGTACTCAAAATATTATTACATTTCTGGAGTGCTGCAATTCACCATGAATCTCATAGTTTGACTTACTCCTTTCAGGCGACACAATCATGGAGTGTATTCTGGTGTATCATTGCTGTAATTCTTCTTGTTACAACATTCGGACTAGTTGGAATGCTGTGCTTCATTTTAACTGTGGCCGTTTTTATTGGAGGGTGAGCCTAAATGAGAGTCATTTATTGGTTTAAATACATGATGCTTAGATTTTTGTTAATGTCAAAATTTTTTGCCAAGAACTTGTTTTCCTGATGATATTGACTGTTTTATTAAGTGTCCCGCCAGTAAATATTTGTCAACGCACAGTTTCACACTATAATTCCTTATAGTCGCAACAGGTCTTGTCATTTTAGTGTACGCTTGTGACTTCACTCAGAAATCAATCTCCTCAATCTCTGAATGACCTTGCTATGAAAAAATTGAAAAAAGAATGCTGCCCAAAGTTAAATTCTTCAAAAGTGAATATATTATAGAATGGAAATGATGAGAAGGGCTATTTTGTTACTGTACACATTTATTTATACATAGTTTGTATTTACTGAGGTATCAACCCCTGGAAGATTTTTTTATATCACTCTACCGTAATTAATGTGGGCCGCAGGAAGACCCCTGACCCAACTATTGGTTTGTAGTTTCTTTTTCTTACAAGTACATTAACTGGATTAATATATTTTTTAGAATTGTTGCGATGTTTTGCCAACAATGCAAGCATAACACAGAAGTTCGTCTTTATTGCATGCATTCAGAACTTCAAAAACACAAAAATCGTGAAATTCAGAAGGTAAACAAATGTTTATTGATTTTTAAACATGCAATCTAAATCAATCAATATGTAATTATAAACCAAAGCCGGAAAAACTGATTTTTAAAATGTAAAAGGATTTTTATCAATAACAAGACAACGATGCTCAAATATATGAACACGAAGACCAAAACAAAGTAATATCAAATTTCTTACAGTAACGGTAGTCTCACCACCAGATCACTGAGATGTGATTACGGCACGGTGCACATATTTTAATTTTGATGTCATCAGTCATCACTTTAAATTAAAAAACGAATCCCATAGAGCCCACAGATATTTTTGGAATAAACAAACGTGATAGCTTTCTAGCGACAACATCAAGTTCTAAGCACTGAAAATTTCAAAGATATTATATTGGTCAATAGTTGAAGAAAAAAGCAATTTTTTTAATATAATAACAAAATGAACCATAAGTCCACTTGGTGTCTTTTATGTAAAATTGGTTTGTATTTCTTATATTCCCAAAAGTGTACTACTGAAACAAATCTGGCGTTTAAATAAAATTTTGACTCGTTAACCTGAAAATAAGACAACATAACTTTTTTGTTTTTAGGCGTTATTGAAAGCAAATGAATGGGCTCACTTTGAAAATGAGATGCGACTGACTGGCTCTGCAAGTATTGATGAAAGCATGAAAGAAGTTGGTACCATTTTTTGTCATAAATTCCAGCTAAATGATATGTTCTGTCTACCACCACTCTGCTGTTTTTGACCGTATCATTTTAAATTCTGGCATCAGATGTGATTGTCAGATGTGTGTATTTCAGTGTTGGGTAACGATTCATGTGAGTTTCGAGTCGCGGTCTGAAGGTTTTTCTGAAAGTTCTCGTTATTGTGACGGCGCAGAGATCTGGGCATTAGACTTATTTTAGGTCCCACGACCACCACCTTTATCAAGGTGTAATTGTACTGGGAAGGTATTGTTGAATGGGAAAGATTTTGATTCCATTAAAAATAATGTCTCCTTATCAGTCGCTACTTTTACAGAGCAGAGTTGGGGTGTGTAACGCTTCATTAAAAACAAGAATTGGAATTATACACATTGAATCTAATCACTATAAAATGTTCCTTTAATCGCATGACTGTAAAATTTATATATAAGATGTTATAAAAATATATTATTGTGAAGATATATACCAGGGGTAGGCCATGTAAGTGTGATGTAAAAACTAAAACGTTACATTTTATGAACAATTTTTACAGTGTTGCAAAAGCAAAAGTGGAAAACAATAAGCCTAGTGCTCAAAACTAAATTTAATCACAATCTCAACAAATTACTTGAGATATTTTTAACTAAATCATCAAAATTTTGGTTTAAGTTTGGTTTTGGCAGCATCAGGCGGCCCAGATTGAATTATCCAACAGGCCGGATTTGGCCCGCAGGTCGTAGTTTGCTCATGTCAGATATATACTCTAATTATTTTTATTAATACGCAATGACTTTGCCCGATTTGGGATGAGCAAGAGCTTCTCTCTTCTGCGTTTTCCGTTTTTTCTGTATTCTTTTACTTTTTGTAGTGTAGGCCTACATGAAACCTATTTTCTTTTTTCCCAGTGCCTTGAGTATGTGATGAGAGATTATGTCAAATACTGGTATAATGATTTATCTGATGATGAAGAATTTCTCCAGTCGTTTGAAAAAACTTTACACGAAGTTGTGAGGATAATAAGTACAAGGTCATTTTACTTTTTTTTTCAACAGTATTTAATTCAAATATTAAGGCTGGGCAAGATACAAAATAATAATAGCCTAGTTGTTTCTGGGATCATGGCATCTGAATCGGGAAACACTTACACCCAACTTCGATTCCAAAGTCCCAGCTGTTTAAAAACGACTCTTGACTTTGGGCTGATGAAAATTTTGATTGACTCCCAGTTTCAGGTTGAGATAAACGCTCTGAGAAAACAAAATTTTTTATAACAGAATCTTTTGCTTATGCATACTTTCTTTAATTATTTCTTGGGATTGCTAAGTCAACTCAATTTTTGTCAGAAATTTGGCTTCGATTATCACTAATAAATGTCTGAAATTTCGACTTCCCCTCCAGCCAGACTCCACCAACTTGACTTCGATACCAACCATGTATAATATAATAGTAGCTGATTTTGTTGTAGGTTGTATTCTCCAATATTTTTTAATGGTACTTTTATCTTTGAAGGCTATTATTACCGAAATTCCTGTTCAGTTTTTGTTCAAAAATACAAAATGTGCTTTGAAATTAATTTTCTTCCAATAAAATACAAATATCACTGACTGCTCAATCACACTTTTTCCTGAATTTCATCAGCTCATCATATATATTTCATATGTGTAGCTTTGTATTTAATTTTTTGATTTCTGAGTGACTTTAGAATTCATTCGATGAATTCAAATTTGGTCTTTTTTGTGTACAATTACATTTTGAATTTACTTAATAAAACATGGCCTTATTTGGGATATATTCTAAATTCTAAAATGATCTCACAGAGGTTTTTTCTTGATTCACATATATTTTTGAATATGATGAAATTTTGCTAATATTAAAAGTTTTTATTATTTCATTTTTAGAGCAAAAAATATTGACTGGCAGACGTACCTTACTACAAAGCTGGTCGATGACTTTGCCTCTCATGTTAGATTATATAGAAAAGCCCAAGAAAAAATTACGAAACTGCAGGTAAATTTTTACATTGTTTCATTGTGCTTTGTATGTGTTTAGTTTGATGTGGATGCCTCTTGGGTGTGAAGTTACGGTGTTAGGTGTGGTGGTTAGATGCATGCTTTTTAAACCATGTATTCAGTGACTTTATCGGTATTGTGCTATTTTATATACTGGTTAGAAGAATAAAAATATAGAACTAAGAGAAATGAAATGGCATATTTGCCTGTTATTGCGGTACTGGTTCTGCTTATAATATAGTTATTATATTTGCATTGAATTATTTAATAATGTACTATTAAATTAAATTAATCTTACTATATCATGATAAGGAAATGTTATGTTACCGTAAGTCATGCTATAAGCTTCTTGCATTCAAACTGGCTAAATAAGTGCAAGTTAACTTGATTGTCATAATTTTATTGATTGTATATATATATATCTGTTCCATTCATATCCAATGGCGTCGCTTATCGATCTGATGTTGAAGAATTTTCAAGTAAAGTTGAATCACTAGAATTATCAATCGTAGGTTAATTGTTTTTTTTTGTCGAGTTCAGGGTTTCCCAAACTTGCCCCCTCAGAGAGCCACGTTGAGATTACAAGCGAAATCCCTCAGTAGTATTATTCGCGAAGACAACGATTTCATATTTTTGCATTGGCTTATTATTATACTTCTCCCATAAAATAACCTACAAAAACGTGTGAAAAACAAAACTGGTAGTCAGTTTATTAAAGACCAAAGGGTTCAAGTTCTCAAGTTGCACCTGTATGTTCGTTTTATCTTTATTTGATGTTAAATTGGAATCCAATGAATCAATCCCAATGATTTTATCTATGTATGTACAGGAGGTTTCCCAAGCATGGAAACAAAGGATTACCGCTATGAAGGTATAATATTCTGTGCTGATTTTGCTGAAATTATTCTGTGAAAAAATTGATGCAATTTTCTTTCTTCTTGTTTTTCTTTTGGAATTTAGATATACTTTCTTTGATGCTGCTTTTAGGTTATTGCTAAAAGTAAAAGCCCCTTTTCCCTATTTTGTCGCTAATAATTTTTGACAAATATATTTTCACATCCTATATCTCTGTTTCAGTATAGATTTTTCTATTCTAATTGTTTGTATGGATAATTTTGCATGCATTATGCTTGGTGGATCATTATCTGCAATGCTTCTAGCTTATGATTTTGTTTCTGAGCTTAAAATGCATCTTGTCCTCAGTTGATTTGGGTCGAACATTTTAGAAATATATTAATGGCACTTAAAATAGATAAAAAGAACTATTGATATTTGGATCTGTATGGCTATTAGGCTTATTATTTACTGTTGTAGCCTATTTAAGAAATCAATTGTAAATATTTAGTTAAATTAACCTTGAATTGTATAGCTAATCGTCTATACCCAAAAAGTAGTTGATTGCTCTCACAAGTAAGCGATTTTATATAAAACAAAAAACCTTTGGGTTGTAAATTTCATTGAGTCATAATGGGAGTATAAGTAAATTTTTATTCATTTTTCAAATTTTATTCAATTTTGTTCAAAAGTCCTGTAGCCTCTTCAATTATCTATTAGGTTAAAGAACTTTGATAGGTGCAAATAATGATTGGCATATATTATGAAGGTACATCAAATGAGATAAAAAAACTGAATAAACACTGATTGAAATGAAACAAACCTGGTTAATTTATATTCAAAACTGACTTCATAACAAAATTTTAATTGTAACAGCAGGACTTTATAAACACTGTGTATTACTACTAATTATATTTCCTTAATGGAATCTTGAAAGTTTTTTGTTTTGTAAAAATTTTACAACTTTACCTATCACCAGGTCATATCACACAATTTAATCCTTTTCTCTCTAGTATAGCAGAATTTTCGGTTTGTTCCTAGAATTTTTGAAGGTCATTTTCCCAATTTCTCTTCATACTTTACAGATTAAATCTTTTTGTCTCTTGAGGTTTCATTTTCATATTATGTGTGTTAGACTTGTGGGTGTTAGTATAGATTTTTTGTATATTCCTAATGCACTGATGCATTGGCCTGAAATCTATTGATTTTTGACTCGTTCAAATTCTATTTAATATATAACGATAGCTGAACTTTGTTTTAAACTTAATTAACATTTGCCATTTTAAATTGATTTGGAATGACCTGTATTCCTAAACTTCCTGTTAACTTTGACAATTAATTAATTATTTCACTTCCCCATTTTTTGCAGTTTTATGTTTACACTATCTAAGTTAGGGTCATATATATATTCCAGCATGCTTTTATTATTTATTTGATATTTATTGCTGTTAAAAGTTGGAAAAACAAATTTTGTAAAATTGGTAATTATATGCTTCTGGTTACCCCACTATATTCATGAGTGAGTGAGTAACTAACATTACTTGTGTCCTACTCTAATGCCATGTCCATAGTGATATCAATGGCATTGGGTCTCAAACCTGAAATGCAAAATATATTCATTTTGCCGTGTTTAATAAAGTCTAGTAGAAGTTTGAAATGTCAACTTTTTCTAAAAACCTTCATTTTAGTTGGTAGGGTTTGAAAATAATTTTCAAACTTTAATCTAAAACCCTGAATGCCATGGGATCAGATAGCTGTGTAGTAATTAATTATTCATGTTAGTCCAGCTATGTGGTATAATCCCAAATGATATTCCTCCCACTTATCTTATGACTTCACTAATCAGCAAAATGTAAATTCATTATGATGGTGGTAATGTACATATGATAGCATACAAATATATTATTATTATTTTGTGATGTCATTTAATTTGTTTAAAGGATATTGCAATTATAAAAAAAAACTATTTATTTGGGAAAAATCAGTAAACGTTTTCAGCCTAATAACAGTCAATATTTTTCCTAGCTCATTCATTTTTCTAATATAAAATTCATAAGCAGACAAATGGAAAATAATATTCATTTTTTAAGTTCTAGATAATAGTATTAAGTAATAAGTAATTTATTAAATTAAATTAGTGTATTATCCAAGTAATAGTATTATTAATAAAAGTATTGTGTATTTCACAAATTAAAAAGTCTGAAAAAGTTAGTTCGGTGGCTGTTATAGATACTAATAAATTTCCAACACATAAGGAAAATGTTGATTCTTGCTATATTTGTTGTACATAGCCTACAATCAACAATAGAACATGGCTAATTATACTCTTATCATGTTTCCTATGCTTGGAAATGGAAATTGTTTTTAAAAACGAAAGACAAAATGAGAGGAAATAACACTTTTTTCACCATAAAGTTTTCAAAGACCAAGTAAAAGGTATTGAGCAATGCTTATTAAATAAGGTCAAATAAATAGGTTTTCATGGCTGTCATGATGCTGTGGAAGGACCTTTTACAACAAACATAATGCCCTCATGATATCTAGCAATAATATTATTAAGAAATATACTTTGGATTTTATGTAAAGTTCCACCATTTTCAAAATTATTTTAACCCGCTTTGCTAACTTTCAATCTTTTTCCTTGAGGCTGTCGAGTTTTGCAAGTTATGGACTGGAAGTTTTATTGACCATGTCTCACCTTATTTTCAGCACTATGTATTTCTGTCATGTAGCCTACTGATTGATCACTTTATCCAGGTTTCTCAGACAATATGTCTGCTATGCAGTTTCCCATTTATGATTTCCCTGTCAGTTGTTGGGACTGAGATAAATTTAAGCAGCAACAACGTTTAGCATACCAGGCAGATATTTTAAGTTTTTTTTTTTTATATAAGCAGCAAATGTATTCTGATGTATACATTGTACAGTGTACGCTCACTTATAAAATGTGTAAGACAAAAATAGTTAAATAATACAAGTATTACCGGTAGTTACATTCATGGTATCCATTATGTTTCTATTGTCATGATTTAACCTTACCTGGGTAGTCTATTGATTCATCTATTCTTTGACTGATGCTAATCAATATTATTGATTTACTGAGGCGCAATTTATGAAGGTTTAAAATTCTTTACCATTTCAATTCTTCGTTAGATCAACAAAGTGTCTCATGATGCTGAGCATAATGCAATGTTAATATTTTGTTAAATTTAATGTCTAATTCATAGCTATCTTTTCTATGACTTTACTACGAAAAAAACGCAGTATTTTACTGTGATAGTAATATCAATGTTATCCCACGTCGATAATTTTTCTGTGCCTTTAAATTAACATGTCTTTTCTTGAGTCAAGTTTTAGTTTTCCATAAAGTCCTGTAAGAATTTAAATTTTGTTTCGAAGTCGGTTCCCAATTTTGAAGGGGGGTTTTAAAATAAGGTTTTTGAATATGAAATATTAAATGTATCCTAAATATGAACACATGTTGATTCGCCAAAATTGAATTTGGTAATTTGGAATGCATATGCTGTTACCACTCACGCACATACAATAATAAAGAAGTTTTTCTCCTTCTCTGCTATTTTTCACAGAACCAGGAATTAATAAAGAAAATCTATTATTTCTGACCATTATATGTTGTTGAATGCCTAAATTGATATAGGTATATTTAGATAAAATAGTTATATTCCTAATTATTCCAAGCCTGAAATCAAGATTTCTGGTTGTAAGCAATTTAATGCAACGTGTTTTATTTTGCAAATGCAATCAAGTTTTTCTAAAATTTTAAATTTTTAAGTAATGTACCGGTATGTCTTTGTCTTAAAGTAATTTCATTGTTCATTCATAATATGGTTGTATGACCTTACACATCGTTGAAAGGAATCTTTTCTATGGAATTGTTTTCGACGTTATTGATATTTAGGACCAATCTATTTGCAATATAGCATGTAAATTAATTTTTTTCTCAAGGTTAATTCATTACGTATTAGATCTGATTCATTTAGTTGATAAGCTTGCAACATATTGGTCAGTACACAAATTTGTTAAAATATTTTTCATCAGTTATTATGCTTACACTGTTACGAGTAAATATTTGCATTTTTGTTTTCCAGTAGGCTATTGTGTAGCAGCATTTATCTACTGCTGTAAAGTTATTCTTGCATGTGCTGCACGAAAGGATGATGTAATGCCATAAACCAGACATTACCTATGATGATATGTAGCTTAATATTTACATAAGTGACATTAGTCGTCCCCCTGTACCGTTATTAACTCAAAACGGATACAATTACAATTCAAAGCTTGCATGTTGCTTTGTTACTTTACGTTCATTCTTATGGTCATTGTTCTTTCAAAATATGCATGATTGCTTATAAATTTTCCTTTTTGTTGAGTGGGAAAAATGTATTGCAGACAATAATCATATTACACCTGAGACTGAGAGTAGCCTATTAGATAATTTATGCCCATTGTTCATCATTATCTCTACATTGGCCATTAAAAAGAATTTTTTGAGAATTGTTGCAATACTACTACTAGTCTATTAATCTTTATTATGTAGAATCTTTGCAAATCATCATTTGTATTCAGGTTGTGTGACATTGTATGTATAATTTTCAGGGTACTGATTCATCGAGTGAAAGTCAAGATAGCGTTTCAATATCATCCAATACATCACAACAAAGTAAACAGCTGAATAATAATGAACCTAATAAGGTATACCTAATCTTTTTTTTTAAACCCAATCGAGTGTGGGCATGGATTAATCATCCAGATTGGATCTATCTTCATGCTTAGTTAAGGAAAATTTCTGTCTTATATTCCAGACCGGTGGACAAACTATTATTGATGTATTTTTCGAATGTGAAATTAATGTGGAAAAAGTCTGTCGGGAATTAGTATCATGTGATAAAGACAAACAAATGGATTATTTTCAGGTAATAAGCAAAGATGTACAAAACAAATTGTTGGAAAGATTACAGTCCTTACAGAAATAGTAGGTCTTCACATAATATAATCGAGAGATATTAGTAGATGCTTGTTCAGTGGCTTTTAGGAGTGAAATACACGAATAAACATTGCGAAATAATTTAGAATTATATTCAACAATTCTAGCTTTATTAAATTTCATATTGTCATGGTTTAAGGTTATAGTTTGCGCTATTTGGGCTCAAACCGACTCTTATCTTCCCCAGGTGTTATAACTTAACAGTAAATCAAACACACAATGTTTTTCTTATGTTATTTTCTGACCAAATATTGAACGATAGATAAATATCAGTTACTTTTTTAATTTTTTCAGGACGTAAGCGAAGTTGTTTTATATTTATTATTACCTGCCAAAGAACTGCACTGTCGACCATTAAAAGCTTTGTTAAAGGTAAATAAAAAAAATTTTGTGCTCAAGATATGGTTTTTTTATTGTTTTTTACTCCAGATTTATTTTCCCCTAAAAACAAAAAAAATTATCCCAGATTGAAAAATGTTGATCAATAGGCCTTTTCACTCTCTCCAATTGATTATTATGGGCATATTTTGATGATGATGTCGAAACAATATAAACTCAGCTATGATGTCATAATGTAACAGACAGGGTTTAATGAGTCACATTTTCAATTTCGTATGAATGAAGATCAAGAAATGTCTTATAATAATAGTGTCATATTTCACACTGTCTCATAGCTCAATAATTTTCCATTCTATGCATTCATATGTATTCTGCTCTGAACAAGGCTCTTCTCACAGGGGGTAACTCTTCGGCATTTCCTGCCCAATTTATTACACCCTCGGCTCGGGGTTTTGAGGCATGGGACTAGGTCACTGCTTCCCGAAGTTTCTTTTGATGGATTACTATCTGTTTGAGCATGGCATATGGTACATACATGCCCCATACTTGACTTAAGAAAATTTGCATTTTTATTTGTTTTGATTTTCGATGTCATGCATTATGCATCTGTGCATAGCACTTTTGTTGCCAACTGTCAAAAACACTTGATGTCACTTTCCATTAAGGTATTTTGGGTTAGCTACCGTTGAACGTAAAAATCAATAATTTTGTTAAAAAAGAGGACAGCATTTGAATTGTTTCGATCTTTTTTAAATTTCAATTACACTTTATTCATCCCTTTTTTTTAATTTTGAGTTTTCTACTAAAGGATGTGTGTATTGTAGTAAATATGTTTTTGTTTTATGGGTATTGAATTTTAATATATTTAAAGTCTAACTTACTTATAATATTTCCGTATTGTGTTTCATTATAATCTTTTTAATTGATTTAGTGGGGCAATGGGATATTTGGTTAGTACTTATCTAATTACATTGGTCAGACATTGATAATTTGCGATGACATTACATATAAATGCCCAGTGTAGTGGTTCTCAACACCTGGGGCTCCCTGGTCTTCTATAACAATGAATAGTCTCTATTTTAACACGTTTTCATTAGTTATGCACCATTATCAATAATGAAACAGCGAACAAAATGAAGTAAAACTAAATGCATTATAGTCAACGAATTAAATATATTACTGTCTATTTACTTTGTATTAATAATATAGTCAACGGCCATCGCGAATGGCACCTACTGAAGAAAAGCCTTTACATCTCCAGGGGACCACCCTTCTTTGTGGACCCTGAGGGCTGAGTTTGAGATATCCCTGCACTACAGGACAGGCAGGGGTGAAGCCAGGGTGGGGGGTTGAGTGTCGGAACCCCCTCTTATGAAATGTAAAAAAAATCATTTTTCTGTGCCATACATAGCAATTTTTCGCATCTTCATACATTTTTTGGACCCTCGGGACCAACGTTTTCATCCCCGAACCCACTATCTTATACAGTCTAACTTGGCAATTAGAAATGTCAGAACCCCCATTTTAAAATTTCTGGCTACCCCTGTCACCTTGTTTTTTGGAGGGAATGTGAAATATATTATAAAAAGATGCAATTCAAGTTTCACTATTTCTATAACATAAATCATGGTAATTACTCTTCTCTACATTATTATTAATGTCTGTTTTTGATTATTTTAAATTTCACATCTGGATTAAATTTTAAATTCGCCATTTCTAGCACAAACCTGAACTTTGAACTATGATTCAAATTTATTGTTCGAAAACAACTTATTTGTCTCGATTACAATCATACTCATACTTTGCTTTAGGCTGTTTGAAGTAAAATTACGAACAAGAGCATCATTCAATAACGTGAAACGAATTCTCATTACTTTACAAACGATTGGGTTTTGAATAGGAAGGAAGCATTACATGATTAATCTGTCGTTTCATACCTAGAAAGCATAGAACGAACTTTATTACCTACAGTTTTTCTTTTCTTTACATCAGCCGATTGAGCATGGTTGATTCAAAATTACTCAGCTGTTTATTCGGTAATGGTTGATACTTGTCATACATTTTCTAAATTTGCAGTATTTCGACCTATGGTAATGAGAAATAATACATAATTGCTACTGGATTATTAGATTGGGTTTTAATAAGGCCAATATGTAATTTATTCTTTCACCTTTTACATAACTGTGTATTAATTATTGAACAGGTTATACAGTACAGATTTTGGCGCTCCAGAAGTGTGTGTACCAATATGGCGTTAACTAATTTTGTTCGCCTACTTTACATCAAGTTGAATGAAGCAGGGGTCGGCAACCACCGTGCCACGGCCCATCGCCGGTCCGCGTAGTGGTTACTGCCGGTCCGCAGAGAGGTGACACAAAAACGAACAAGGCTGTAATAAAAACTTTTCAATCTAACCACAAACCCTACAACTGAAAAACAGCACCCTACAGCAAACCAGACAAACACAACACATTTGAGCAACATGTCTGACTTCACAAACAATTGCCATGTCAGTATGTTGCAATAATACTGGGTCAATTGTTTCCACTACACCCGTATAAATATGTTTCTCATCAGTTCGTATAAAACATCTCTAACAAAATAATCCTCGCTAAGAACGTAACTACTCCACTACTGGCTTGTAGCTAACAGGTCATGCCTAGTCAGTGCTAATTCTATACTTTAGAATCCGGATGATCATAAAGTTACAGGCATTGTTACCTTTCCCGGAATCTTATTAATGTAAGGCCTGGTTTTCAATATTGATAACTACAAAAATGTCGACCATATCTCCAATATGGGAACAGTTATTTGCCAGCAAACAAATACAGATACCACATTAAATAGCACCACTTTCGTTTTTTAGTATATTGTCAACACAAATTTCCTAATGCGTATAATTTATTGCATAGCCTTAGTCCGTTTGTATGAAGGTGGTCCGCCAAAGTTTTGGTCAGGCTTTACCGGTCGTCCGTCACTTGAAAAAGATTGCCGACCACTGGTATAAAGGGACTGAAACCTATGGGCAGGGGATATATTGGCTACATGGCTAACACAGACAGTCCCTGAACTCGTAAAAAAAAAAAAAATGGTGGAAAACCGGGATAAAACTATATTTTGATTTGAGATTTCAATAGATTCATTTTCTGTCATGATCACATATTAATCTTTGATATTGCTATTTTTCAACATTTTTGAAAAAAATCTATGGCTTGTTTTGAAGTGTTTTAAAGCTTCTCTCTGAACAAGGCAACAAAATTACTCGCTGGGGAGGAATTTCTCTCCGGTTAAGAAACATGGCATTAGTGCATCGGAATCGATACAACAAATTTTCTCTAAAATGGTGAATTCCATCTTTCTTTTTTTCAGGAAGTTTTAGTGCAAGGCATATTTACACCAATATTACAATTATACAGCGATCCAGACTACCTCAATCAATACATGAATTGGCTTGTAAGTACTTAATAACTGTTATTAATTCAAATATCAATAATAAGTTAGCATTTTTTATATGGTGAAGTTCATGTAGTTCATGTCTTTAAATGATATTGATTTAAAATTATTGCGAATCATATTTGAAGTTCGTAAGTTTACTCTATTGCTGTGTGATAGCCTATCGATCTATCACCAATTTGTAAAGTCAAAAATTGGTATATAGTCTTATGTATAACATTTGTCATTATAATAGAACGTTGATTATGATTGGCATCACTTCATATTCAAGGTTGTAAACAATTTTTATCGGCCAAAAAAACATAGAATTTTTCATACAAGACAAGTCTTGCTATCTAAACGGGCGTACATGCCTCGTGCCAGTCTGGAAAGCATGGAGTTTTTGGTAACCGTTCAATATCGTTAACTGTCGGCCTAATTTATCTATTGTTACAGCAAACTAATTTATTTCACCGTAGGCTGAATTTCTTAGAAATCACCCAGCAATTTAACCTCCAAATTTCTTGGTGTTCCGCGAGGCAAGATAAAAAGTGTAGTGTTTTGGGGCAAAAAAAGTTTGAGAAACGCTGCTTTATTAAATGTTAGGTTGCCGATTTACATCTTCAGGTCGACAAATATCTAGATAAAAAGCTAATTATTCCAAATCAGGGATAATTTTGCAATTATTGGGAATATTGAATTTTTGAGTTTGACATAACCCATTACGTTTATTTTATCCGAATTAATTTTTTTATAGGGTTCATAAACTCAATGTATCAGAACCCGGTTAACGTGAAATTGTCAGGCGAAATTTTTAACGTGACTGACCAGTGACCAGATGTTGTCTTCTTTGTTCTCTGACATTATTGAATACAATGAATATTTTATGTTATATTGAATGATCTTATTGATTTTTTTGCACAGCTTCCCACATGATTATTAGTGGTATGTGATATTCTTTATGAATCTGGATATTAATTTGTTTATTTCCTGGGTTAAACATGTTGACTGACTGCCATCATTACTTTGTAATAAAATAGACTAAAATGAAGTGAAATGAACTGTATTTCAACTTGTTGATTAACAGTCATGCACGCTTTTTCTGCGCCACCCTGAAATTAATAATAGTAATTGTTTGAAATTTTGTTTCCTCTTTATTTAGATATCAGACAATTGCATAACGAGCGAAGCTTTCTTAGTAGTCGTTCGACACAGTCCGGTTGTTGGAGAATTACAAGCTACTCGTGATATAACTGATGAAGAAATTGCTCGGACGAGAGCAAGAGATGACGTAGGAGATGGTGAGTCCTAATTATGTGTATTGTTGGATCTCCGCTCTAGGAGACCCTTATTCTCAGTCGTTCTGTTTATCTGTCTGTCTGTTTAGCTGTAGCGTCTAAACGGCTGGGTTGATTTGAAAATTCTCTTGTGAGTTATGCTCTCACCCTAGTAATGGGAATTTCACTTAATGTCCGAATTGATATTTTGTTGCCATGGCAGCAACAAAAAAGCACATCGATCTTTAAAAAATTCTCCATTTATCGTTTTATATTTGTCAATCAAATCGAATATTGAAATTCTGAGAATGCTACCCTCCACGGAAGAAAATACTCGAACAAGCTGGCTTCCGTCTCGATAGTCCATAAACTGAGAAAGCTTTAGGAATTTTAGTGAACATGTTTCAATTATCAACTACAGGATAACTTTTGCGCAAAGATAACTACAAGATGCACATTGCTCATAATGGCCTACCGGCTTGTTATTTTTTATTTCTCAAGCATTTTTTTTTCTGTGCGAAGTTATGGTATGGAACGATCTACTATTTTTAGAACTGCAATCTTTACCAGGTCTGCATTACCCACCCAATTTATTCATAGTCAATTTAATGATTTTTTTGCCTTTTGACAGGAATTTTTTTTACTTCGATTACTAACATTGGGTGTCTGAAATATTATATTTGACTCAGAAATATTTGAAACTGTCAGACTCTGGGGATTCAGACAGTATGATTCTGACTTCAATCGATTAAAACATGCAATATTCAATTATTGTCTCGTCATTTCGATTTCTGGTCAACATTATTGAATTGCCACGACACAATTATTAAAAGTAACAGTTTAATATAGCCCATCGTATCACTTTTCATTTTTTGAGATATTGCTGTATTATTTAGTGTTATTGACTTTTTAGATCCAGATGTTAAACAACAATTAAGCAGCATGGAATATGTCCGAAATCTTTGTGAAAACAGAATAAACAAACTGCAGAGAGGAGAAATGGGTTATGAAAATGACATAGGGGTATGTTGATATATATTATGAAGTAATAATGAAAAATACAGGGTGTACATGTAGTTATATTACAATTCAAATTTTGTTATGAAGTCTGTTTTAAATAGATCTTTATCTGGTTTGTTTTTATTTAAATCTGTGCTTATTTGAGTGTTTTTACTTCATTCCATACCCCTGTGGGGGAATAGCACATTATATATGGTATCAATAAATGCCCTCTGCAATTTTATGTGTACTCTGTATGTTGATTTTCAATATAAGTGTAATTTGAACGTTATCTGAAATCTGTGCTGTATTTTCATACCTTTCTCCCAAATAAATTTCCTTCAGATTAAAGAACTGAAAGGAAACCAATATTTTTGTAACTTTGCTTTTACTTATTATTGGCTGATTTTTTTATAGTCTTAGAGAAACACCCCATGGCAACAGATTATGAAATTGGTATCACTATCAAATCATTAATCTAATATACAAAGAATAGAAAATTATGTTGCATTCCTTAATTCAATTTCTATGAGTTTACAATGATTTCTGCAAATTTATTTGTTAGACATGACACATTTTTAAATATATATGTACAATGTTCCATGTTTTAAAATATTGTTTCATGACCGGAATAGTAAATTATTTGATTTCATCGTTCCTGCTTGCACAGTATATCCAATGTACAAGGGTTAGCTCCCCAAAAAAGCCCATGCCATTTGTTAAGCAACTTTTCGCTAAGAATCCTAGATTACTGAAACTTTTGGGGACAATCATACTTAAATAGAAGTTTAAGTGTTAAATACATTTTTTTTTCATTTTTGTAAAAGTGATTCAGAAATTCATCAGATGTGTTTAATTTGAATTGATTTTAATTAATTTGAATTTGATTTTGATAAATTTGAATTATTTATGTAATGTAATATAGTTCTAGTTCAGTTCAATGATTGAATCTGTGATATTCCTATCGCCATGCATGGGATTCGTTTTTTATTTTTTGAGCGAAATTTGCCACTAAGTGGCGCTACGTGTTATATATTTGAGCGTAGCTCTCTTGTTTTTTTATGTAATGTAATATAGTTCTAGTTTAGTTCAATGATTGAATCTGTGATATATTTTTTTAAATTTTATACTGTCACAATCCGATGAATCAATTATTAATGCTTAATCACAGTGAACAAAATGGTCGGGAGCCTCGGTGACCTGCTAAGGTCTTGCATACTGACCATCACAACTCAATGTTCAAATTATTCACTGCACTGTATTTCGATAAAAATCTGTAATATTGACTGTTCATTTTTTTTATTTGAAACATTGTTTTGTGACAATAAAATCTCTCTCTCTCTCTCTGAATAACCTGTTGTATATAATATACTACTAATATACTATACTTTTTATTTGTGTTACAGTCATATAAAAGGATGTTTTTTAAAGTGAAACTTGCAATATAAAACTATTGTTTTTTTACTAAAATGATTAGATTCAAAATTGTCATTCCGTTTTTTTTTGTTCAGGGCATTGATTCTTTGATGGCAGACAAATCTTCCAATCTTTATAATCTTCCTTTAAGTACAACATTACGAAATAATATCGCACTTCAATTTTTTATTGGTAAGTTGTCTACACATTCTTCGAAACTAGTTAGCTATATTTAATTAATAATATAGGAGGGATGAAGATTTAGAAATTTTAATCAATGAAACATCTAACATAGGCCTAACTGATTTCTAGATTCACCCATCATATTCACCAATTCAGCTGTGGTGGACTATAATATATTTGGTAGGAAATTCTGTACTGCAGCACTTTTCCAAACTTTTTGTTTGTGCGGTGTCAATTTGTTCGCAGCGCACTTAATAATCGCATAACACCCCCTTTGGGAAATACTGCTGAGCCGTAATATTCTGGTCTTTTTAAAACTAGTCCTCATGTAGTTACTGTCTGCCTGTTTGAAGTAAAAATATGAAAACTCTAAAATAATATTTAAGAAATTGATGATGGAAAATACATAAAACTATTATATTATATTCAGTTTGTGAGTCAAGGAATTATAGAAATTTTTCGATGTTAGAGAAAGGTTAAAATGGTTTCATTCGGAACTATTTGTTTAAAATCTCATTCTTTTTTGATGATGAGGATCTATCGTTCCTTGTTTTCTCTTTAGACTTTATGCAGACAGTTGATGGACAAGCATATTTATTCTTCTGGTTAACGGTGGATGGATATAGAGCATCTGCTGAACAACAACTCAATGCTGTTAAAATTCAACAATTATCTGGTAAAATGTTGTTCATTATTATGTTTGTTAAGTAACCATTCAACTCTGCCTTTGACTTAAAATCTAAAAATATCATAATTCTTTGTTTTTGAAGATTCAAAGTTTTTCACAGGATCCACCTATACTGTATCACAGTGTTTCCCAACCTTTTCTGGCGCATTCCTCCGTTTGACTATTTTTGATACTCTTTATTCCTTTCCCAATATGCACAAAACTTTCATTTGTTGTTCAACCTTTAACCCTTCAACGAATCATCAGCAAGGGATACATGTAACATGCACTCATCATTCATATTGTTTGATTAGTTTATGATGGATACAGAAATTTGTATTACAATACTACACCAAAACAAAAAGTAAAATTTCCTCTTTAGAAACTGTAAAAAAATTTCCCGGGGTGAAAATAACATTGTACCCATTATGTTAAATAAATGACTGGGAGATTGGCACATCATTCTGGGAAATATTTGACTCATTTCTCACATTCTACAGTTTTGCCTTTCAGAATCTTAACTTCCTCTGACTTTTATAATCAAAATGAATCCCTTAGATCACTGATTCTCAAACGACAGACAATACTTTGAGGGAGCGTGAAGCTAATTAAAAATAAAAATATTTGTTAGATTTGATCTTGCCTGCCTTAGTTTGGATATTAATATTTTAAAACTTTTCAGTTATTTCAATATTTCTGTTCCATCCACATATTTTTAAGGTGTTTTTCGAATAAAACAAACTTTCGCCGTACTAGCCTATCTGTTATCTGTAGCTTATTGTTAGCTAGTTATTTTTGAGTTGGGACGTGAGACATCACAAATTCTAAAAAAGGGGCGTGGCTTAAAAAATTTGAGAACCACTGCCCTAGATGTTACTTCGTGTATAGCACACTTTTGAGAAAATTCTGTTGCTCGATTTCGCTGCTCAGATAAATTCACATTTGCCTTGTCAAGTAGGCTAGTCATTCATGTTATCATTCGCTATTATATTTACTGATTTTTTAAAATTATACAGGGCAATTGAAAGGAACACCAGACATGGAAATGTTACGTGTAATAGGAAGAAACATATACGAACAATATTTAAGTAAAAACGTAAGATTAATCATTTTCCGTATTTCTGATTACACTTTCCAGGGATTTATAATAGTTTGATCGATATATTAACACTGGATGAACCCAAAAACACAACGCAGGCCATTCCCAACACATTCTAAATGTAGAAACTAATTTCGGATGAAATATTTGAAACAACAAAAAATGCTATATTTCACAAAGAAGTAGTGATCTATTGAAGCATTTCTTTCCTATATAGTATCCTTATGCGTCTTGATTTGTTTTACTTTAAAACATTATTTGATTTTAGGCAAGTCCCAGGGTTGATTTAGATTCTGCAACGGACAAAGAAATTTTAAGAAGATTAAGCAATGAAGAACCTTCACCTAATGTCTTTGATGAATTGCAAAAGAAGGTAATATTGATTTTTCATGCAATCAATATTGAAGTTATTTGACAAAAAGTGGTCCTATGGATCGTTTTGTTATTATGTTCTTGTTGATCTTGTTAGAAGTTTTTTTCTCCTTGTTGTGAAAGAATCGCTTTCTTCTTCAACTACTAGACCAATTGCTTTGAAATTTTCAGTAATTAAAGATTGGTGTTACTGTTGTCGCTAGAAGGCTATTTCCTTTTATTTTATTTTATTTTCTATGAGATTCGTTTTAGCTTCAATGACGTCATCAAACTTGAAAATTGCGCATAGCGCCTGGTTTCGTGATCACATTTCTTAATCAGACTACCAGTACTCTAAAAGATTCGATACTTAGTTTTGGCCTTCGTGTCCATTTGTAAGCATTGCTTTCTTGTTTATATATCCTAACTGATAACAAACATCACAGAGAAAACAAAGGCCCCATATTTATGGCGTTTTTTATATATGATCAACATGAAAATATACTGATTTATGTAATTTTTCGCACAAACTTCGATAATTCATATTTGAAAGGTTTTTTAAAAACATAGTGTGAATTATTTCAACATTTGATATATATCGTAGTTTCAATGTGGAAGGATCGATTTGCTAAAAAAATACACTATTTATTTGTATATATTCTGAAAGATATATTTTTCAGTAAATATAACTTCTTTCAACTATCTGTTATCTCAATCCATCGCATAGTGCTGAGGGTTACGCTTGCAATTGCACCTCTGATTACCCTCCGTGGGTTCGCATCCTCGAATTGTGTGCAAGAGGATTTCTGGACTCCTCACCGCCGTAGGGTGGTTAACATTCGACAGCTTCCTCCTCTATCATATCCATGCATCTGAAACAAATAATTGACCAACTTATCCTATACCTCACATGGGCTGGTAATTGTACGAAAGGCTGGGTCATGCTAGATGATAAAGCCTTTCAGCTTTCCTCTTTCATGGAAAAGTATGAAAGTACTAAAAAGAATTCAAATTTTTTCAAAGGTTTTTCAGACAATGCAAAGAGATGAGAAATTATATCCAGCTTTTATGAAGAGTCCACTGTACATTAAACTGCTGGCTGAACTCGATTTACTTCGAGAGCCGAGTAATCAGTCTGAATCGAGCGTAAATGGTTCAATTTCAAGTGCGGTAAGTAAACATGAGATATGAAAACTACTAAATTTAAGATTTGAAATAGTAAAATAAAAAAAGCAAAAAATATATATTTTGTGGGACTAAAATATCTCTCAAAAAAACTTGATTAAACAAGTAGTCTTATTGTTCTTCAATAAAAGGTAATATCATGATGATAGGAATGATAATCATGTTCTATGTCTGTTCAAGCAAATCTTGAATACAATAATAAAAGTGCATTCTAGAGACTGACATGTACAGTATTGTACATGAACTAAAGATCTTGAAGGGCATTGAAATATCAAGGAAATATTCAATTCAAGTGATTAAATGGCCAGAATTTTGCACCTTTGATTTGTGCTTTAAAATTCTGCAATTTTGAAATAAAAGTTTATCTGGCATAATTTCTGTTAGGAATAAATATATACGAAATGATTGCTGTACTACTTATCAACAACATAGAATTTCTGGTCATTTGTGTTTACTATACAAATGATATCTATACGTTTGGGAGAAAATGGCGTGCAGCTCGCTTTAAAACTATAATGTATAGGTCCATTATGTTTTTTATAAGGAAATATGCTCAAAGCAAAGTCGCACATACTCACTCAGAAATAAAAAAGATTAGGTCTGAACGAAGTTGGTACAGGTGCAACCAAAGTGCCAAGAGCTATAATGAATTATAGTGTAGAACCGTATGTTAGTAAATACCCTTTAACACGGAACTTGAAGGCATTTCATGACGATGCGGTCTGGAAAACAGTTATGAGGTAGTGAATTCCACATAACTAAAGTAAAACTGTTTACTTCCATCTACCAAAGTATTAATACAAATATTTTCTGATACTGATGTTGGTATTGGCTCATTATTTATTCTATGGTTGTATCCGATACTTCAATCAGGTTTCCCATTTGAGCTATTTCAATTTGTTCCATCAATGTTGATGGCAAATCTTCTTCATCTACTTCATGAAATACTTCAGTATATTCTACATCCGATACTCCTGACGGAGTTCCAATTCCAACACTTTCGCAAGACACGTACGATGCTGTAAGATTTGGCACTGAAAGACTGAGCTGTTCAGTATGTTTACCATTGTATGAATGATATAGAGGGTTTGCGACTGTTTTTCTGTATAATGAGTCGTCGTCATAAGGAGTAAGTATCGATGCTTGGTAACTTTCCATATGATTGTTGCGAACGCTCCAATCGCTGCCAAATCTAACGCTTGAGTAGGTATGTGATGTGTTGCTCGTAATACCAGGTGTTGATGGAAGTCTTCTACCTAAATGTATGGTTGAAAGTTCAGCAAAAAATTTGACCCTATTTGAGTTAAATCAATTCATGGCATGGTGTAGTGGTGAAAAGCGTTAGATTTAATCACATATTAGAATCTCGGGTTCAAATTCCATGCCCACCACCTCCTGCAAGGTGTAATAAATCAGGGGTGTGCAACATTTTTTATTGGTGGGCCATATAACCAACTTACGACATCTAATTCGGTCACAAAAAAAAATATTTTTTTCACGTATACAACAAATTGAAAAATTTTCATAATAAAAGGCTATCACTTAGCCCTACAGTAAACTGAAAAAGATTTGACGCAATGACAAAGAGCAAAAAAATTTTTCTGTATTTTTACACATGTGTCTGCCTTTTTAAACAAACTTTTGGATTAGGATTTAACGCTTGATGGAAAAAAAATCTTCTGAGTGTTGAGAAGGACCACACTGAATGAATTGGCAGGCTGGAATATGGCCCACGGGCCACCTGTTGCCAGCCCTGATTTGAACTATTGAACAACTTTTTAGAAATGGGAGATGCTACATAACAGCAAAACAAGCAGACTCTGTTTGAAAAATTGAATATTGGGTTGTATCACGAGCATCAACAGAAAGAACGAGGGCCATTCTGTAGTAGGAACAAACCCAAAACGTAAAATTATAGTAAAGCTAACGACAACTTGTTGGTTTTTATCAACTCAAAGTTGAATTTGCAAATGCCTGTCTATGAGGTATTGAGGGGATTCCTGACTGTCATCTTACGTAGCTTTATTTTTGAAATGAAATGCTCACAGAAGTATGTGCTTTGACACAAAGTCAAAAATGCTGATGGCCGCGTTACAATTCAGAAAAAATTAAAAAATGGTGTATCTAAATAGGTTTTAAGGCCATAGATTGGCCTGAGGGCCATATGTTTCATGCCTTTGTCATTGTCTTTGACCAGTTTTGGCAGCAGATATTGAATTTTGTATTCCAAATTGAAATTCGAAATTAATCTTTTCTATTTCTAAGCTACTTAACTCATCGGGATACTCTAACTCAAGTTAACTTACTCTGTAATTGAGGTGGTGTGGTATGATTCTCGTTATTCACATCCATTGGTAGCGGAGAAAGTAGAGAATCAGTAGGATGGTTTGCAAATGTAACAGCAGCTTGTGTGTACGATTGCCATGCTCGTTTCTGACGCATCACCATGTTCATTATTAATAAACCTCCAACTAATGTTAGTGTTGAAGCAAGAATAATTACTAGAATCACGGTAATGCTAAGTTTCCCGCTTTCGGGTACTTCTGTTGTTGAGGGTGCACAGTTGCAAGTCATGTTTCGGTTCTGTCCAAAATAAGTGATTATAACTATAAGATATTATTCAGTGAAATAAAGAGTTGTCATTTGGGCATTGAAAATGTTTTGATTCACTTCTGAAACACAGAACCCAGGTCATTTGTAACATATTCTAGAGCAGTGGTTCCCGAAGTTGATTATACGGGGGCCATACTTAGATGCAGAAGGATATTTGTGGGCCGAGAGAGGGGAGCGATCGCGATCTACCAGTACCGGTACATATAATTAAGATGCCGGAATAATAGAATTGTTACGAATATATGCATGTTTAAACTGTGATAATGACCATAATGGCCATACTAACTCGTTACTACTGGCCCACCCAAGGATCCATTGAAGATTGGATGATTGAAGAATTTTTTATGCATAGTGAGGTTGTAATAAAGAGTTCTGAAAGAGGCAAAGGACAGAATGTAAGAGAAAAAAGGATGGGAATCATTGATCTAACCTCTGTATTTGGTCCTGTACATTTGTTTTCTGATTTCACATGAATGTGAAGAGTTGCGCAAGATCTTTTTCTATTCACAACCTCAATTCCATCTGATGCTGTTAGACATTGACAATTAGACCATGACGTCCATTCTTCCCACTTAAAACAATTGTCTTCATCTTCTCCTCTTGCGCAATCCTTATATCCATCACATATCTAAATAAAACACAAACTTGAGTACCAATTTGGAATGTTCGACGAAAGTAGCTAGCTCGGAGCAAGTAGAGAATCTAGATAGGGAAGGATATACAATGCCTGATCATATTATTTCCACAACCCGTATGATCATATAAACTTGAAACTCAATGGCGACCATAAAACAAATTTCTGGTCATTCAATTGAATAGGTTTTTTCTCTGTATCATGATTGATATAATTCCAGAATAAGCATTTTTGTTTTCCCTGTCTGTGAATTGTGAAAACAGGACGTAGGATAAATAACCACTTGGTTTGTTATATATGCCAGTTGCATAATGTCTTTGATTGGCTCTCGCTGAACAGTTATTTTGATCAAGCGTCTGAAATTATGACGTCTAATTGCTCCGAGACATCAGACAAAGAGAGAGAGATGTGCTTCGTCTCACCTCTCATTCTTGCTGTGAAGCAGTAATTTTTGTTGTGAACATTCGGGTCATATTAAATTAAAATTAATTCATGGAAAATGTTAAATCTTGACACCATGTAGAAGCCCCCAGAAATAGGCGCTCGTTGGCAGGCTAAAAATAGTTTTCGTCTTTCCAGGAAACCTCAGTATTTATCTACTTACATCACTATAAGCAAATCCTTCTTTTTCATCTTTACTGTTACATTCAAAAGCTTCTGATTTCACGAATTTTTCGCAAGTAGTTTCATCACTTCCATCAAAACAATTCTTTGACCCATCACAGACTTCTGTAACATTGATGCATTGTTCCACTCTAGTGCACAAAAATCCGTCACATTTTCCATCATAATATACACAATTTGATTCGTCTAATCCACTGATGCAATCTTTCCTTCCGTCACATAATTTGTTAACGCTGATACATTGTTCCACTTTCTGCTTTGTAAATAATCAACCTTAATTACATTTCATAATAGTACACAGTTTCGGTGCTCCCGGAGTATTCGTACCAAGATGGCGCACAACCTGAACATAGCATGTGTACCAGGTTGGGGTTGTTCAGGTTGTGTGTCATCTTGGTACGAATACTTCCGGAGTGCCCAGTTTTCTTTAACACAGAAGTTGAAAAAAATTTTTTGCATAAAATTTTTAGGCCATTAAATATATATTCTTCCTTTATTAAACTCTGGGTGAGGTTGTGTGCATGGGGTTTGAACTCAAGATTTTAATATGTGATATTATCATAATTAGGTCTAACGCTTAAAACCACGCTTTTATTTCTAAGTGGTTAATTATTCACTGTGCCATCTTTCTGTATATGGATTGAAACCTTCTTTTTTTTTTCAATTTTGCTTGTCTGTGATCTACATATTCACATTACATCCTCAAAAAGAAGAAAACCTACTTTTCCATTCTTGGATGGATTTCTGCAAGAAAATTGTTGACACTCAGCAGTACAGTTAACCTCATCTGTGCCATCAACACAATTCTTTATTCCGTCACATTTTTCACTCTCTGAATGTAAAAATGTAAATTGCGCAATATATGTTTGAAGTGCATTTCTAGCTAACAGTTTGTGAATTATGCCCAACATTAAGATCACTCTATCCATCTCAAATTCTGGTTGAAGATAATTGTGTTTGGAAGCATGATCTCTTGGTCTTTCTCAGTACTAATTTACTTCTTTCTCTACTATCCAGATTCGTTCGTCTGGAATGATTTGACTGGTTAAATCAGCGGTTCCCAAAGGAGGCGCAGCGATTTGCTAAGTGCGCCCGAAAATTAACAGAATTGTGTTAACCATAACTAATATATGATTGAATATTTTACATATTGTAGTTATTATAAATGTTTTATGTAAATCCATAAATTAATTTTACATTACCATGTCGTTTACTTCCTGTTATGTAATGTCTATTGTTACGTAACAATAGGGTAGAACTACCTGCTGTAATTTCGTGAGCTGCAGTTTATTTATCTGCTGAACTGAGTTTAGCGAACATTAGAGATTAGACAAAAGAGTTGACATTGCCTTTATTCTTTAGGCAAACATGTTTTCAAACTTTTAAAGGCATGAAGTACACATTTAAGGCAGCAATTTTTTTTTTTTGTGTAATTGTGCCTTGAGTTTTTTCTTTGATATATTTGCGCCACAATGAATAAAAGTTTGGGAACTGTTGGCAGATATTTTGGTACTAAGGTTATATTTACCTTTGAAATATCCACCATTACTGCACTGTAATTCCTCATTTGTACATTTTTCCTTCATCACACCATCAGAACAACATTTTAAAGTTTTCATATTTTCTCTAAAAACAAGTAATATAGGGATTAATGTAGTATGAATGCTGAAACTGGGATAGTGTAATTTTATAGCAAATAATAAGCTGTAGGCTTATTACAACGAAAAAAAATTTTGTTCTCTTTATGGGTGATATTTGCAGGGACAGGCAAAATGCATTACTTGAGAAATACATGCATTTGACATTTTAATAATTCGGAAAGAAAAATTTCCATTTCATCATTTCAAGCAATTAAATTTTGTGCTAACACTAAAAATGCTGTATGTATTTTCGGAATACCAAAAAATTCAACCAATCATATTAACAATCAGATATGTTCACTGATGCGTGTTTCCTTTTAAGCATGACGCAATATAAAATATATCACATACTTAAAAATATTAATTCAAAATAGTAGAATACCTCATTTTGGTCATTCCTGGTTATTTGTAAAAAAAAAATAATCATTTTTTATTTTAGATTACTCAAAAAAAATATCAAATTTCTAACCTTGTTTCCATAGTAAATTTTCCTCCGCATTTCACGCATGACATCGTCTTTACATTATATTTTACAAATCCATCATAAAAATTATTTTTTCCAATTCCAGTTTGACACCACCCAAATTCTCTTTCAAAAATTTCTGAAGATACAATCCTAATCCCAATAAAGCACAAAATCACTTTTAAGACAACTTGAAAATATTTTCTAGTATCTTGATTTCCATACAACGCCATAATTGAATGCGATAATACAGTATTGTTTATATACCATATGTTTATTAGTGAACCACCTGCGTATTATGGTGCCTATTGGGCCCATATTTATTTTAAATATCCCATTTTGTTTGTTCAATCAACCAGGGGCCACGCTTGATCTTACCATAGTGATAAATTTATATCATTTTCATGCTGGTTCGAGTGTGAGATAATGTAGTTTTTAAGTGAATCATACCCATGTCACCTCTACGAAGACGTAAAATGATATATCTGACAATATGACTAAGTTGTACTATTGACAGTATAGTCACAACATTGTTCCTGTGATGTAGTATACATACACATACCCAGGTGAAAGGATGATTAATATAGAGCGTGTGGAAATCATCTTGATTGCTCATCTCTTTAGATTGTCATATTTTTATTATAGAATTATTGATGATGAATATAGTACTATCTATATTAATAAATTGATACTAAATCCATATATATATATTTTTAATAGTCTGCATGTTAGAAATTGTATTTCAGTGAAAAATTGTTGAATAATTGTATATTTTCATGACTCGGTGGCATAGTTGTTCACGCGCTGAATTACCTTTGGTGGTATCGGGGGTTAAAAGGTCTGGATTAAATTCTATGCCCACTACCTTACCCAGGGTATAATGAATTGGGTAGGCCTTGGAAAGATTCTGGTTCTTTTAGAATAAAGAGCATCTACAATAGTGGCCGCTTCTCAGGGCTTTGTTCACAGTGGAATCTTTACTGGAAATATATTAAGAATTTAGTTCCAACACAATTAAAAGTTTCTAATTTTTCAATATACTGCTCAGGGGAATTTTGGGAATCAAATCCCCCCTTTAGAAATGTGAAAAAGGCAACATTCATAGCAATTTTCATAGTTTGAAACGCTTTTGAGACCCTCAAAACTTTAGTTGGATCTGCTAGCTGTAACCTCCAACTTTTCAATTAGACATTTCAGAACCTTCCTCTGCCCTTTGAAAATTCTTGACTCTGTCCCTGATTCTGCTTTTTCCTTCAAAATCTTCTGTTTCCCTCATTTAATTCATCACTCCTTTTTTTACAGTCAATGGATGACCTGACGACAGAGAATGAAGAGTCTGGTTCAAAGTTCAAAGCAGTTATAACACAAACAGGTAGATGTTTTTCTTTCATTCCACCATATCCATTTTTACTTGCACCAGTAGCAAAAGTATATATAAATTAAGTTTCTAGTTTTTCGCCATTCCAATACTGATTATCGTGCGTGTCTTTGTGAGTTAAAATCCTTTGGGGAAATATTTTGTGTGAGAGGACTCTTCGATCTTGCAGGGTGATTTATGTAACCGCTTGCCACTTATGGCTTCCTTTATCATTCGAGTGTATATATCTTAAATACCAAACTGGCCAACTACTAACTGTTGTCATACTCGAGCTTGGCTGGCAAATGTTTTCCACATTGTTTAGGGCGATTAAATTGGAAATCCTATGTTATCCTGTTTTCCCAAATCTCCTTTGTAATCTAACAGTCTGCATTGTTGGCATTGTGATAGCTTTATATATTTGAGTGGTGGCTGCTTGTAACGTGCCTTGTTTAGAGAAAATTTCTGCAACAAAAATAGTTTTAATTGTTCGTATGTGGTAAAATGTCTACTTTTTAATATATCGTTCAACATTTTCCAGGTATTTGCAATGAACACGGAAAATCTTACGCTTTGTTCGCAATCAATGTAGCGAGATATTGGTCTGTTGCTAATGGAATAACAAAACAAGAAAAATGGGATACTTTTAGAAGATTTAGTGAATTCAGCGATCTACATCAGAGCTTGAAAGAAAATGTAGGAATTATTTAATATTCAATCATTTTGATTCTATTAGAGTGCGATATTTTTTTCATTTATTGCCAGATATTAGGTATAAAAATGATGAAAATTTCAACTTTTGTGCAAAAACATTTTAGATTACTGAAACTTTGTGTACAATTGTGTTGAAATGTTGAACACAATTTTTTCTCTTTTCCTAGGGTAGCAATCTCGGTAACCTAAGGCTTCCAAGCAAAACAATTTTCAAAGATTTGAATGAAGAATTTTTAGAAAAAAGACGAGCAGAACTCAATAGTTATTTGAAGTCTGTTTTATCAATGGAACATCCACCTCGTGCTATGGAAAGTATTCATACTTTCCTCGATGCCAAAGCTTATCAAAAAAATAATAGAACACTGAAGAAAAAGGTTTGATGGTTTTCTTTTTCGTATTTTTATAATTGCAAGTTTTAATATTGGTTTCAGTTACCCAAAAAATGATTTCAAATTTTTTTTTTTATGCTATTCAGCATGGCTTCATGTTCCTATTGTATGTTTGTATTATTTTATTGTGACACATGTTAATACCCTCGCTCTGAAAAAGTCTTCAGGCAAGCAGATATGTGTATGTAACGAACGTTATCTTTAAAAGTACAAGAATCTTCTGAATTGAAACCTACTCTGTGCTGTGAGAGATTGGAGGCTAAAAATTGACTTTAGTAAATTTACCCCCGTTTCTGTTAAAATTTCACATCTTTCAGAAGTAGGAAATTTCAAACATATCTTGGTGAGAGAGAGAATACGAGTCCAGCAAAATTATTGCTGAAAACTTTGCACTGAATGGTGCATGTATGATGTAACCACTGGTTGCCTATTACTTACCCCTCTAGTTGAAATTCCAATTTGTAATGATGGAATGGCTAGCTCCTTCAATACACAGCCTGGAGTGATTTCCCAGAGAGAGGTCATGGTCCATTTGATTAAGCTGCTAATGCCCTGTCTTTGTGTCGAGATGGATAAGAAAATCCTGTCCCACTGGCCCAAAACATCAGTCTCTAACTCAACAGCTTTCATGTAACCCTATTTGTATTATATACGCCATTGTTAAGGAAAATTCTCACTCCCTATAATGCTGGTTCATTTTTTGTTTAGGTTGATTCCGTAATGCGAAATTCTGTGAGAAGTGTAACTAATTTTGTTATGCAAGCACCTGATAATTTATTAGACGGAATCCATAAAGCATCTGATAAAGTATCGGGTGGAATACATCGGATTTCGATCAGAAAAAATGGCACAGATACTCACATCAACGACGATGGATTGCTATTTGATGACTGCAGAGTGTCAGAACAAATTGAGGCAAATGTGTGTATGATTATTTTTCTGTCGATAGAATAGACCTGGGGTGTACTAATGACTGGGTGAAGCCGCGGGCCACACCCTCATTTAACATGGGCTTTCTAGTAGTTGCAGGCACAAAAACTTTGGTTATTGATCTTATGACATGCGTTGTTCGCTTCGCGTGCTAGCTGTTAGGGCATTGTAACATCATTGGCATAGATATTCAATTGTAATTAGGTATAGGCTTTGTAATGTAAAGGGATTGAAATTAATCACGCCAGTCGCACGTACCATATTAAACTATTTAAAAACTAGTTATGCGGGTCGCACACCATTCAAAATTAGCACTACTCCGCCGACCACTATTCCTTGCGGCCTGCAGGTTGCAAAACCCTGTTTAATCACTAGGCCATTAATTTTTTGCCAAGAATGGGGCTCGAGTACTTGAGTTTGATTATCTATTCTTCAATAGATCGAGGGCAACATTCCACTCCGAATTGTTCTTTTGCTCATGGATGAAGTCTTTGATTTAAAACATAGAAACCAGTGGTTACGTCGTCAAATCGTAGCCGCATTACAACAACTCGTTCGAGCTGTGTTTGGCGATCGAATGAATCGTAAAATCATTGAATATGTCGACAATGCTGTGGCACCTGAACAGGTAATCTTTGATCTTTTATTTCAACATTGTTGGTAATTTTTAAAATGTCCTATATTAATTATAGTTTGATAAATATATTATTAATTACTACCTAGCACGCACTGTTTACATTATTTTTTGTTTTTGTTCACAAGGCATAATGCTTTCAATGTTGTCCAACAAACGGCAACCTTTTCAGCATATGTAAATAATTTTGGAATAATCATTGTCTTGATAGAGCGGGACATGGCCTTTTTAGTTTATTCTCTTATTTTTTTCAGGTTGTCGATTACATCTGTAAATTTCGTGACTCATTCTGGCCTGGTGGAATTCTAGCAGAAAAAGCACCAGAACGAGATATGGCCGTCAGAATGAGAACAAGGGTGCTGACTAAGTCCAAACTTCTTGGTGCTATTCCAGGTACTGCTAATTAAATTTTTTACACAGTCAAAAGTTGAAAACAGAAAAAAGCAATTTTTTTTTATTTTCATTTTTTGCAGATGAACTTCGACCTTTAGTGGGCACGGAAACGTCACGTCGAGGCATGATGAGAGTTTTCGAACTTTTTCAGCATCCTGAGCTCAATACAAGGTTATTTATTGTTTTAATGGAAGGCGTCATGCAAAGACTTTTTCCTTCAAATAGGTAGCTTGTTTTTTTAACTTTATATTTTTGCTTTGTTTTCTGACATTTTTTATGTGGTAGTATTGCAGAATGTGTTCAAAATACTCATTTTGGTTTTCTTTTTTTCTAGATTTAAAGAACTTTTTGAAAAATTTCATTCTAACTCTCCTAAAATGAGAGCAAGAAAAAGAGAAAGAATGTCACGACGACCTCTAATCAAGGGAAATGGAACAAAAAGGACTGTTAGGTCTCGAAGATGACAAAAATTTCATACACAAATTCATCATCCTTCTTATGCCTTGACTTTGCATGGTACATTGATAACTAAAGTTGATTAGACAAAGTTTTTCTTTATATCATACAAGGCCTGGCATATAATTCTTAATTCCTTTTTGCATTTCCAATTTATTTCACTACTTTTTTTTTCACTTTTTTTTCATTATTTTTGAAATCTGACACTGCTGTAATGTACGTGCAATGCTTGTTAAACCTTAGTACTTGTTCGTTTTGCTCAGCAAGAAGTCATAGTCAGCAAATCTTTTTTTTTTACTTCTTTTTGTGAAAATAACGATATTGGCCCAAAAATTAACATGAAATATTTTAACAGTGATTTAACTGACAAAAAGGGTATTTATGTTGAAATTACATAAGACATACCACAGGCCCAAGCTAGAAATTTTCTGCACTCTGAATACAAAACAAAAAATTTATCTTACTATGTTAGATAGTCAATATAATAGTTCAAGTCATTAATAATTATTTTAAAAATTAACAAAAAACCTATCCTACTTCACCTCACATCTGCATTTAAAGCCTCTTGTCTATTCCAAAGGTAATAAAAGACTGTCCACAAATTATGTGATGCTGTAATTCTAACAGATATGATTCAAGTGATTGTAGATAATGGGTTCTTTTTCCTTGCCTTGAATGTGTTATCTACCAGCGTACATCTACGACTCTTACCAAATTTGCAGTTATCATGACATATTCTATTTCTCTCATTTATGTGCTTTCTTTCACCTCAACACAATAATATTTCGGCTTTTCTCAAAAGTTGTTCGTTTTGGTGGGATAGATTAAGTTAAGGACAAATATTTTGTTATGGTTCTTATTTGTTACAACTATACATTTATACTGATATCGTTCTCTGGCTGATATTGATCCAAAATTTGAAAATGTTGATTGTTAATATTTCTGAAACAAAAATTTTCTGAAATGCATGATGCTACATAATATATAAATTGTTTTGTCATCACCTCAAAAATAACTAGCTAGCAATAAGCTACAAATAACAGATAGTAAGGCAAAAGTGAGTGGAACATAAATAATGAAATAAAAGAAAAGTTTTGGAATTTAAATATACAAAATAGTGTGGACAAGAAATCTGCAAGCAGCAGATAGCAAAATTTGGCATAATTATGTTTGCAAAAGCACTCTTTTCATTGTGACTCAAACAGTAATTTCATCTCAACCCTACCTTTCGCCTACTACGGTATATCATAACTCCTTTTAAAGCAAAATTTATAAAAACTATAATTTTAAAACTTTATAATATTTCATCAAGCATGCCCAAACATAAATAATTTCGGAATACATTCTTCAAAAACAGTTATATATAAATATCAGATAAGTTTAAAATTGGGTCGCATTATGCCATATTCAATCTATATTTTGAAGATTGATTTTGATATGATATATATCAAAATTGTTGTTAAAAATAGCTTTTAAAATATGTCCACTCAGTTTTTTGTTTCTACAGATTACACTAAGTTTTCTAACCTTGTTCAAACCAACTCTGTTCAAAATAATTTTTAGTTCCGTGACTTTGTGGTGTTTTTTATCACTTGGAAACAATCCCTTCAAGTTCAATAATAATATGTTTAAAGAATCATAGAACATGTTCTTGCTACTTTACTCGGTTGAATAAAATTGGGTTTACTAATGTCCAGAATATTCTATTTTGCAAATGTTGATTTTCAATTAAACAGGCTGACCTCAAGAAAAACAACACATGTCATTTGTGATATATTTTAGAGGGAACATAACTTTTGTGCTAAGCATCCTAGATTAATGAAACTTTTGGATACAATCATACACAAACAGAAGTTCAAGTTTTGACTAAATTTTCTTCATTGTTATGGAAGTAATGAATAGGATCTGTCTTTTTTTAGATCTTCCTGTGTTTTGTTTTAATTTGCCAACTGTCCAATAATATCTTAAGGTGGAGTAACCAATTTTCTTATCAAATGTGGTTAGAAAGATTTTCATGATATTTTTTTTGGGAGCAGAAAATGATATTTTGGGAGGTCTGATGAAAAACGAATCAATCTGTTGCAGATAAGTCGTAAAAATATCCAAGGACGATCAGGTTTTTTAGGTCTATTCGATCTTCGCAAATATTAACATCCTAACCACAACATATCAGCAAAACAAGTCTGACAACCTTACTTTATGATAGTTAAATTTTTCGTAAGTAATATGGTTAGTACCTATTACGTGGCGCAATTTTTTTTGATGGAGCATTACTTTCCATTCATTTTTTCCTATTTTTCTTTGTTTATTTTTATGTAGAAATGAATACTATGTTCAATGGTAGTAGGTAGTACCTGTTGAGAATATGTGCAATTTGCTTGTTTAGAGATTTGTTGTTTAGATATTTCTTTTTGTTATTTATAGATATAATATAGAATCCTGTTGTGCTTGTTTTACTTTATCTGTATATTTAGATTTATGTGAATATCTGGGCAGGGTATGAAATGAGATTTTTTCTTTTTTTTCAATTTGATTGGTATTGAGGGATTGAGAAAATTTTATTATCAGAAATTGTCTGTTATTGAAAATTTCGATTACTCGTGGCGAAGGTTCAAACTAAATCCATTGTGTAGCGATACTATGACATTTATAGCATGTTTAGTATATAGCAAAAATTTTTAATTTCTGATTACATTTAACCATTTTGCTGAATCTTTTTTACAAGTTTGAGGTTTTCAATCTAAAAAGGCAAAACTTGTGAATTGAGAAGAAGACCGAAGTTATATTTTTTTAGCATAACGCATCTTTGTATTATGTTGGTGAAAATTACTTGAAGCTATGGTTAAATACCAACCTATAGAGCACCTATTTCTTTGTAATATCGTGAAACAAGACTGTTTAAAATTTCAAGTTTCACATTTTTTTCTTGAAACCCTTATGTCATACCTTTGGAACAATGCCATCATTTTATCAAACAATGCTTGAGGATTCGAAATTTTTTTTAAAAATTGTCAAACTTTTTTTCAAATAAGGATATAATCCATAAGAAGCAAAGTTGCTACGGGCCACTATGACCTATACAACACTTGAAACTCACAGTATCCTATATCATAACATAAATCCATTCCAATATATCTGAATCCATATTTTAAGATTTAAAGAGAAGTATGTTCTCAAGAAGACCCAGATTTAACAACAGCTGCATTTTGTTTTCGACTTTTGTGACCATGCTTGTGATGGGCCGATATGAGTTGGGTTATATTCTATCTGTCATCTGATTTTGATTTGGGGTGTATATGCCAAATTTATATGCTTATTTTACATAAAGTCTAATTTCGTTGCAAAACTTGAATTTCATTTAAGTGAAATTCTTCTACAATCACTACTTTTTTGGAACTCTTCTGATTTTTTTTAAAAGCACAGTCCATTTCCTTATAGATCACCGAAGTTGTGTTTATGCTTACATGACTAACTACTTATTTCAATGCTCTCTAGTCAATTTCCATTCAGAAATATCTGTTTAAAAGGTGTACTTTTTATGATTATTCCATGACATTTTTTATGACAGTATCAGTAACAAACGGGAGTTATACGTTTCTGAAATTCCCTAGCCCATCTTTGACTACGTGTTGTTAAAATCGAGTTAATTGCGACAGGACTTTGCCCAGTAACAGCTAATGACACTTAGACATCTGATGTTGTCCTCAACATAAAGTCACTGTGAAACCACACGAATATTTTCAAATCATTTTGGTCATACAAGACACTGTAAATTGTGGGCTAAATGCTTTGGACATAATGGTTTGAAATCGCCAACAACTGGCTGTTTTCCATGCCAGATTTTCAATGCAGGGCCATTACGGCCGAGATTTTAGGCCTACCTGAGGAACCCTCGACTTACTTGCATTTTCTGGTATATTTTTCTTGGTCGATCGAATGGTTTTGTACTAGAGATGTGACGATGATATAATAAAGTTTTGGAAGAATGTTTATTCATTTACGATGATTTATCTTTTTTATGGACTGTTACATTGAAAGAGGGATCGAGATAAGTACAATACACATTGCTCTAACGAACAAATACGACTTCATACAATTTTCATATTTATTTTGGATAAGATGAGAAACGAAAGACCAGTTGTGGAATTTTCAGGGTTCTTGGAATGTAATAATCGACGAACCTGTTCTTGATTCAGACGAACGCAGCAAATGGGTCATCCTACGGCCGACAACTAGCGTTATATTTAGAATTTCAAAAGTTATTTATTAGAATTATGTGAAGCATGTCATGTTAATTCAACACGTATGAAATGAACTTGTGATGGAAGTAGGTATATATACAGGCCGCAGTTCAGTGAAATTCAGGTAAAAGATTCACAGCAAGTTTAAAAAAGTGAATAGTGTGTCACACTTTTCCTTCACGAGAGCCACTAGTGACGATATTTCGCGGGATCGTAAGTTTTATATCTTGATAATCAAATTATGCGATTACTTCTAATGAGTCTCACGCCGCAGTCTGTTTTTTGGTACCCCCCGTAGTATATGTACCAGGGAAGGCTAGGCCATAATTTTATTCCAATTTTCCTTGAGCTTCCCGGTTAAACTGAGGATATTTTAGTTATATATATTACGAGTTCAGGGACTGTCTGTTTTAGCCAAGTGAATATACCCCGTGCCATTAGGTTTAAGTCCCTTTATACAACTTGGTGTAAAAGTAGGCGAACAAAATTAGTTACGTCCATATTGGTACATACACTTCTGGAGCGCCGTTTTTTATAGAATATCAAATCTTATATAGTGGAGAATTTCAAACTGCAATTCTTCTCAGTTTCTTTGCTATTTGATGCCGTATTGTTTGTTGAAATCTAATTCCAACTGTGTAAAATTATTTTGAAGACAGTCTGGATTCTCGCCACCGTACCACCATTTACTTAAACTTAAGTTCGGTTTTCCTTTCGAACCATCGGTTACGGTTCTACATAATCCGCAAAATTTTTCATCAACCAGGTTCATTTTCCCACACGCACAATAAATGTTAGGTTGTCTTTCAGGAGGTTCCAGATTACGCCATGCAAAATACTTTAAATATTCGTCGTCGTTTTTATCCAAATAGTTTAAGTATTGTACTAAATCTTTCAACGACTCGAAATCGTCGACATAAATAAAGGAATTCGGTGGGGCTACACGAACGATATCTTCCTTTAGTGGTCCCCAAACAACGGGCACGACACCATTCCATAATGAATTCACCCAAAATTTTTCAGTTATATAGTCTTTACAGTGTATACTATTCTCAAACGACATGAAAAATTTATATTGATAAAGTAGTTCTGTTATGTTCCCTTCGTATCGCGATCCAAAGCATTCCCCGTATCTGGAACAGAATGACAGTCATCAATAACACTTACATATCACGTTAGACTTCTTTAGAAAAGTATCCATTAATGTATTTGGGTATATCTATAAGTTTCGTTATTCAACATTGGACAATTTCAGATATTGTGGCATCGGTTAAAAATATGGTCTCCCACTTTAGCACCGTAATAAGAGTGAAATAGGGCATCTTTTCATTTAGTATTGATATTAAATTTAAGAGTATTACCGTGTTAAATTCAATCCTTCTTCCACAAGTGCATCCGATAATTTTATTCTCAATTGGGACCCAGCTCTCCAGCATTCGCTTGCTAGCATAATAGCTAACTTCGTTTTCTTTTTCAAAGAAAATGGCTGTATCTGTAATAAAAAAAAAACGCTTTTATTTCAATAGAAGTATGCTGTTATGAGTTACATAAAATTGAATTTCAACTAAAGATGTAAGATTCCTAACTCAACTAATTCACACAGGTCAGAAAGAGGCAGACAATTTTGCAAGCTTGGGCTTGTAATTGTTTTGCTTGTGTCGGTTTCAGTCCGTAAAAATTTAGTACGTTCGTAAATTCATTTATGACCCTGTCAAAACCCTTTTATCTTCTAGTAGTGGGAAAAGTCTGATATTTGGCGAGAGCAATACTTTTAGATCACTCATTATGGACTTTTAAAGATTTTCGACACGCTGAGTCCCGGGAGGGAAAGGATTTACCGGATGTTATAGCCTACTAGAAACTAGTGCAACTTCTTCCCAGAAAAGACTGATCCTGAAATAACACAGGTCTGTTGTTCAATTTGCAAAACGTTTTAACACCAACGGTATTCCACGGCGCTTGAATATAATGATGGACTGTCAAACTTATTTCATGACTCGATTCAGAACGCCACTTGAAATGTTAACAAATGATATTCTGATCAGTAGATTTCAAATTGCTTTATGAGCGAACAATTCCTGCAAATGAAAAGGGAAACACCCTGGGAAATACCCTAATCAGGTAATAAAAATAGGGTAGAACGAAAAAAAATTATAATGAAAAAGTATGCAAACGAAAATGCATCAAAAATTTTTGCATCTAGTATTATGGCCCACTGCAATTGCTCGGTATCCAAGGTAGGTTTCACCAGTAGGATGTGTGTTTGCTGTCAGCTTGTCCGGTCAAATAGAGTAAAATATTTTACGATATGTACATATATATCAGGTACTGCTGGGTTACTTACTGTTTTTAACATATCTTTCTGCCATATCCCGTAATTATTAACTATGTCAGAATCTCTTCTATATGACATCGTCATATTAAAAATCTTGTCGTATTCATTAAAGATCACGTCCATTCGTTTTTCGAATGCATATCTAGTGTAGTATGGATTCTCGCCACTCATAAACACGTACATGTGATTCGACAATCTTCAGAAGGAAAACAGAATATATATATTATTGGAAAGCACACACAAAAATTACTTGGCCTCTCTAGTTCTATATTATTTTCGCACTATGGCTTCATCGCAAATTGTTTGGCTATTTGAACCTATACACCAGTTTTACAACAATTCAAAATAGCGGGATATGCTTCAACAAATCGACAGTATATTTACTAGTTATAAAGGACGTTCGTTTCTGTTGATGAGCAATAGTAGGGGAAGAAACAACACCGATTTGCCCTCGTATCGATACCGATCAATGGATGAAATAATTTGCTTGAAATGAGCATTGCCTTGATTTTATGATTATGTATTTCCTTGGGCTTTTTGTCAGTTTTTACTCGTGTTTCCGAAAGATTAGAGCCAATGTAAAACACTCTCAAAATCAGCATAAAAAATATTGCAATGGTAAATATAGGACGAATTCTTATTCATGGGGCGTTGAAGCGCGGATTTAGTAATTCACAGATTACTCGATGATGCGTTTTTTTGTAAATATTTTTGTTTATATTGTGAGAAACTGTCAAAGCTAACGTACAAAGTCATTATTCGTTAATTCTAATATCTACGCTAAAATTACCTTGTAGGTGGCATACTCGTTTTGTAGATAGTAAAGTATTCTGGGTGAAAAAGAAGGACATCACTATCATTTAAATAGTTTCTGTCCAGAGTAACGATACAACCACCGCAAGCGGTTGATAAAGTCCTTGAAATTAGCAAATACTTTTGTAGAAATTCTGGCATTCCCCAAAATAATATCACCTTCGGCTTTGTAATCGTACTGAGCACAATATTCACACTCGATTCATGACTTTTTTCCGATTTTTCAACGTTGTAAATATTCATAATTTCACTAACAGTTGTTCCTTTATAGTTTGATTGGTGAAATACTTCATGTTCAATTCGAGGTGGGAAAAGTTTCAGAATGAATATGATGAGCAGAAGAAAGCAGGAGCTGATGGTCAAACTTCGTATAGAAAATCGCATTGCAAAAGATAGTATAGATTAATCTCATTCTGTAGAAATACATTCATGACTCAATTGAACATTAAAAAATATGTTGGACAACGTAAAAATGAAACCGGCAATTTATGAGGGCGAAAAGCCCAATCATGTTTCGCTCTCTTTCTTGTTCACGATTAGGGCTGGGCATTTCGAATCGAATATTCGAATCGAATAGTAAATTATTCGAATCGGTTCAGAGCTAAATTTCGAATCGCCGCCATCTTGTTTTTATCTTTCCGCTAATGGTCGAGGTGAAATCCCCAATTTTTTTTTCATTGGAGTCATATTTTTTCAACGAAATTCTAACATATGACTATTTTCTGTAGTGAGTTGTTGATAAAACGTGTTTGTTATTCTGTGTGAACGCTCAGTAATTTGTCTGAGTGATTTATTCTATGTCTTCAGTAATTCATTTGTTGAGAGAACCAATTACTATAATAAAGTCGCTTACAATTATATATTTTCAAGTATTCGAGATTCGATTCGATTCGAAAAAATTATTCGATTCGATTCTGAAATCACAAGGTATTCGAAAATGCCCGGCCCTATTCACGATGCTTCAATCTTTAGATAAACCTTATCGTTGAAACTGCGACGTAGCTGAGCAGTACTCCCCGAGTGGCAATTTTCAAGAGAGGCATTACTAAACATTAATTTAAAAAAAATCGCAACTTTAAATGTTATGTGATGCAAATATAACAGGATTATCACCCAGTAATTTGAAAAACTAGTTTTAATGAATACAAAGTCGTGCTCATAGGAACAAATTCATCAAACAGTCCATAGTAAGTATCATTTCTAACCAGCATATATGATAAACTCCTTTTATGATGGAGACTCATCCTTAAGTTTGACAATCAAATTCTACCAAAGAAATGCATTCCTACAAGAAATATTCCAGCGAAATATCATTCATGCGAAGTAAAGTCTAACAAACCTGATCATGATCTGCAAAACTTCACTAGCCAAAACTGGATTCAAAAAAATCAGCTAAAGGTTCGCTCTTGACCGAATTGTAACAGGCATTTGTGAAAACACTTCCTATTATTCTTTATAAGAAAACTATGTGAATAATTATAATTTCACAACTTTGCTTTCGAAATTAAATCAAGATCAGATTAGATAAAGAGACATTTCGAATGTTAATTAACGTAATTTATCAAGAAAACGTAGCAGCTAACAGCGTTTAGTAAGTTTGTTTTATCAATTGCTCAGAACAGAATTGCCCAATACTGATTACTGAGTTACGAAAAGAAGGCCACGTTTCAAGCAATTAGTCACCAGGTTTAGAAAACATTTCGTCCGTTTTGGAATGACTAATAACCATTGACTGTTGCATATATGCCCTTTCAAAGTCTAATTATGTTTCATTAAGTTTTCTGAGATCTTTTTTGAGTAAATTTCCATCAATTTTAAGTGAGTTTCCGCAATATTATTTTGCAAAGACAAAAAAAAACTTTTTCTTTTTTTACCCAATCATGTAATGGCAGTAGATTTCAACCATTTTGGCGAAAGAGAAACCCAAAGAAATATTCCAGAAGCTTGGACAACCACCGTACTACAGTTTAATTGTCTGAACTGTATCGACTAAAATAGATATAAAAGCAAACCTAATGCTGACAAAACAAAAATATTTTCGAAGTGTAGCAAGTTTGATAATAGTGCCAAGTTTAAAGGTCATTTGGTCAATTTTTAAACAACATATTAAATTATATAATTATATCTATTTTGACTCTTAGATTTGCATGTAAACTTGCGAAACATCAGGACTGTAATGGTGGAATTCTGGCATATCGCTGAACACTGTTAAAAACCACTGCGTTACTGTGTTAAGTATTCGAGTTTTAATCTAAATTGTCCAATAACAACAGCTATACATATCCATCTCTTCTCGGAAATAGATTCGAATATCGGCCAAACAGGAAATCAACAACCCTCACTCACGTGAACTCTAGAAAATATAATCTATTCTTATACTACTGCAGGCTACCTAAATATAATTTGATCGAGCTATCAATTGCGATACCAGTTATTTATGCCTCGGAGACAAATGATATATAGGCTACAATTATTTTCTTAAAATGTTTATTCCCGAGGCTGTATTTAAATAACTACAACACTAATTGAAACATGTTGATTAATTCACATTAAAAGGTATTATTCATGCAGTTGATGTAATCGCCAAGCCAGCGTTTGGTTGACTCGCAAAGTTCAAAATGTAAAGTATATAAGAAAATAGATTTTTTCAGCCCGAGCTCGACCCGACTCACTAGTCTAATTCCAAGGAAACTGAAATGAGAAAATATTACAGCGATCGCGGAAATAGTAGAGAACTCCGTTCTTTTTCTATGTTTGCGTCAGTTCTAAGTGATTAAAATCAAATAAACACTTTGAAAATCTATGTTCGCATTTGGCAGTCATCGGGTGCAGTCGCATTTTTCAGTGGTGCAGAAGGACTAAATTGATAACAATGGAAAGTACTCAAGGAACATCAACAAGTAAAGACTGAAATAGGGAATGGAAGTGCAGCATAAAGGCAATATACGGACAACATAACATGATCGAAAGATAATAAATCAGGAATGGAGTACAGGAGTACGGTATGGAATTTGGATGCGGACTGTCAGCAGATATTGCTATTACTAAATGAGTATTCAACTATATATGTGTGAATAGTTTGTAGTGAACTTGATATGACCATATCAATGCGCAACGTTTTTAAACATTCACTCAATGATATATTTTTGTTTTGTTCTCTCTGTGTGTATACTGTTATACCAATACGGGCCACGTCAATATATTAATTAGGCTACAGACCTGTTCACGTGTGATTAGTGTTTTTCCTGATAATTGTTTTATGAGTGTCCGTACAATGAATTTACGGTCATGGTTTTTCGTTTGTTTGTATCTTAAACAACTTTATCATCTTTTCAGCAATGCCCAATCCGGCAAATAGTGTAGTTTTTCGTGGCTTGGTTTTTCTTAGCTTTCATGACTATCGTCGCAAATTTATTACATTTTCTTTCCCACACTATCTTTGTATGAGATTGTATTGGTCATTATCAACGTAAGTGTTAAAAGTACAACAGCCCGAAAGTTTAATACTATCGCGTATTTTGTCTGCTCAACTTTAGCCCATGCCTCATTTAATTGGGTTTGCGTTTTTGTGTGTGTGCTGGTGGGTAGGCTTCTAAACTTCTTTATAGGTTTTGCTTGCTCTCCATAACACCATTTTTAATTTATGTTTGTTATGAGATTTTAAAATAATCTATCCATCCATCCATCCCCCTTTTTGAACTGAACTTTTTGAACTGAAAAAGTCGCCGATAACGCGTGCAATTCCCTTTTGCTAAAATCGCCGATGGTTTACATCAGCATGGCGTGTTATTTAGAGTTTAGACCGTAACCGCCTTTACATTGGTGTTTATTCTCTCTAAAGTCGAAATCACAAGTTTTCCACAAATTTGTGCCACGATAAAGATGATAATTATTTAATTTTGTACTCGCAAGGAATTGTGAATCCGGTGAGTGTTTTATTATACGTTCATCGGCGGCGAGATTCTAAAGACAAATGAAAGAGTAAATCAGCCATCTATATTTTTTGATTGAAAAGCGGCAATATAAAATACTGAAAATAAAATCTTAAACAATATAAGTTTTGTTGAGGCCCGCGCCAGTCTGAAAACTTTTCTAGGCATTGAAAATCGCAAAATTTCGTTATATTTGGTCGGCGTTTAGAAACATATCATCACTAAAATCGAAACATGGTCAATTGTGAGCTGGATTTGCCTTTTTATTCATTACTTCAAAATTGCCGTCGTTAATTTTCGTATTATTATAAAACAAGGCTGAGAACGCGACTTTTTCCCGGTTTTTGATGATATATACCAGGGGTGGCCAATCTGCTTTCGACCACGATCGACTAAAATCTTCGAAATAGCTCGCGATCGACTGATGGGTAATAAGATCAAACACGAAAACGAATGAGTACTGCATATGCAGATGACTGCACATGCGTATAAAATATTCCACCACTGTCAATAATCTCGGTTCTGTGGGCGCATTGAAATCGCCACAAAACTTTGTATCTTTTATGTTCCTTTTAATTTATTAATTTGATTATGTAATCGTACCCGGAGTGCATGTTTTATCATTTATTTAGAATTTATTTAAACCTAAATTCAGAAAAAATAAATACAATTCAGATTTATCACACTACTTTTGGAGCGAGACAATAACTTTCGCATACTGCATAAGTTATTGTAAGATCGTCCGTCCGTCAAGTTAAAAAACAAACGATTTTCGGCAAATTCATTTCTAAACTTTCGCAGCGGCGAAACTTGAATTTGTTACGTAATAATATGCTCTATCGGTCTTTCCCAGACTGTGTGTATATCGTATTTTGCGCATTCGCAGCGGTGTCTCGAAAATGTCGTGTCCCACTTGTTCCATGTGTCCCACTTGTAACACGTGTCCCACTTGCACCACATGTCCCACTTGCACCACGTACCCCACTTGTACCACGTGTACCACTTGCTCCACGTGTGCCACTTGCAACACGTGTCCCCCTTGTACCACGTGTACTACTTGTACCAAATGTGCCATTTGTCCCACATGTCACACTTAAAGGATTGTGATGATAAATTAATTAATTCAATCGAGTTTCATTGTACTAACATAGATTTCACGTCGTGAGATTGTAACGGTTATATATTAAAAATAATATGAGAGGCAGCATTGCGATTGAGCGGATCGGTGCACAGATTTCTCTATTTCGCAAAATGGCAAAAATACGGATTCCTAACGGCGATAACGAATTAGCAAGATTGCAAACATACCTAAATATCAAAACTAAATATAATTAAACAGTTTATCTCATGTGTTTATGTCCACATATTACATCTGTTTTTTAGAGTAGCAATGTATTTAAAAGTCGCCACCGCGAGTTATACACAATCAAGTAAATGACCATGGATTGAATATTGTACGCCACAGAAGAGTCTCACTGAAAAATTGTTTTTTTTTAACGAGCGAATAATCACGGCGACAATCTTGTGCTGTATAGGACACAACTTTATAAGTTTCCGACACAACTGGATCTTCCTGGTGGCACTCGGCGTAGGAAGGTTCATTCAAACCTAAAACGTTGGTAAAATGATTTACAAGGTAGATAGCACTAAATGCTTCAATCAACATTTTCCATCATTTTTAATTTTAATATTCAGGCATTTGCCAAATTATAGTGACTTGTTCGGAATTTGGTGGCTTTATTTATTTTTCGTTTGTTGGTTGAAATGTTATCTGGTGGGGTATTAGTACAGGGTCGAGGCAGTAGGGGGGCTGAGGGTCGCAACCCCCCTTTTGAAATATAAAAAAGCATTTTTCGTAGCTTGAAACGCTTTTGACCCTCAAAACCCCACATTTTCTGGCTTTCAACCGGACCCACCAACTGTTGGTTTAACGTGGCAATTACAACTTTCAGAACTTTACCCAAATTTGTGTATTACTATTATCCTAGCATTTTATTCGCTTGTCTGTATAACAATTCGTCTGTGACATACTTCATCTTCAAATTGTTATGACATTCGTACTTTTCTCTTGTATCTGTGTTGCCATGGTTTTAGGAAATAAAAATGCTTTTTTCCCAATTAAATAAAAGCTGATTTCTTTTCAGTAAGACATCTTGAGCAGGAATCTAAAACTGAATAACATTGTTATTGTTGAAGTCTTACCAAATTCAAGTCCATGCATCTAAGAAACAAACACCCTACTAACTAATGCCATACCCGACATGAACTGGCAACCGGGCGAGGGGTTATGGTTCGCCATAAGATTGAGCCGTTTCATCAGCTTTTCTCTTTCCTTGGGATAAATATGTAAATCCTACCCTATCCTACATTCAAACTGGCAATTAGAGATCATGTTGGCGTTCATAACTCACTGTAATGTTCTTTTTTCGAATTTCATCTCAGTTATTATTTAAGTTAAGTCTTGTCTTGAATTTGGAACAATGAATATTGTCGATATCGAATTTCATTTCAATTTTTTCGATTTATCCGTCCTCTTCGGTTCAAATTGGCATTCTTCAATATGACTCTGAAAATGAAATGAGTTAGTATACATTCAACATGCTTTTGACATAACAAGCGTTCAGCATCCCATTTTCACTACAAAATATAATTGACAGTGACTGAACCGAACACACGTTCAGTTCAGAAATTCAAAATATAAAGCATTATATCCACTAACTAAGCTCCGAATTGTCTATTCATATTGCTGCTAATTATATAAATTGTTGTGACCGCAGGACTCCAAGCAATCATGACAGTGAATCTTATACATTCAATGCACTAATTTGTGACTTTGCATTACTTAGGATTATTTAAATACAGTTTTCCTAATCTGACACCTGAAGCCAGCGTTTAGAAATCTTAGAAGTTTAACTTAACTTTATATAACTTTTCTGGGCTAAATTAAATGAGTCGAATCGGCAACGGCAGATTACTAGCCTGCTTTCCTGCTGCAATTAGACGCCGAGCAGCCTATAATTCCATAGCAGAAGACACCAGCCTGGCCGAGGATTACGCAGAACCGCCGTAACTTTGCAGGCGACGTTGATCGAAAATGGCAGCCAGTTTCCATCTAGTTTCCACGTAGGACAAGTGGGACACGACATTTTTGAGACACCCCATTCGCAGTATTGTATTATACCTGTTTGTAAACACACAACAGGTGATTCATGAAACTGGCTCAAGGTAATTTTTTTGCGTATGTTATTAAAATACACTCAACATCAGACGCGATCGACTACTCGAGACGTTGCGATCGACCGGTTTGCCGTTGCCGGTATTTAAATATAGCCTCAGGGAAACATATTTTAAAAAAAATACATATATATACCATTTGTCTCCGGGGCATGAATAACTGGTATCGCAATCTGGAGCGCGATTAAATTATATTTAGGTAGCCTGCATCAGCAGAAGAATAGGTTAGATATATTTTCTAGAAGTCAACGTGAGTGAAGGTTGTTGATTTCCTGTTTGTACCATATTTAAAGAATATATTTTGGAGGAAAGATGGATCTGTATAGCTGTTGTATATTGTACAATTTCGATTTTAACTCCTAACACAGTTACGCAGTGGTTTTCAACGGGGTTCCGCGATAGATCAATATTTCACCAGTGCAGTCCTGAGGTTTCGCAAATCCACATGCTGAGAGTCAATATAAAAAAAAATATTATTTAATATATTGTTTTAATATGATCAAATGCATCTTAAACTTAACACTATTATCAAACTTGCTACACTTCAAAAATAATTTTGGTTAGCATTAGGTTTGCTTTTATATATATTTTTAGTTGATACAATTCAGACCATTGAACTGAGGTGGTTCATAGACTTTCTAGAATATTTCATTGGGGTTCCGCTTCACCAAAAAGGTTAAAAACCACTGCCATTACATGGTTGGATAGAAAAAGAAATTGGCTTTTCTTCATTAATCACCAAGTAATATTGCGGGAGTAGTCATCTCAGAGCGGACGAAATGTTATTTAAACCTGGTGACTATTTGCTTGAAATGTGGCCTTGTTTGCGTAACTCAGTAGTGGTGAGCTCGTTTGAGATAGCACAGAACTTTGTTAGAATCATAAGTTTTAAGCAAGTGATAAAAAAAACTTCCTAACGCCGTGAACTGCTCCGTTTTCTTGATAAATTACGTTAATCAACATTCGAAATGTCTCTTTATCCAATCTGATCTTGATTTTATTATGTGGGCAAAGTTCTAATCATTCTCAGAGTTTTCTTATGAAGAATAATAAGATCAAGTTTTTCACAAATGCACATTACAGTATCACTTCGGGCAAGTGCGAGCTGATGTTTGAATCCAGTTCTGCACAGAACAGTTGCAGATCATGATCAAGTCTGCTAGACTTTACTTCGCATGAACGATATTTCGCTAGAATATTGGGCGCTCCCGTAGTATGTGAACCAAGATAGCGGACACCGGAACGTAGTATGTGTACCAGGTTAGGATTAAGACCTAATTGTAGCCAAGTGACTCCCGTAGTATTTGTACCTGAAATTATGACCTGACTCTAACCTGTTACACACACTACGTTCCGGTGTCCGCCATCTTGGTTTACATACTACATGAGTACCGATTACCGAATATTGTTTGCAGGAATGCATTTCCGTAGAAGAATTTGATTGTCAAACTCCAGGACGATTCCCAATCCTAAAAGGAATTTGTCATTTATACTGGATAGAAGTCATACTTACTATGGACTGTTTTGATGAATTTGTTAATATAAGCACGAGCACGTTTTCATGAAAACTTGTTTCTCCAAACTACTGCGTGGCATTCTCGTTAAATGGGCGTCACGTAAAATTTGAAGTTGCGATATTTTAAAATTTTTCTTAGTAATGCCTCTCTTTAAAAATGCCACATGGCCAGTACTGCTCAGCTACGTCACAGTTTTAACGATAACGTTTATCTAAATTCTGAAGCATCGTGAACAAGAAAGAAAGCGAAACGTAATTGGTCTTTTTGCCCTCAAATTTTCCGTTTTCTTTTTCACGTTATCCAACAAATTTTTTGATTTTCAATTGAGTCCTGAATATATTTCTACAGAATAATATTAATCTATACTATCTTTGTGAAATGCGATTTTCTATACGAAGTTTTGTCATCAGTTTCAGCTGTTTTCTTATGCTCATCATATTCATGGTGAAACTTTTGCCACCTCGAATCAGATATAAAGTATTTCATCAGTCAAACTATGAAGAAACTATTACAACTACAAAGCAGAAGATTATATTATTTTGGGGAACGCCAACATTTCTACAAAATTTTTCGATAATTCCAAATAATTTATCAACAGCTTGCGGTGGCTGTATCGTTACTTCGGACAGAAACTATTTAAATGATAGTGATGTTCTTCTTTTTCACCCAGAATACTTTTCTAAGTACAAGAAGATTATGCCACCTACAAGGTAATTTTTACGTATATATTCGAAGTTAACAAACAATGACTTTGTACGTTAGCTTTGTGACAGTTTCTCACAATATGAACAAAAATATTTAAAAATAAAAATGCATCATTGAGTAAGCTGTGAATTACTAAATCAGTACTTGATGAATGATTCGATACAGTAAATGATTCGTCGACCCTCGAATAAACACTTCTTCTTGTATTTACCATTACAATATTTTCCATGCTGATTTTGAGAGTGTTTTATGTTGGCTCCATTTCTTTTGGAAACAAGAGTAAAAACTGACAAATAGCCCAAGGAAACACAAAATCATAAAATCAAGCCAATGCTCAAATGAGTTATTGTCGGTCTCTAATCCACTGATCGGTATCGATACGCGGGGCAAATTGGTGTTATTGCTTTCCCTACTACTGCTCATCAACAGAAACGAACGTCCTTTATAACTAACATATATATTGATATATATATATATCACTGTTGATTTGTTGTATTATATCTCGCCCTTTCCAAATATTGTAAAACTGGTGTATAGGTTCAAATAGCCAAACAATTTGCGTTGAAGCCATAGTGCAAAAATAATATAGAACTAGAGAGGCCAAGTAATTTTTGTGTGTGTTTCCCAATAATATATTCTGTTTTCCTTCTGAAGATTGGCGAATCACATATACGTGTTCGCGAGTGGCGAGAATCCATACTATACTAGATATGCAATCAAAGAACGAATGAATTTTATGTTTAATGAATACGACACGATTTTCAATATGACGGTATCGTATAGAAGAGATGCTGACATAGTTGTTAATTATGGGATATGGCATAAAGATATGTTAAAAACAGTAAGTAACCCAGCAGTAATTGATATATATGTGCATATTGTAAAATATTTCACTGCTATTTGACCGGTCAGGCTGGCAGGAAACAGTGATCCTATAGCCTTTATAATAGTATTATTGAACGTTGTGTTGTAAAGGCAGATCGGAGGGGTCCAATCCTTAGCTTGATCTCTATTGCACCCGCTTTCTGAGATTGCCTGATCTCCACTCCCAACAACAAATACCATACCACAATACCATGCGCAAAATGTTTATAAAACAATTTTGTTTTCATACTTTTCTCTAATGAGAAAATTCCCCTTTCTTCCCTAGTTTTATTACCTGATTATATTATTCCACAGTGCGTTTCCTTTTCTTTTTCATGAATTGTTAGATCATAAAGCAATTTGAAATCAACTAATCAAAATAACACTATGAATACCTATGTAGCCTAGTTGGTTGGCAGACCTTCTGACCAGCAGACACCGACAGAACCTAGTCTACTTATGAGTGAAGTTTCGCTAGATTACGAGATAGCTGTTGTAAAAACTTAATGTAAATTCTGAAAATTATTTTCAAATTTCAAATATTTCTAAGAAACAGAAATGGGAAGACAATTACTTCGCCGCGAGAAATATGCAAAATAATCTTGATTTAACTTAAAAGCTTGATTTTTTTTTATATTTTTGCATTTTAATTGATATGTATATATGAAAGAATCAAGTGTCATCTTATATGCATTTTCTAAATATTTTAAGTGGAAAACCTAGAGTGCAAAAACATGATCTATAATAACATTTGTTTACATTTTGATGCGACTTTTTAAGCATGATAGGAGTTTTGAATCGTGTCATCTGTCATGAAATAAGTTTGACAGTCCCATTATTATTTTCAAGTACCGTGGAATACCGGCCGTGTTACAAAGTATTGCAGATTGCACAACATACATGTTTTATCTTCGAATTAGTCTTTTCTGGGAAGAAGTTGCACTAGTAAAACATCCGCTAAATCACTCCCGGGAGCCAGGTGTCGAAAATTTTTGAAAATCCAGGATGTGTGATATATATAATAGTATTGCTTTCACCAAAGATCAGATTTTTCCCACTACTATAGAAAATAAAAGGGATGAGACAGGGGTATAAATAAATTTACCAACGTATTAACTTTTTACGGACTGAATCCGACATGAGCAAAGCAATTACAAGCCCAAGCTTGCAAAGTAGCGTCTTTTTGTGACCTGTGTGAATTAGTTGAGGTAGAATATTATATATATCTTCAGGTGGAATTCAATTTTATGAACGCAGTACGTCATACTTCTATTGAAAAATTCAAATCAAAGCGTATTTTATTACAGATACAGCCATTTACTTTAAAAAAGAAAACAAACTTGGCTATTATGCTAGCAAGCGAATGCTGGAGAGCTGGGTCCCAATTAAGAATAAAGTTATCGGATGCACTTGTGGAAGAAGGATTGAATTTAACACGGTAATACTAATACATTTACTGTCAATACCAACCGAAAGATTTTTCATTTAACTCTTATTATGGAGCTGAAGTGGGAGAGCCTACTTTTAACCGATGCCACATCTGAAATTGTCCAATGTCGAATAACGAAACTATTAATGATAACCTATATTGTTGTTCTGTTTCAGATACGGGAAGTGCTTTGGATCGCGATACGAAGGAAACTTAACAGAACTACTTCATCAATATAAATTTTTTATGTCGTTTGAGAATGCTATACACTGTAAAGACTATTTAACTGAAAAATTTTGGGTGAATTCATTATGGAATGGTGTCGTGCCCGTTGTTTGGGGACCACTAAAAGAAGATATCGTTCGTGTAGCCCCACCGAATTCCTTTATTTATGTCGACGATTTCGAGTCGTTGAAAGATTTAGTACAATACTTAAATTATTTGGATAAAAACGACGACGAATATTTAAAGTATTTTGCATGGCGTAATCTGGAACCTCCTGAAAGACAACCTAACATTTATTGTGCGTGTGGGAAAATGAACCTGGTTGATGAAAAATTGTGCGGATTATGTAGAACCGTGACCGATGGTTCGAAAGGAAAATCGAACTTAAGTTTAAGTGAATGGTGGTACGGTGGCGAGAATCCAGACTGTCTTCAGAATAATCTTACACATTTGGAATTGGATTTCAACAAACAATACGGCATCAAATAGAAGAGAAGATTTGCAGTTTGAACCTCTCCACGTTATAACAGTTGATATTATATAGAAAAAATTGACTGCGGCGTGAGACTCTTAAACATTGGAAGTAATCGCAGAATTTGATTATCGAGATATAAAACCTACTGCCCCACGAAATATCCTCACGCGCACCCACCAATTCCCCTGCACTCAGTGATGGGATTCAAAATTTCAAGAGCGATTTCTCTTTTTGTACTGTTGACGTGAACATACACATTAGTTTTAATTATTCTTGTCTCGTCGATCATGTTTAAACTTTCTCTTGTCTATTTATTTCTGTGAAGAAAAAGTGTGACATATTATTCACTGTATTGCACTGCCTTCCTTCTTGCTGTCAAACTTTTACCTGGATGGAATTTCACTGGACTTTATACTTGTTTATTAACTTTCATTAAAAGTCCATTTTATATGTGTTGAATCAACACGACACGCTTCACATAAATCTAATAAATAACTTTTGAAATTTCAAATATATATAACGCTAGTTGTCGGCCGTAGAATGGGTGATCGGTATAATATTACTCTAACCCCATAATTGTCCAATGTGAAAGTGGCAAAATAAATTAGGGACCTTCTAAGGAGAGACTTTTTCGTGTGTTTTAAGCTCTTTCGGTTTTCTTCTATTGATGCAGAGCATGCAATGTCACGGCCCCATAAAAGCGTCTCGTGTCATGTAAAATTTTCCACCACGTCGTCTTCATGGTCTTCCCCTAACATCGTATTTTGCATGAGTCTTCCGAACTACCGAATAATTAATATATATATTCGTCTGACCAAAATCAGACTTCCTCAGACAAGCAGTTTACAACAATGACAATAAAAGAACAATCATGTTTTCATGTGGTTTATCATTGTTGTAAACTGCTTGTTTTAGGAAGTCTGATTTTGGTCAGACGAAACGTTACAAAAATACATTTGTGTTAGCGTGCAGCAGGACTCATGAATTGCATAGCCTGGTGTTTTTATTCCTGCTACAGCATCCTTGCATTATACGCCTACGGATCCACGGGCGCAAAGGCATTGTGGAAGGATTGGGAGTTAGCCTCGCGCAACCTACTGTTAGTTAGGGTTTTGTTTTTTATTAATTCTAAAAAAACATCGTGTTTTGAAACAAGGACTTGTTTTAAATCAATTTTTTTCTGTATTCTTTTTTATTGAAATACCCCTTGCATCGCCGTGAAACTAAGCCAAAACGTTGCATTCTGGCAGCTGCACACGCAGTCGCAATTATAATTTCAAAAATGTAAGTTAAATTTTTTATTTTTACCACTATTGCGTACATCTATAGCCACTTTATATCTCCCCTGAAGTCATAAGATTTTACCCGGAATGTTTAGCCGAGATATCAGAGAGACGTTTTGAGTGAGAAAAATCATGAAAATTAGCTCACGAGCCTACTACAAAAGCAATTCGATCAAGTGCAGGCAAAACGAGTGGGTTGCGATAATGAAGAATATGCTTATATCGGCGGTAATCTACTGATATGAACGATGAGACACCCTAACCTAGCTAATGTTAATTGTAAGAGTTATCCGATGCAAGACGCCACAACTCATCTCTTATGACGCCATAATATGAATTTTGAGATCATGTATTGACAATTTTCTCATAAAATGAAATCATTGTTACGGTTAATACTGTTCGGTTAATTTATGCTTACCATACTTTTTTTTAAGGTTGAAGGGAGTTTTTCAAGGTTATACAAACTCATTTATTCGATCGCATTTCAATTTTCGCAAGGTGGTTTCATCGCAGCAGGGTCGTTCACGTAATGGCTTTTCGGTTGCGTCTTACTGCGCCAACCACTGAGCTACAGCTTGAGAAGGTCCATTTTTCTTCATCCATTTTTCTTCATCCATTTTTCTTCAATCTATTTAATACAAAAAATCAAATAGTACAGCCATTTTGAACAAAACAGGCAAATTGTTTTAAAACAATTCTTTTTGGACAAATCCCTACTGATAGTTATATATATACATTACTAAACTTTGAAATGAATAGGTTTTTCTACGAACAAGTTCGCTAAATGTTCGTGTATCATTTTAGTTCCGGGATTCATGTATTCATTTTAAAGTTTAATAACAATAAAACGCCGCCAAAGTAATTTTATTGTATGGCACAAGCAGACGTGCTATTAAGGGGGTTTGCGCGAACTTGTTCCTGAAATGTGTGATACACAATGAAGCCGTCATTGATGTTTTCAGAACACGGGCAGCGCCGCTAGTGTGACATCTTATGGATCATCTCACTAACATTTCATGTCTGCTTGCTAAGCGGGAGATTAGATGGCTCAGCAAATGGGATACGTGTACCGCAGCTGACAACTAGCGTTATATTTGGCCTTTAAAAAAATTATGTATTAGATTTATGTTAAGCGTGTCATGTTAATGCTAACCTTAGAATAAATTGACCAATTCGTAGTTATTAGCCTACATTACACCAATTGAATCCTCAAACAAAGTTACTGGTAAAAACAGTGACGCCTTTTATAATTCTTGTCAACGCGCCGCTTGTGTGTAACCTGTTTGTTCAGCGCCGGTCGTGAATGCTCTCTGAAAACAGGTGTAAAGACCAGCGATATGATTGCATGTGATGATATGACGCGGATGCGAACCATGGAGATCATGCATGCGAATCGAAAGTTAGGAGACAAGCGTATTTATAACACTCATGACAAGAGTTTTATTGCATGCAGAAGCCAACTTCATAAATGTTTCCCAATTATAGCTATCGCGTAAATATTTTCCTTACGTTGACTCGTTAAACTTTGATCGCACAACGTGTTTAGAATAGGAAATTCTATACCTCACTGTTACTGTTACCCTTTCTGTAGTCCTTTATCCGTTTTCAGGAAATAAGTGCGAATGCAGTCATTGTTTTCGCTAGCGAGACGTATTCAACAAGCCGTGACTGTGACGAAACACGCTTTCTACTGAATGAAATATCTTTTAGTCGAGATGGCAAGGTTGAGTGCAGCGCGAGGCAAACTGGATTTAATGTTTCTGGAGGATTTTCGTAATATATATCGAGGTGCATATTAGAATTTTGCTGAATGAAATAATGAGTAACTATCTCCATGTGACGAATTAGGACGCAAAAATATCGCGTGGGGAAATGGTCATCGATGCCGTCATAAATTTTTCATGGGATGCTTGGTTCAATTTATACATTTTTAGGAGCAACAACTGAAGTCAATTGAAATCATATCACTAAATAAATTAAAGGGATTTAACAGTCGCAACTGTAAATATACGACTTGTTTTCGAGCTTAACGGAATGAGGAATGTTACGAATTTTGAGTATATTTTAGTTTGGCATTGGAATAAATGATGACATGAATAAAGGGTTAACATTTCAAAAAGAAAAAAAATTCACGAGCTTTTCATTGCGAATACAAGTTAGGTTTACAACCCGCGGCTGTGCTGGTGTGTGTTTTAAAATGAGCATTCGACGCCATTTCTGAAAATTACCTAGAATTCACTCAATAGCTTACGGCGCCGTTGTCGTACTTCCTTATTGTTCACAACTAATTGCAACATCACCATGTTGTCTAGGTAGCAATGTCAAAAAAGGTATTGAACTATGTTTCGCGTTGTTGCAATTGGCTGTTGCGGCAAAGTAGTAATTGTGAATTTTAATTGCGAATGGAGAAATATTACCGATATCAGGATTCCAATTTCAGTTGGTTTGCGTGAACCCCTTCTTGCAATAACGTGATACCCATTCATGATTAGTTTGTTTTAGACGTTAGAATCTAACGTGGGCAAGGTTTTTGAACCGAGGGCCAAAAATTTTGCCCACCTGTACTAGCGGGCCATGTAAGTCTGACGTATACAGTAACATTTTATGAACAATATTTACAGTGTTACAAAGCAGAGGTGGAAAACAATATGCCTCGTGCCAAAACTGAATTCAACCACAATCTCAACAAATTTCTTGAGCTATTTTTAGCTGAAACATCAGAATTCAATTTCTATTTGATTGTGGCAGCATCAGGCGGACCAGATTAAATTACCCGATGGGCCGGATTTGGCCCGTGAGCCATACTTTGCCCATGTCTGTGTTAGACGATGATAACGAATGTGCAAAATGCACCGCACCTGCCAACGATCGATTCATTTTCCATTTCAAAATTTGTGTATTCAAATTGATGTGAAGAATGTTAACGTGGCATATGAGCGTAGGGACATAATACATTTTCTGGAATGAGAGAATCTTTTAGTAGGATCGATATAAATGAGAAACTGCTTTTGAAATTTAGTATCCCCTTACTGACAGAAGCACATATTTCTCTCATGTGTAGTCAACTGTGAATACAATTGATGCAAAGATAAATTTTTGTCGCTATATATTTTCGCAAGACTTCTCAAAATTATCCACAAACAAGCAACATCAAAGGTGTGATTATTTGTGTGAATCGAGTTACGGAAAGCCAAAATATATGAATATTGAATCGAATATTAAAGTTCTTGGATGGCATTTAACTATTCGGATAAATGATAACACGCGAACTATGCCACTATACTTGATCACGGCAATCTCGCGACGCTTAGTTAAACAGAAGTCGCAATCAGACGACCCGATCCCATATGAGAGTTTTCTCACGGCAGTCGCCAACAGCCTGAGACGTGAAAATCGAGTATATATGGATATAGTTTGACATGTAATGCCAATGATATCGTTTCAATTTCTTACTGAGCCTAATGCGCACCATCAGCAGATGAATGTCCACGAGGAATGTGAAGTCGGTTATGGGCATGTTTTCACTACGGATCCCTCCGCCATCAAGTCCATGCATCTGAAAACAAATACCTGGCTATCTAATGATATGAGGTGGTATCCGGACGAGAGGCGTGGTTCGCCATATTATTGATTAAGCCGTCTTATTGTCTTTCATTTCTCCCAGGATAAATATGTAAATCCTATCCTATCCACTAGAGCCCAATTTTTAAACTGCACGGAGTCGGCAGTTGGATTCGAATTTTTAATTCGTCGAAGTTGGAATTTCATAATTTCAATGGTGTTTACTGAGGCTTACCATACCAATGATTTTGATATGAAAATTCGATTTTTAAAAAAATCGGAGCTGGAGTCGGTGTCGAAGATTTTCACGACCCAGAGTCGAATTTTATTTCGATTTCACCGCTCTGATTTAATTTTTTGTGGGTCGTTTTGTAAATTCAAAGGCAGCAAACCAGGTAGCTAGATATTATACGAAAAATATTTTGGCTACGTGGAGATGCCATTATTGATTTAATCATCAGGGAAAGATGACAGTGGTACATCAATGGCACGCTGGCCACGTTACCGGCGACTTCTTGGAACTTTTATTTCAAGCGAAAATGTCACAGGCGTATAAAAAAGATTACAAGTAGAGGAAAGTCAACATCGTCTTCGCGAATATCCGAATCCTTTAGTTGTTAACGACTTCCTCGCCTAAAGTCTATTTGTAAGGAAGAAATATCGACACAAAGCGTCTTCTCACTTCCGGATGTAGATGAAAACTATCCGCTATTCGAATAGCTGGTATTCGTTGAAAATATTCGGCAACCCACAGAAACATTTATTCAGTAAATTCGTCTGAATTGTAAGATTTTCATTCAAATTTTACGCAAAATAAAAACCAATTAGACCTAACTTTTCAGCAACTCAGATTGCACATCTCGGGCTCATATCTCATTGCTCTTCCTTATCCAGTGTGTAATGAATTGAGTAGGTAATGCCACACCGAAATTATTACGGTACTTTCAAATAATAGGTAGCTTCTTGCATATAGTTAGATGTCAATGGCTGGTACAGTTTCTAGTTCTGAGCAAAAGGTAAAATAAGTGTCGTATACCAAAAAACTTCAATTATATATAACTCATGGAAGAAGTCCTTTCATACAAACTTATTGCTATAGAGAAAAAACTTTTACCCTCCTGATTTCGATTCACATGCAGTATTTTATGTAATTACGTTAGTAATATTTCAGATATTCAGCGATTCAAATCCATTAACAGCTATTTGCATCTTCAAACGTTGTATATCGTATTATGATCGTATTTTGAAATATATATTGACTAATATATCTTATAATATATAACTAAGTAACTAATATATAACTAATATAACATCGATATCTTACTACATGTCATTGCACGATAGTCAACTCCAGCAGTAACGTGGGCATGATATACCGTATTCCATAGTAATGAGGGCGTTGGTATTTTTTATTAAGTGTAAAGCAAATTATTTCTTCTCGTGGGCAGGCAAGCTGGATGACGTAATCTTTTATCGTTATGCCTTATTTAGTTTGATAAACCCAATGTATAATTTCTCATATCTAGCTCAATTAGACGGCATTGGGGTTTTCTGCGCTGTCTGGTTTCGACGCATCTATTTGTATATTGTTTTTGTGTTTACTCATGCAACCGTTAGTTGTATTAAGTCAATTTCTGATATTGGAAATCGTGGTAGCCTGTTAATTTAGGTATGGCCGCTTTGGTTCACTAGCTATGATAACAATTTACTTCATAATTTCTATATATCGCGGACCTTTAATCCCCGAAAGAATATAATTGATCGGTCCCGCGTGTGTGTATATCTATATAAGTTGCTAATATCATTTATGTTGAATATTTTATATTTGGGCAATATTCACTATATACGATATGTTTAACTCTGTATTGCCTACGATTTTAACTATGTTCTAATCAGACTATCATTTAGAAATTGAGCTACATCATACAGCGTGATATTCGGAAAATTGAATTACGGTACCTCTGTTGACCTTTATTGTCAACTGTGAATCAATTGCACAAAGCGGGAAACGATACGCCAGTCATTGACGCCAGTCACAGTACTGCATAGACGAAGATGGTCCAGACGGACAAGCAACAGTACAAACGCATCAGGCAATATGTTATAAGGACATTTATTTTGTAGGTGTTTTCGCATGCTAACACAGAATAAAATTCGAAAGCGTGGTGCGGGAAAAGGATATTAGATAGGGTAAATATACGTAAATTTGTAGGCGAAAATGTACGGCTTGGCACACAAATTATACAGTTTGAGGGTAATTTTTGTGAAGGCCGTTTCGTAATTTCACTCTGAGGATGACTCTACAATTATTTCACAAATTGATATGTAGGAAAACATAGGGTAGTTTTTTAAATGTATTGAAATGTCCTTCTCAATACTGGCAGATTTTGCCGATTGCATTAATCGATCGTATTTACTCTAAATATTCCATTGCTTTGTATGTATTATTGTACGCCTGCCCATCGTGGTAATAACATTATGTTTTGGAAGAAATGTTCCATGACTTCTTTTGAATATGGCCATAGACGCACCTTCACTAGTGCGGAAAGATCTACTATGTTTATTCAGCCTATATGAACTGACTGTTCCATCTTAATTAAGCGAAGAAAACGATAACCCAAATCACTATATTGTGTAGTGTTTTGCCGAATTAATATGCATTTTATCGTAATCATAGATTGTTAAACACGATGATTAATGTTAGCGTTTAGTTTTTACGTGATAGACACCACATTGCTGCATGATGGCTAGAAGAAGAGGCGAGAGATCACTACAGAAGGTATTGAATGATTGTTCAGGAAACTTTCTTGAAGTTTGTGAAGATTGTTTCAAACTGGATCCTCAAATTATCGCAGAAATAGATAAAAGTGAGTTAATATTGAATCTTTTCAAGTGGACAAAATACCGTAAACAGTTTCTATTTAGATATCTCGAACCTCTATTAAAAGAATATTATATTATGCACAATATTTGTGTGGGCTCATACTGTAGAAAGAATTATATTGCTATGCCATTCTTAATTGTTGTATTTTGAGATGTAGAATATAAATCAAAGCTTCGGAGTTTAAAGAAAATTTTCATAGTCATTCAAAATTTGACGCACTTAGGATTTGAAAAAAAGGTTGGATTGCACCATCAAATGTTGTCAACTTTAGGAATAGTATAATATTTAGACTTACAACCTTCGAGAAATCCAATATACTACTCTGACAACAAAGCCCTGAAATAAACATAACAATACTTTTTCATACATTTCATGGCATTTTATTTTGATTGGTAACTATAAAAATACATATTAAACATATATAACATATACATATTAAAATTGATTTTTCTTCTAGAGGCCTCCAATCATTGCTCATTTAATTATGCATTACATAGACATGAGTCAAAAAAGTTTTTAAAATTATGAATGATAATGACTAACTATTATGACTGAGGTGAAAAACAAATCAGTTAATATATAATAAAAAAGTATTAAGGTATAATAAAAAAGCAGAATTTGACTCATTCAGTTGATTGCTTCCTTGTTATTGATGTTCCCAATATGCTTACTCAGAAAGATTGTTAAATTCTTCAATAAATTAGGATTATTGTTTTTTATTTTTCCAATGATTGTAAAATTTGCCACCATATAGGTTACTAAGAATTATGTTAATGAACATATTATTTATTCTAATTATAGTTTTCTATAAGTTTTTTTATGAGCTTTGTCCACTTCAATTTTAAATTTTTTTTCTGAATTTGTTTTCTATAGACATGAGTCAAAAAAGTTTTTAAAAATATGAATGATAATGACTAACTATTATGACTGAGGTGAAAAACAAATCAGTTAATATATATTAAAAAAGTATTAAAGTATAATAAAAAAGCAGAACTTGACTCATTCAGTTGATTGCTTCCTTGTTATTGATGCTTCCAATATGCTTACTCAGAAAGATTGTTAAATTCTTCAATAAATTAGGATATTTATTTTTTATTTTTCCAATGATTGTAAAATTTGCCACCTTATAGGTTACTAAGAATTATGTAAATGAACATATTATTTATTCTAATTATAGTTTTCTATGAGTTTTTTTATGAGCTTCCTCTACTTCAATTTGAATTTTTTTTTCTGAATTTGTTTTCTGTTCACCCCCTTTATCTGTGATTGATCATTCATTCATTATTAATGATGGTCGTGCATCTTTGTTAATAAAATTTCAATACCTGAGTCAATACCTGAGTTAATTCCAATACCTGAGGTAATACCTGAGTCAATACCTGAGTTGATAATCAATACCTGAGTTAATTCAATACCTGAGTTAATTCCAAGAATATGCGCTATTGTAAATTTATTATTTCTAAGCTGTTTCATTGACTGAAATGACATTAATCTGTTCATTTGGAATTACCACTGATACAAATATATAAATAGTTTTATTTTACTTTTAAAATACTCTAAATTACTTGCATTATTTGTATTTCATTTAGGTCGTGGTTCTCATTGTCCCCACTGTGATGGCGACAAAATAATTCTGGTGTATGAAACTAAATCAACCAATAAAAAGGATTCCATATTTTATGAATATCAAACCATACGTAAAAGAATGTCAAAACATCCTAAAGCAAACAGATATTGCAAGTAAGATTAAGAAATTGTATTTCATTATCAATAAAAAACTAACTGACTAAGAGCAATATTCACACAGCTTCGAGATATGATTCATCATTGTCCTATCTGCTCAACATGAATCATTTTTTATTAAAAACAACAGATTTTGTACAGTAAATTTGGACCTACACAACAAACCATTTTAATTAGTCATGACTCATGACTATACATTACGCGTTTGCTTTGTAATTCATCAAGCCTTATGCGTGTGTGTATTCCATTTCATTTCAAGGCTAATTTACATTGTTTTAATGAACTGTGAAAATCAAATAAAAAACATTAATACACCCGACATGGACTGGTAACTTAGAGGGTCTTTGGTTTGCGAAATGCTTGAGCTGTCTTATCAGATTTCCTCTCCCTGGGATAAAAATTTAAATCTTATCCTATCCTTTAGCCAAAGAAACTCATGTGATCAACAAGCCTGCAGATTTGTTCATACATATTTAGAGATGAAAATATGGATTTTGGAATCATGTAGAATAACTCGAAATACTTTATCACAACATTCAAAGAAGAAATGTGCTCGAACAAAAAGTGAGCTGTACCTAAATGTAGATAATATATTGATACCCTGCTTTGCGGTTGCATCAATATAAATTTTGGGGCCGGCAACATTGCTGGACTGGTATCGTGGAGTGCATACATTTGGAACAAATAATTGGATAACTGTCGCTATATCCAGGATACACTGGCAACTGAGAGACAAGTTGCGAGGCAGGAATAAGCTCTCTTTTCCGCTTTTTCTCTCTCCTTCAATTAATTTGAAAATTTTATTCTGTTACATGTATCATCAATATCTGTCTTTTTAGGATTTCAAGTACTGGATAGTACGGGATGTTTATTCTTCTAGTATTTACTGGAACCAATAAAACTAACACAGACAATCCAAAGAATCTATTTCGAATTTCCAAATAGTTTTGCATTTGAGTAGCATAAATTATCATAAATGTTCTAATTATCATTTAATAATTGCTATGGTTAAAATTAACCCATAAGTTAGTAAACTCAGTAATAGCAGCCATTGTACATATCAGAATTGGAACAATTCTGGATATTTGCTAAGATATTATGTCGTTAAACTTTTTCTTGGTCAGATAAAAATGAATTAATATTGAAGTTTTTTTTTTCAAAATACGAATTTCAATATCGTTGTTGCAAACTTGCATTATAACACCTTGTCTTATACTGATATTTTTACTTAAAATTTTTTAATACAGTTCTAGAAAATTAGTTGTAGTATTTTGTGAATTCAAATATGGGTATTTCATTGCAGATATTCAATATCATTGTTTCCACTGTTCTTGTAACTTTGATGACTATGCAAGCTACTCAACTCATTTGGAATCACAGCTCCATACTCATATGCAAAAAATAAAAAGAAAGTATATTGTTTGGAAATATAAGGATTTTCCAGAGTCTTTCGATGTAAAAATATGTCCAAAGTGAGTAGCAGTACTGTAATTGTCAACTTGAGTGATGAATCTCGTAGAATTTAGCAGTTTTATTGTGCGTCTTCAAAAAATACCTACCGGTACTTCAAATAGTATATATATATATATAATTTATTTTCATGGAAAAAGTCACATTTTTGGTTTGAATGAGAATCTAGACAAGCATTCTGATCTGAGTCATACCCCAATCAGAAAGGGCCAGAAGGGCCAAGTTTATTAATATGCAAACATAAGCACAACATGCAAGTAGAACTTTTTTTTATTTTACTGTCTTATATATTGCTTTAGGTTACCTGTGGCCTATCAAAGCTGATTTACTTTTAAAGCGACTCATTCGAATCATTGCTTCTTATTGATATATTCATTATATACAATATTCTGGTACTCTTTTAGTATTGAGTTCATTTATTTCTCTTACAATTTGTGGGATCATCGTGCTTATGATTTTTACAAAAATATAAATAATATGATGAATTCACATCTACACTTAGAATGCCATTTTTCATAATTTATTTTTTATTTTATGTTTGACATGTTCAGGGAAAATGATCATCATGGGTATTTGAGTTGTGAGTTTGCTCACAGTAATCTGGAATTAGAAGAATGGAGAATGAGAAGAAATATAGTTGCAGCAAGAAACTGGTAAAATAGACTAAATAGACTCTATGCTATGGAATTGGAGTATCAAATTCGATTTCGTTACTGTTACCGCTAATTCATAACAGCAGTATTATGCGGTTTGGGTCTGTGGCTCCATTGAGTGGTTAAAGAATTGGGAATTTTGAGTAGTTGGTATAAATATAGTTTTTTTTTTATCGCTTTTTTATTTTGGTGACACAGTGGTACAGGTAGGATTTACTGGTATGTGTATAAAGTTTTTCAGAAAATACTCCAGCAAGTAATTACATTGATGAACTCATTAAAAGAACTCAAAAGCAGCAACTTCAGGTCAGTAAACGGATTGCAATTATCTGTAGGACGGTGCTGTGACATTTTGTCCTAGTATATACCTCCCAAATATTTGTTGTTTTATTTTTGAAGGAACTTGATGCAATACTTGAGAAGAAAACCATTCAGATCGATGACAGAACCGCTAACTGGAAATTTCGTATATCTAATAATTCAAAGGTATTTGTTGTTTTAGTTTATGAAGTCTTCAAACGGAAGATTGTAAGTCTATATTTAAAAAATTATATATTTCTCTCAGAGGAGTCACAGATGACAACTGCAGCATTAAAAGCTATAACCAATATGGGCAAGTTGGTATATATTGGTTGACATTGGACTTGATTGTATTTAAGTGATTGCTGTCAGTCTAACAACTTTGTAAAAGGAAATTCTTCAAAGTAAAAAGCTGAACCATTTCGTTCTATAGCAGAAAAAAAATGTTAGTCTTTAAACTTGCATTATATCATATTTACCATTTCCAGTTCATTTTTCAGATTGAATATGCTGCTTTTTTGCAACCAGTTTTTAAATTGAAATATTCAGCTGCAAAAGTTTATACTCAGCATGTAGAAATCAGCAGCAATACCACTGCATTTGATGTAAGTAATTGTATGCGTCAGACGGTCAGGGTGATCCAAACTGTGTCAAGTGAGCCACATACGGGACCGAACAATACATTGTTTTGCTTTATATATCTTCCCTAAAATAAATAATAAAAATGCCACCGATGCAATATAACAATAGCCTGATTAAAAAGGTAAACTCTCATTCAATAAAATATTCAAAGTATCTACATTTGCAGTGTTTTGATCACTTTTAGGTTTTTCCAACTGCGGCCTGCAAGGTCTCCTCAAAATTCTTTGTGACCCTTCAATCTCGCAACCTTAGACCATACTTTATTTTAGTTTAATCTTTTGGGATTGCAAACTTATCACTATGTACACCAGACCAAAAGTATCACTTATTTAACATTTTCTCTGACTTGTCGACTTAAGTAACATGTATTTAGAAACATGTACATGAAAAAAGACAAAGTAGAAAAATATCCAATAAAAGGTTGTATTAGGGTCACGTCATCATCAACCATTTTTTGTTTGGTTAATTAACAGGTTCAGTTTGAAAATCCTGGAATATATGGAGAATATAGTGGAACTTTGGTGTTTGATGGTGGGCCATCATCACCGTTGCGAATTCTTAATATAAATGTCACTGTAGCATGTTCTGGCATACAAACACCACAAATTGAAGTTTTAAATCAAGATTGGAGTGTTAACAGGTATTTGTTATAAAAACACTCTGTTTCTGTTTATATTTCATGTTATTTTAAAATTATTGAACATTTTCAGAGTTGTCATTGAGTATCCCGAAGAGGTCTTAAGTGAGGTGCAATATGAAAACAATATAAAAGAATTGCAAAACAAATACAAAATACCAAAGGCAGAAAAACTGGATGATATTTGTCTGGATGACTTAACACCAGAAAACTATGCATATCAAATGCACAATTTTTTGTATAAAGAAGAAGCTGCAAGGCAGTCTGTACTTACAGGGTAAAATAATGTGATAGATCAAAAATAGCCAACACCAGATCAGAAATATAGCTGATTTATTCTACAAATCAATATACAAATTTTTGTTGGTCGAAAAAATGATATATATTATGATTATTAATCTATGCTGAAATAATAAAGTAGAATATTAGTACTTCCCGAAAAAAGAAAGCTATTTTAAAGGCTATAACTATATAATAAAAATGGGAATTTTGGGAACGAATCTTCACTAAATATAACAAATATGAATTCTTCTGAGGTAGAGGAATTGAGGTGTCATACTGGTTTATCTGTTATTCATTCATAATGAATAAACAAAGTTGGTAGAGAAAGCTGTAGGCTACTAGTGACTTTACGAATTACCAAGAATTATTAATAAATCCTGAAATACTTATTCACTTAATTCTTTTAATTGAGTTCCTAACTGCAGTTAAAAAAATTTGTGTTTATCTATACTATCTATAGAAAATTTTTTCAACAGATTGAATATTGAATCTGAGCTGGTATTTTCAAATCATGTGTTTCTTCAAAGTGGGGATTTTATAGGATCAAGAAATTCAAAACAACTGTTTGCTCAATTCTCTAGTCCTGTCAGGTAATATTATTGCCTTCCTGTCAAATGAAACTGGTAAAACAATGAACACAATTTGTGTGTTATATATTGACTTTTCCGTTACTTCAGGTCAAAAATGTTGTAGCTTTTTATGCTTTTGTCAGTTAAAATTATATACATACAATCTTTGTAAAGCATGTGCCAGTCAAGGTTGGAATGGCATTAATTTTTTTGTGTTGAATATTAAACCAAATGCTAAACAATTGCATTTATGTTACTGTTTTTGAAATGTGTGAATTTTTGCCTCAATGTTCTAATGGATCTCAATTAGAGAGGTTTGTCACAACGATCACTTTATATAAATATGAATTGATAATATTAGTGTTATTTATATATGACTAATATCTGAAGTTTTGTAACTTTTTTGCCTGCAGACTTTCAGCTGATTCTGACGAAGGAGGGTTAATTAGAGATAGCTGTTCAAAGGTAAATTAATTTTAGTTGACCAATTATTCAATTAATTGCCAAGACTTTTACTGTAAGATTCAATAGTATAGAATTCAATTCAATAACTGAAATGGAATATATATAGTATATAAAGCCAGGAAGGCAGAAAGCACTTTGTTTAATGTTCCTTTTTTGCATTTTATGACGATTATTATCAATCCAGGTTCTCATTGGTATGAGAGAAATCTCTGCTATAGCATATGAGTGCAAGATCAAAATGTGGGAGAAAAACATCATTTACATTTATTTGTCTGAGAGGTTTGTAAATACTATTCAATAATTATTTTTTTTGTGTATGTATATTGTTGCGGTTGTGTGCAGTGTGTTGGATATTCTGTGTTAGAAAATTTTTTTGTGCATGTGCTCACATGTGTGTTTATTAGTCACAAATACCAACTGCTTGGAATACTCCCAGGGATTGCTGCACCTTCAATATTCAAAAGATATAAGTATATAAGTATTTTTTCTAAAAAGGCTAGGCAGTTTAACGCATCTTTCCAAGCATTAGGAATTCGCTTGCCACAGCACTTCTGATTACCTTGCATGGGTTCACAGGTTTGAATCTTGTTGGAGATAATTATGCGCGAGGGGTTTTCCAGACTCCTCGCTGTCGTAGGGTGGTTCATGTAACCACTGGTCAGTTAAGGCTTTCTCAACCACCAAGGTCGTGCATCTCAAAACAAAATAACTGGCTGAGTAATCCCATACCCAACAAGGACTGATAATCAGACAAGAGGCCGTTGTTCACCTTAAGATAAGCGCAATGTGGGCTTACTTCTCCCCTGGAATAAATATGTAAATCCTAATTTTAAAAAGACAAATGTTTCTTTTTTCCAAACAAAAATTATTTGAATTGTAGGTTTATAGAATCTCTGCTAATAAACTTTTTTTCATTTTTTGAAGATGTGTCAGAGAACTCAAACTGAGTTCCGGTGACAAAAGAACTATGATTGTTCAGTTCAAATTGAACAGGAGTATTTTTTGTCTAAGGCATTTTGCAATAGATAACTTGGGTCCCAGAATGAATCTTATTTGCCCACTAAAAAAGGCATATGCAAAATTGAAACAATCTACAAGTGAAGTGCATGAATTGGATGAAAATCAGGTTTGTGATATTGGATATCTTTTGATTGTTTTTTCTATGAATATAAATATTTATGTCAACCTTTTTTCAATTATTTTCGATGTTTTTTCCATAAATCTGAGTTTATTTGAACATTATATTTTTCCCTGATTGGATGACTCATTGATTACCCATGTTTTGTCTACTATTAAAAAGAAATTCCTAGATTGTTTTCAAAATGTATTTCCATTATTTTTTAGAATAGTGTCCTTCAAGGAATTCTCAGTATGAAACTAAACAGTCAGTTTGATGCACAAGACAATAAAAGCTATCCACCACTTGTTGTTGCTGGACCTTTTGGAACCGGAAAAACACACACTATCAGAAATGTAATTTTGAATATCCTCGAGTGTAACGGCACTGATTCGAGGATACTTCTTTGCACACATTCAAATGGGTGAGATATCTTTGATTTCAATATTTTGTTAAAATAACAACTCAATAGTCTCAAATTCACGGAGGTTTGGAATGTTTAAATTTCCTAATCTACTTTTTCAGTGCTGCTGATCTGTATATTAAAGATATATGTCATGATCCTCGCTGGCTTGCTTGGAAAGATAAAATTTTACGTGTGATGTATCATGGACGGGATTCAAGAACAGTTTTGGTATATTTTTTGTTATAGGTCAATCCAGAATTTTATCATTATCTCATTTATCATTTAGGAAGGATGATAAAAACTGGATTTCCTTTTTCAAACTGTTCATCTAAAGATACGCTAATAACAAATAAATTGCTGATAGAAGAGTTGCAATACCTATCCATACACTAAGGCTACATTTGAATATTTGTTGATAATAAAACTTATGAGGTGATAATAGAGCTCTTATGAAAAAGATTTTATATTCATTCTTATTTTTAGGTTAAAGAAGTGAAGAATTTCTGCCTATTTACAAATATCCATACATTCCGTTATCCAACCCTTGCAGAAGTTCGTAAATACAAAATTGTAATCACAACATTTGCTACATCACCTGCACTTGGTCCACTTGGTACTGGACTCCATGGGAATGCTTTCACTCATATATTTTTAGATGAGGCATCACAGGTACTATAGACTGGTATACCTTTTTATTTTAGAAAGTTTTGCAAATCGTTATTTACCCTGTTTTGTAGCGGCTAATTTTATTTACCGAGCGGCGGATGGAGTATCATGCTTGGCATGGAGAATACGCTTGCCATCACACCTCTGATTACAGTGCATGGGTTCGCTTGTTCAAATCTCGTGGGGGATAATTATGAGCTAGAAGATTGCTGGTGGTTGACGTGATAGATGGGCGATTACAGCTTCCTCCACCATCAAGTTCATGCATCTAAAACAAAAAACAGACCAATTCCATACCCATGGACTGGTAACCATACAAGAGGCTGTTGTATGTCATGGGATAACCCCGTCTTATCAGCTTTCCTCACCCTTGGGATTAAATTGATATCTTTATCCAATTATGAAATATTTACTATTTCTTCCAAGTTCTATAATTTGTAATTATAATTTGATTCTATAATTTTGCAGGCTATGGAACCAGAGGTCATTATGCCAATTTCACTCGCTAGTGTGACAGATACAAAGATAATTATTGCTGGAGATCATAGACAAATAAATGAAAGAGTAAGTGTTCTTTGTATTAACTAAACCCTGTTAGCTACATTTGGATCTGATTCATTCAAACCTATTTTATAGTGTATAAGTATTACATATTAAATAAAAATCCTGTCTTGACAGATGTTTCTATCTGATAAAGTAAGAATTCCAACTTTACTAGAGCGGATGTATGAAGCATATTCTGAATCGTTGAGAAATTATAGAATCCTTCTTTGCAACAATTATCGGTGAGCCAATAGGAACAATCTTTACGTTACAACTCTAATTCATCTCCTTTTATTCGTGACTTTTTGATCTTTATTATAAAAATGATTTTTATAATAAAATGATAATTATTTATATGTTATGTTTTTATATGAAGGACTTAAAATAATCAAAAACTAGTTGCTTCTCACATATCATTAGATATCAGTGAGGCTTGTAAAGGGTCTTGTACACACCAAAATACATTAATAAATTTATCAGGTTGTCTGTCAAATTCATTTTTCACATGATCATGTCCAGCATTTCTAAACATTTTGAATCTGCATTGCAATAATGTTTATACTGCATTGTGAGATTGATTTTATGAAAATAGTCTTTCATGCAGAATTTTGATGCAATAATGATAAAATGGTTTTCATTAGTTATCTTGTGTTGAATATATATCTCTTTTATTATTCTCAGATGTGTTGATGGGATTTTGCAACTTATTTCTGAGTTGTTTTATAAAAAAGGTATTTTGAAAAAGACTGGCAATGTACAATGCATTCCTGGATACAGTCCGGTGCAGTTTATACATGTTCAAGGTATATTGAGTTTTTTTTAACAAAAACATAACATGTTTCAGATGTCTGATAATCCCCTTCTAACTACCAAGAGCAAGAGTATAAATGCTAAAAATTTATTCAACTTCTAGCATTCGTTTTAAAACAATTGTGGACAACCAATATTTTTGTTGATGTTATCTAATATATCTTCATGCACATTCATTACATCTTTTTGTATATTTACCTAGGAAAATAAAAAATGATGGAATAGCTAAATTACATGACAAACTTCCATACAGTTTTTATCAGTCCAGTTTTGTGTATGGGAATGGCTAAGGAGGTATTTGTTCTAAATGCATGGAATTGGATGGTTAAGGAAGTCATACCCAACTGAAAGTTACTTGCCGCAACACAATAGCAAATATGTACCAAATACTCAGCATAATGTATCAGATTCTTTCTAATTCCAATTCATTCACGTATCTGAAAAATGTTTTTCAGTCACTTTCATGTTATGTTCAGGTGAATGCAGAATTCTGGATTCTGGAGATTTCATTAATGTATCAGAAGCTGAGCAAATTTTACAGAAAATTGAAGAACTCATCTACCATGTTGATCCAACTGAGATTGTTGTTACAACTGCTTACTCAAGTCAAGTCTGTATCAACATAATTTATATATTTATTCTTCTTCACCTTTTAAATTGGCATTTGAATAGAATACTTTTCATATGACATTCAATTTATGTACTTTTCTTCATTGATCTTGTTTCTAGGTTACTCTGTTGAGAGATTTGTTGAGAAAGAAAGGACACAGATCGGTTACTGTACATAATGCAAGAAATCTTCAGGGTAGGTGTTTTTTTGCGAGCGTAGAGCTGTATTTTACTAGTTATTTACTTGGTATTTTGATACTCTGGGTAGTGCAAGTTTTCTCAAATCTGTCGGTATAATTTTCTTGTGGTGTCCGAGTTTTTTTCAAAACCAGAGGAAACATTTCATTTAACAAGATATATCTCAATAGGTTCAAGGTACATGGGAACAAATTAATTATCTCTAACAAGAAGAACCTGAACACTCAAACAAAATTTTTAAAAAATTGTGTCATATGCTACTTCATGACCAAAAATAAATTATTAAAAACAGAAAAAAATACTAAAGAATCTGTGAAATCGTTTTAGCTCTACAGTACAAGGTTGTGATTCTCAGTTCTGTATTAAGAAGAGTAACTTGCCTTTCATGTATTGGCAAGAATTTCGGATTTTTATCTGACGGAAATCTTCTCAATACTGTTTTAACAAGAGCAAAATCGCTTGTCATTGCTGTTGGAGATGCAGTTACTTTATGTTCAACTGGTAACTGTGATAAAAAATGGAAAACATATATTGAGGTAAAAATGATTACAATTTTTTAAGATTCTTGATTGTTCTTAAATAGTTTACTTTATAATTAACTTTCCCGGGTCCACCTCATTTTTTCATCAGAAGACACACCAATTTATGATACCAAAGGCTTTAACCGAGCGCAAGCTATAGACTTGTGAGTCTACTGGAACTAACACACACAAATGATAAAATTTTTTTTGATTAGCCTATCTATTTTTAAGGCAGCTTTTAGTCATTCGAGTAATTTCTCTTGATTTTAGTTTCAATCTTGTAACACATTTTAAATTTAGTCTTTGCTATACTGAGGCTCTTTCCGAAATTTTCCATTATCTGATCTTTACATTCATAGTGTCATCCTTGACAAATTACAGCTAACAATTTTTATTCCTTTCAGCACTGTGAAAATTCTCAAACAATTTATCCTCAACACATATCTTTGAAGTCAATAAAACAAGAAATTCAATTTGCTAAACTTGATCTTAGAGCGACTGCAAGTGAATTCATACCATCCCACCTACAAAATGATGCAGTAAGTGATAATATGCAAAATTCCTCGCTCTTGGAGGTCAATACATCTACATAGCCATACATTAGTTCATATTAAACTCAGTCAATTTGCGAATATCTAGCAATAAATACAATTTATGGTTTGGGATACCATCCAGATCAGTGGTGGGCAAGGTTTTGGGACTAGGGGTCAACCATTTTGCCCATCTAGATTGGTGGGCCATGAAAGTATAAAGTAAAATGGACAATCTATGGACAATATTTACTGCGCTACAAAAACAAAAGTGGAAAACGATAAGCCTCGTGCCAAAACTAGATTTAATCGCAATCCCAACAAATTCCTTGATTCCTTTTGCTAAAACAGCAAAATTTTGATTTAGTTTGGTTGTGACACCACCAGATTGAATTCCCAACGGGCTGAAGGTTGCCCATGTCTGATCCAGATTATTCATTATATTTTCCTCCATAAGATAAATTCTTGATTCTAAACTTTGTCTATTGTTAAATATTGTGAGATACTCAGGTGATAATTGTAGTTTGAACACAACTGTCATGTCTGTTAATATTAACACATAATTTAAAATTCAAAAAATTATCACCATTAGGAAAATTTTGTAATAAATAAGGTTGTTCACTCACTGAAGACTGATTGGAAACGTTATTTCTTTAAAAAGTTTAATTTATTATATTGAGCAAAGTTGTTTATTAATCATTTCAAGAATGAAATATCAACATTGCAGTTACTTTTACAGAGTCAGTCATCACATTCAGAATTACAGCCCTCCACAGAATTGGATGAGGAATATTTGGAAGAAGAAAATAGCGATCAGAGCTTGAGCAGTTATGATGATTCCTATTCTGATGTGAGAATAAAATCTATTTTGTTACAATATTTTTGATACAACACTGATAAACAGAAGTGCATAGTATATTGCATTATAACACCAGTTCATTGACTACCTGATTTTCCACAAAATACATAAATAATAATGTAAACAAAATTTTAGATGTACATGAAGTGATACTTGTCATAATGATTTCTCTTTGTATGGTCTTCGCATTCCTCCCCTTTTTATTTGATTGCGTAAAGGTCTGGTATCAATAAATAAATTTCTCAACTGCTTTTCCGACGAAGTCTAACCTTGGTCAAACAGAATGTTACAGAAATGCATTTGTGTTAGTATGCAGCAAGACTCTTGAATTCTTGTAATCTTCTTTATTCCTATTACAGCATTTTTGCAATATACGTATATGAATTCAATAGAGCATAGGCAATAAAGAAGGATTAAAAGTTTGTCTCGCTTAACCCCAACTGACGGTTTCGAAAGGTAGTTTCGAAAGATAGTTATTGTATTACGGGCTTTACGGATATAAGTTAGTTGCAATTATGACCCAACACACAATATAATTTTAATATTATTCATTGCTGATTTTTATCGTTTATACATCTAGGAATCAGAAGAAGAAGAAGATGATGATCCTATATTGAATGACATGCTGCAAAAAGCAACAGGTTGCGATCCAAACAAATTATATGTTGAAGTTGATTCTCAAGGACGAGAAATGTTAAATTATGATACCGATTCTGATTATGATGACAATGAAGATCCAAATGAAATTCACATGAAATCATCGAAAATGTACAAAATAATTTACTTTAGCATATTTTGAATACTAGTGGAGTGAAACAAGCATATGTAGGTAGTTAACAATTTAGACTTGGTTTAAACCTTCTGTAGATGCCGAAATATATTTACTTATCTATAAGTAGTAATTCTTTTTGAAATTTTGTAAGAATAAAGTAGAGATTGCTAATACAATTCTTACATATATTTATTTTTAAACATGATTTGTTCACCAATAATATAAAATGATATTAAACTATTGTGTGGGTAGTTCTTGGGATAAACTTGAAATTGGAATAAATATGGGCATAGTTTTTTTTATATATGATGTGAACATATTTTTGTAATTAGATTCAGGGCTGTAAACTTTTTCTATAAATTATTTCTTGCGATAGAAGTCATATAAGGGTTATTAGTAAACAAGAATACGGGTAGTTCATTTCTAAGATATCAATGTGTTTAAGAGCTTCAATTATTTTTAGACATGAAAAACATAAGCAAATTTTTCCAAAACACAGTTTGGAAGAATTGGAAGTTATGCTAGCAAGATATCCTGAACAATACAAAAGATGTCGATTACATATGAACAACTGGTTTTCAGGAGAAGCATTAGAAATTGATGGTATGTAAATATATATAAGTTATTTTGACAGTTAAGCACTAGAGACATGCATATCTGTTCTTTATATTGGCTTGCAGCTTCAAAGTTTTTATGAGTTGATTATTTTTAGGCAAATTGCTGAACTCTCTGAACTCAATAGCAGGTTTTACATAACCAATGCTCCTGATACAACTCTAATCCACATATCTGTAATAATGACTGATTAGCTATTTTCGTACCTTACCTTGAATGTTAACTTGGCCTTCAATTACTCATCCAACGCTATGGACATTTAGGCCTAGTGTATTATTGACTTGTCACTGAGCGGTGATTAAACAAATTAATGTCCAAACCCAACTTATTACAAAAAATTGTCAAAAAAGATTAGAATCAGATAAAAATGCATTCAAATTCTTGAAAAGCGAAAAATATATGAATAACAGGTAAACATCATTCTAGGCCAAATTTTTTCTTTCAAGAGATAAAATATTAAAAAACTGTACAGTGTGATATCTTGAGTTAAATATTAACAAGTTTTTGTATTATTTCAGAATTTTCAGGCCTCGAGAAAGAAAATTCCGCAATCCAGATAAATTCCAAAAACAACCTTGGAAGAACTTTTCATCTTGATGAAGTTGTTGTAAAAGTAAAATAAGTACTTTTATGTCTTGTTTAATAGTTACATCATGGGAAATATTTTTAGAAGTTGAATATTCATTTTCATTAGATTTTAGACGCGAAACCAACTAGAGCAACTGAAAAGAAAATATTTGGTCAAGTCATGGGAGTGTTAAAAAGGTATTATTGTTATTTTTCATTAACTTGAAGATTTTTTTTATTTACACATAAACAGTGTAGAACGTAGCAATGTTTTCGACTTCAAATTTGACTAAATTTTGTTTTAACATAAATAATCAATAGATTTTAAAATGTTCATTATTTCCAAACTTTTTCTTAATATTTATTAATACGAAATGGACAGTGTTGGTCATAGAATAGAAATAAAACAGCTTGTCTTAAGACAGCTGATGTTGTTTATTAAGCTATTTAACAATTCAAAATTACCCAACAAAGTACACATTACAATGATCTTTGTGGGCAAGCAAAAAATTTTGTAATTGTTGGGTAATATTCCTGTAGACTGTAACTTATATTTAAGTGCTGGTGAAATAATTGCTGCTATACATACACTTACTTAAAATTTGTTCACAGAGTTTTATTTTTGATTCAGGCATAAAAATCCAAAACAAGGATATTACCTGTGCAGACCTGATGAATACAATTCTGGAATAATGTCTCCTATTGATAAAACTTGCACAAAATTTGCCATAGTCTCACCAAAAGATCAGAGAAAAAACAACCCAAATAAAGTTCCAGTTTACAGCATTAAACACAAAAGTAATCTAATTTTATAACATATTCTGGCTATAGACGTTTGGCATATTATTCCACTCAATTGTCCTACTTGCAGTAGGGTTTGATTTTATATTTATATTAGAGAAGTGGAAAGCCAACGGTGTGGATAAATCATATAATAAACCGTGATGAGTCCTCCAAACACATGAATTACTGAAAACATAGATTCCATCACTGATCCATCTTGCTGAGTTTACACAAAATAAGTGACATGTTTCATCAATTAAATTAAATAACTCGCAGTGAAAAAAACTATCATATGTCACAATTGCGTGTTAAAAATATGTCTTCACAAAAAATTGAATTGTGGGATTCACCTAGAAACAAGATGGCGGCAAATCGGTCGGTTTTCGTTTTTCACACTTTACTTGCAGAATTTTCTTCTTTACATAGAATTTTGTTGACTTGTAATCTTTTATATCTTTTTGTCTTTTTATTCTTTATACAGGGCGAGCATTCACATCACTTGAACTAATAAATTATGAGAATGTCAATTGGAACTTTGCTTATGCTGTAAAGTATTTAAAATGGGCAGAATATTTTCCTTATCCTCTTGGTTATGTGGCAAAAGTGATTCCAATTGAAAATTACCAAAAGTGTCTTGAATATGAGTTTGGGATTTCAAAGAAAGAAAAGTAATTTTTTTTTATTTATTTATTTTTTGAATTTAATTGTGATTTTTGGTTTTAAACAATTTATAAAATGTTGTCTGTTAACAAATATCAATAAAAAAAAAATTGTAATTTTTTTCATCAATTTATCTTGTTTTTTTTGTTTTATTCAAATAATACAGGGTGACCTCAAAAAACAGAATGTGGCACATCATGCTAAGCGTTAGTAATACGCTCGCTACCGCACCTCTGATTATGCTGTGTGGGTTCACAGGTTTGAATCCCATACAGAGTTGATTATGTGCGAAGGATTGCTGGGCACCTCGCCATCGTAGGGTGGTTCACGTGACTGCTGGTTGGTTGCCGCTTCCTACACCATGAAGTCCATGCATCTGAAAACTGGCTAACTAATCTCAGACTTGACATGGGCTGGTAACCAGGAGAGAGGCCATAGTTAAGCCGCTGTATCGACTCTCCTCTCCCCGGGATAAATATGTAAATCCTGTAAATCCTATCCTGATGAATGGAAATGAACAAAATTCATTTGCACCAAAGTTATGTTCCATCTAGAATATGTTCCAAATAACCTGGGTTCTGTTTTGAGTCACTCTGCAATATTTGTACAAATATTTCCCCCTATAAATAGAATATATAATAGTTTACATTTTATTAATTACTGCAAATTTACTACAAACTAATTACCGCATCTTATGAATAAAATATGCAAAATTTACAGAGAATCTGTGATCAATCAAACAAAAAAAATAAAACTACCAGAACCTGATTCTGAAGAAGTTGTTGATGTTTTCACTATTGATCCCAAAGGTGCAATGGATTTGGATGATGCCCTGAGTTTATCTAACTGTACAAAACATAAAAAATGTTTTATTGTAAGTTTTACATTTCTTTTTTACCCTGTTAATTCGATTGTATTCTATATAAATATATATTGAAATGTTTTATGATAATATCAGCTTGGAGTTCACATCACTGATGTAGCATCGCTGGTTGAGAAAGGAACCCCTATTGACAAAGCTGCTAAAAAGCAGGGGGGTACTTTATATGGTGAAGATAGTGTAACCCACATGCTTCCTAAAGAAATGAGCACTGATAAATGCAGCCTGTTGCCTAATAAAGTTCGATCAGCAGTTTCAACCTACTTTCATTCAAGTAGGCCTCCACCCCATCTTAGTGGTGAGTCTTGAATATTTAAATTCTTTTGAATAGCCTATATTAAAAAAATCTTCAAATAGTGGAACTCAATGCCTAATTAGTACATTTATTTACGGTAACATGTGAAATGTGTGATGATATGCCAATTAAAGATAAAAATGAAGTATTTGAATAATTTCCAATTTAAACAATGCTGTAAAGCTGATATTACGTCAATAGAAAAGTAATTTGTGTTCTGACTTGTACAATCGTTGAAACATAGAATTCGAAAGCCCATCAAAAAATATAATTTTTGCTACTACATGATCTACTCATCTGAGATTTCCACCAATTTACTCCAAAATTTCTTGTAAAAATGTTAGACTGATAGCTAGCCACCAGTCATTCATGTGTTCTTTCATATTGGCTAAATTACCTGACTTCTTTTTCTTGCCCTAGTTATGTATTTACATCAACTATGTTTCCAAAATAAATATTTGAATTAATATTTCGTTGCTGAGCTCTATTTTATTGATGATTTCACATTTTGCCCTAAATTTTGCCAAACATTTAGAATTATTTTAATGGTTTGGGGCACTAAATTGTCTAAATAATATTTGCAGGAAATGTAGATGATTTTAATTCACCTCAAAAGTCATTTGTTAAATCAATAAAGCAATACACATATGAACAGGCGGAGAAAATACTTTGCAGTTCTTTATCTGAACAATGTTCCACTCATTCATTACAAAATAAGAACTCATTAGATGTTGCAATGGGTGAGTATGTTTAACTCTATACATTTATTAATGGATTACAAGTATCAGTATAGCTGAAATTTCAGTACTCCCGTAGTATGTTAACCAAGGTGGCAGACACCAGAACGTAGTATGTGTACCAGGTTAGGGTTAGGTCTTAATTTCAGGTACAAATACTACGAAAGACATTTGGCTAGTCCCCAAATTCGTAATAGAACTAAAATAAGGAAAATTGGAATAAAATCACTTACTACGTTCCGGTGTCTGCCATCTTGGTTCACATTATACGGGAGTACTGAAATTTTGATTAAAGCAAAGTTATTTTAGCAAATAACTTATTTTTTACCACTTTCTTCTCAACCACAACTTGTATCTTTAGTAATACAATACTTGTCTTAGTATTTATAGATATTTCAGCAGATTTTGAAGTTTAAGCTTTGCATACATTTTTGACCCTCATTGTTTCAATGAAATCTTCCTTTGAAAAAACGAAAACTAATTTAAACTGAGTATTGCATAATTTAAATAATATGTGAGAAATTAACACACATTTTTGTGTTCTCCGAATTTTAACTATCAAGTTTGTCTTAGTTTCTCACCAACTTTCTCCATGTTGGTATTATTGCCTTGTTATTGCATCTAGTAAATTTACGCATTTTATTAATAAAAATGTGGCATTCATTCATTTTTTTCCATCACAGGTGAAATATGGCAAATTTTATGGAGTTGGAGATGTACTAGATTGGGTGGGGCAGCTTATTACAAAGAGCCACGTAATTATTTTGAACTTTTGAATGAAGGCCGAGCTCATATTTTGGTAGAAGAAGCAATGGTTGCATCTAATGCCAACACTGCCAAATATTTATTGTCTAAAGTAAGAACAAAGTGACTCATGTGCATTTATACTAATGCAACTACAATGATTTCATTTATTATGCTGTGTTTTTGTTTTTGTATCAGTTCTTTGCATTTTTAGCGCAACATGTATGTTAGCAATTCAAAATTTTGTTGTATATTTAGTTTCTCATAACTCATATATCACCCCTTATTGGTGTGCCTTTATAAACTTACCTTCGAAAGGGTATTATTTTTACAGTAGGCTTACCTGTATTGGTAATATAATTTTTTTGTAAAAGCCAAGAGTATATAAAAACCGTAACTCTTCAGAATTTTCAAATAAATTTACGAGTACAAAAGATTCCTGAAAAGGAAAATTGGTTATCTTGGAAGCGTGGAAATGAGGAAAATATTGAAACTTCACCATACCTTTCATCCATGTCTGAATATCTCAAAAAACAACATGAATTGCAAAGAAAATTTACTCGCACTGTTGACAGTCGAGGACAACAATATGAACAACCCTCACAAATCAGTGAAAATCATTCTGATTTCAATGTGAGTATACCGATATTTATTGTACGAAGGCTTTGACAATATTTTACTTACATTTATCTTGATTGTCTATTTTTTATTATATTATGTATTAGAATGGAATACAAATCTATGCATCAACTTGGAAAAATATTTTAGAATGCAGAGAAATTGGTGATCTCGACATATTGCTATTTATTATATCTCTTGCTGATATTCATCCATCTCAAGTAGCAGCACTTGACCAGTATGTGTAAATTTTCATTTTTTACATTTCTTGAAGATAGTGATGAGTGATAGTCTGATAGGCGCCATGGGAGCCCAGCAATCATCTTGCACATAACTTTGCGAACTCGCACAAGGTAATGAGGGGTGCAGTGGTGAGTGTAAATTGATGCTTAGCATGATGCGCCACTTCGTATCTGGAGTTCTTTATGATTTTTTATATTTCAAAGCTGCACCATATTTTAATAAAGTTTAAAAAACAGTAATTCAGAGATTTATCTAAAATAAGATTGCTTGAAATTTGAAATTACCTATACTATTTAGTTACAGGAGTATACAAAACAGATCTGAATGGGTTTCTAATCCCGGATGTAACTCTGTGCATTCTTCAATGCGATTGCTAAAATATACAAAATGTTCTTCTCCGATACGGCGCTATTCAGATCTTGTCATACAAAGATGCATACATCGTGCTTTAGAGGGACTGTATCCCATTAATGAAACAGGGTTCGTGAATACGTATTGTAAATTTTGTTTCTATTCTAAAATTTTATTGAGATTGACAAACAATGATGAGTTCATATTAAAAATACTAATTTTTGTTATGCGTCTTCTGCAGTTTTGATTGTGATATTGATAGAAAATTGAACAGTTATGAACAGAAATCTGAAATGGCAAAACTTGCTAAGAGTTTGAGAGAACAGCCTACAGTCTTGACAATATGCATTTCACAAGTGGGTAGTTTTTATTTTATTTAATTTTGGAACTCCACAGGAACGTAGTATGTGTACAAGTTAGGGTTAGGCTAATATTTTTGGTATAAATACTTGGTGAGTCATTTGGCTGGTCCCTGAACTCGTAATAGAACTAAAATATGGAAAATTGGAATAAAATTATGGCCTAATATACCCTGGTATACATTCTACGTTCCGGTGTCCACCATCATGGTGCACATACTTCTGGAGCACCCTTATTTTAGCAATATTTTGAGTGTTTGTATATAATCTTCTAGCAATCAGTGTGGTTTCAGATTCTATTTGAACTAGCCAAATTCAACATATTATCAGTGTCATTTATGACATTATTAGTAAGTTCTATTTCATAATCATGATTACCTTTTATTCTATGTTATCTACTTAAAACTATAATTCAACTCAGAATGTGTCATACAAATACAGTAAATTATGGAATGAATATTAAATTTTTACTCGGATCTCTTTCTATTTTTGTTATATTATTGTTTGAAGTTGTTTTTTTTATCTTCTGTTTCCAGATTACTGATGCTAACATAAAAATCCATTTTTCATCACAAGCCAAATTGATTCCAAATATGGCTAAACATTTGGATTTTGGCCATTTAATGCTTGATATGGAAGCTAAAGACTTTATTGAGGGTCGATCGGAAGAGGAGATTGAAAGAACCAAATCGGGTGATGTTTTACTTGATCTGCTGAATGCCATTTGGAGATTCAGGTATGAATTCATGTCAATATAAATCATAATTGTTGTAATTAAATTATGATAGATATCAATGTTATCAAAACTTCTATTTGTATAACAAAATTCAGCCACACTGCACACCCAATAGATATTTCAAGACTGATTTTTAATTATTTTAGTCTGGATTTTAAATCGATTTTATCCACATCATGGATTAATTTGTAAGTTTTTTCCATCACCTCTCATTTGCAGCAAGACTTCTGGTTAAATTCAAATTGTGATCATTATTCTCACTATAAGGTTGTTACATTTTATATATACAAATTCAATAACACTGAAGCATATGGGAAAGATAAGAGTCTCTCATACTTAAATAAGAGAATTCACAAGTAATTAATATTGATGGATTTTAGAATGCGGGTTCCAAGATTCTCGTTAGATATTAATTCATAATAATGTAGAAAAATATAGGCAGATACTGTCTGTAGATGTCATCAAGATTTTAGAGGTTAGAAATAATATGTAACATAAAATAGACATAAGAAAATGATCGGTATATATTTCAGATTTTATGATTATGCAAAATCACAAGGTTACAGAGTTAGCAAAAAAATATTGCAGAACAAAATTGATAACCTTGTTGTTACTATCCCTCGACAAAATTGGCAAAACCTCATTGATATAATGAAAAATCCTCCTCGATGGATCGCAATAGATCAAGAAAAAATCGATTATCGAAAAAAATTGAAAAATGCTGTTGATCAGTAAGTACAAGTTAAATTATATATTGTAAAGATTAATTTAATTTTATTGTACACATTTTCGTTTTTATTTATAGGTTGTATATTTACATCTATAAACTGAAACAAGAACCAGCCAATGTCCAATGTTCGAAAATACCAAAACCTTTTGAATTTTCATTACTTGTTATTCAACTTGCTATAACTTGCTATTGTTTCACTTTGGATAGTTATTGACTGATTGAAAAAATTCATGATACATTGTGCTAAGCATTAGGAATATGCTTGCCATTGCACCCCTCATTACCCTGCGTGAGTTAGCAGGTTTGAATCCTGTGAGGGATAATTACCCATGTGTGAGAAGATTGCTAGACCCCTCATCGCCATGGGCTGATTCACATAACAGCTGGTAAGTTTCAGTTTCCCTCACCATCAAGACCACGCTTCCGAAACAAATAATTGGCTAACTAATCTCATACACAACATGGACTGGTAACCAGATTAAAGGCTGTGGTACGCCATATGATTAAGTCGTCTTATCTTTCCTTTCTCCCAGCATAAATATTAAACTCCTATTTTACCCTATTGTTTGATTTTACTTTTGTATTTTAGATTATACTGTGATTCTGAAAGCTCAAAATACAGCGACAAAATGTGTGGTCAAACTCGAAATAGTCCTTTTCCTATTTGTCACCATCGGGAAATAAGAAAGAGTCTTGTTTCTGGAACTGCTATTAAAATTCAGCTTTCAAGTTGGTTTGGCAAAAATAGGCTTCCGGAACCTTGCGCTCAATTACTTTGTGTGGCAGATGATTTGGACATTTGTGTACATCATAATCGGGAACCTTTACATATATTTGCTCATGATGCTAGAACTATGAAAGGTATCGTTCAAATTTTTAAAATGTACATACAACTATCAGTAGTGATTAATCCTTATCGTTCCTCCAAACTTTTGCAGTAGTGGGCAGGTATACATATGTGTATAATGCAAGAATGGTGTAACAAGAATGAAGATGACTGTCTTATGTAATTTAAGAGACTTGCTGCACACTATCATAAATTATGAATGGTCATTGTTTGAATTGCGGTACTTATCTGGGGAAATCCGATGTCAGGCAGATGAAACGTTACAGAAATACATTTGTGTTAGAGTGTGACAAAACTATTGAATTACATAGTGCATAAAATGGTTTTTTTTTAAACTATTTTAAAAAAGAATGAGATTTTATGATTTCTGATATGTATACATATAAGTATACAGGGTTGTCAATAAAGTTCCTTTACAATTTCAATTTTGTCAGGAAGTCAGTTCTCAATCTATCTTTATTAGGTTTGTTGTATTCAAATCAGTAATTATTTAAGTATTATTACTTCTTTTAATACACCTGTGAGGGCCATCGATAAATCCCCTTTTCAATTTCAAAAAATTTAAGATCTTATTGACACTATGTATATATATGATAATTTCAGTGACATTGTTTTATCTTATTTTTTCACAAGTATTCATAAATGTAAATTAAAGTGATTTTTTAATTATTGTTTACAATTTAGATCATACTCCTACCACAATGAAAAAATATCAGAAAATATGGGAACCTTTAGTCAGAATGGAAGCTGCTTTTAATTCAGTAAAGGATGGTTCTTCTTTCATCTTGAAAGGAGTCAAAATATCATGGGATATTGGTGGATTTACAGGTTAAGACTTAAAATGCTTCATACTTTCATTTTTAATTTAATTAAACAATGGGTTTAAATCATTCTATTTATACTCATGAACAATTATTTGGCAATTATATTGAAAAGTGGTAAAAAATGCTACTTCATTTTATATAAACCTTTTATTTAATTAAATCATATATTTTGTTATTCAATATTATCCGATAGCTTATTCAAACCTTACAACTACATTGCTATCTTTCATAATTTGAGTATAATTTCAATATGAGGAAATGGCATGGCATGAATAGGGGCAATTATTATTGGACACAAAGTGGTCATATCGTTTTGTAAATTTGTATTTTTCTTCTTGGTGTTGTGAAAAAAATCGCCTTTGCTTGACATTTTCAGTGGTTTAAGATTGTTGTTGTCACTGGAAAGCTATTACTTTTATTTATTTCCAAAATTTATTTGGGCTCTATGGAATTAGTTTTACACTTTAAGTTTTCGTGCGATGATGACATTAAACTAAAAAATTTGCACCATGTTCTGTGATCGCATTTCAGCCTATTTTGTGGTCAGACTACCGGTACTGTGAGATTTGATGCTGCTTCATTTTGGCCATTGTGTCCCTATATCGAGCCTTGTTGTGTTTATTGTCTCAGCCATAGCCATGTCTACATGTCTTAAATATTTTACTGAATTTGCGTTTATTTGATTCTTTAAATTTATGTTTAAACTAACCAGTAATTTGTATGAATTGTGTAATCACCAAACAGTGTAGTATCTTGTTTATTTATTTATTTTTTTCATTCCAGAAAACACCTCTCAAGAAAAAATAGAAAGTTTGGATATTGGTTCTTCAGAGAATCATTTTGCTGTTAGTTTATCATTCTGCAAAGAACGATACATAGAATTTAACAGCAGTGATTTGTTATGCCTAAGACTGAAAGGTGTTCCTATTGCAACTGGTATGAATTCTAAAAATTTTTCAACATCAACAAACTTTTACTAGTATTTGTGACTTAGTAGACCATCCAAAAAAGTAGCAATTTGATAAACTTTATGTATCCTGCTTGTTTTCTTGCTAGAGATTAAACCCACACATTGAATTGGCATAACACAATGTCCAACCCAACTCGCACGCTTTCAAGCCAGGCCAAAATTTTAAGCAGGGCATTGTTGACTTGGAATTATCATCGTTTTTCGAAACAAAATTTTTAAATATCTATGTATATTTGAGCAATATATTATTGAGTTGTCTTACCGGTACTTTTAAATTACTGAAAAATCTTAATTTTTTAACAAAAGTTTGCTTGCAAATCAATTTTTTTCCAGTTATCTTATCAATGTACTGCATTTGCGGTGTTATTTACACCTACCAGTAATAATTTTTTTTATATTTGCTATATGTATATGTTGAACTATTTTTATCAATATGTCTTCAGAAAAATCATCGCTGACGTTGGACAATTGTGATCCAAGTTATACAGTTGTAGTGCATGGCATTATCACTTCAGTTGAAGAAAGAAAACCGGTAAATAAGCATTCATTCAATGTTTATAAAAAAATAAATAAACATCACTTTTTGTGACCATGCAATATGTAGAATAATTAGCATCTATAAAAAGGATCTAGGGGAATTAGAATAAACTTGAAAACAGTTCAAATTTAGAATTATTTAAGTTCGTGAGTGGATTGGTCTACTTCATGTCTGGTAATGTTGACGTATTCAAAGAATATAAATACATTAAACATACTGGAATAACATACACTTTGATTATTTCAGAGTACTTCAAAAACTAGATTACAATTTTCAAACTATGCTGTTTTCTTCAAAATTTGTGACACAAATATGGGTAATATTCAATACACTCTTCAAAAAGAAAACTTATGGACAATTGAAGTTATTCCTCTCAGTTTGATGCATCGGTATGATAAAGAAGTTCAAATTATATTATACAATAAATGTTCAATAAATCCATATTTGATATCACTTTTAAAATTATCTGATCGGATTGTCATTTTTTAAAAGTAAATTTACCTGTTTAATTTGTGCTATATTTTTCTCTACAAATACTTATGTTTAAAGTAATACAAGAGTCTTGCTGCACACTAACACAAATATATTTCTGTAATGTATATTTGGCCAAGGTAAGACATATGAAGATATACATAATTCCACTAATTTCTCAGAAAGGTTGTCCAGACTAAACTTCACAATATAGTCATGTTAGTGTGCTGAAAGACTTGAATAACTTAAAATAGTTATCTTCACTCATGCTGCAGCATCATTGCAATACATTCATATGAATCCTCTAGCGCAAGAGCGTAGGAACAGGATGAGTAATCCTGTAGATACTCAATCAATAGCATATTTTATATTTTATTCCAATTACTTTAAAATTATTTTCTTTTAGATGTATTATTATTTATAATGTATTTTCAGGGGAATGCAGAGTTCTCTTAGAAAAGTTGCTAAGTCTAAGCACAATTTGGTTGAGAAAATATGTATGGAGACAATATCTCCTGCTGAAAAAATTGAGTTACCTGAGGGATCAGATCAAATTTTACAACAACGAAAACTAATAGGATTTCATTTTGATTTGAATGAAATTCAATACAGACAAAAACTTAATTCTGCTCAACAAAGGTTCACTGTTATTCAAGGACCGCCTGGTAAGTAACCAATTCGGACATGACAACTTGATATATCATTTTATTTTGGATAAAATTTCACCCCATATGTTGATGAGCTTTACAGTTCTCTTGTTCTTTTAGATCATTGCACTCCTTGTTTCATTAGCTTTAAATATACCTAATGTCTAAATGAGATTACAATAAAAAAAATCTATGCCAAAGAAATTAAATAGGGATACAAATATATTTGGAGAACTAACAGTTGGGGGATAAATATGTAAATCCTATGTTTAGTGATCAAATAATTACACTGCTAACAATTTCACAATCATTACCAAAAACCAGATACAGTACAGTTCACCACCAATCTTTTTCTAGGAACTGGCAAGTCATATATGGGAGCTCAAATTGCAGCAACTTTTGCATTCATCAATAGATTAAGAGATCCTAAAAATCCAAGAAAAGTGTTATATTGTGGTCCATCTAACAAATCCGTTGATGTTGCTGCAGGTATAGTTGAACATCCTTTTGTTTCTATTGTGAAAAGCATTTCGTGTATTTTTGATAGTGTAATATGATAGAAATTGATGTAGAAAAGCTAAGAAGATAGAATTTTGAACATGATAGATAGAGGAGAAAGTTTATGTGAACTATCTGCATATTTATACAGAGGTAAGGAAAGCGCATATGCGGTTGGAGATGCATATAGTTAAGTCGTTCATTTACTTATATAGGGTGGTCGTTTGAAAATCAGAAAATTTGAAAGTCAGATGAAATCACAAATAACATGTGTATATGTATGGGTTGAATTGAAATTATACCCCACAAGTTAACTTTCAAAACATTACATGAGCTTGGACTTCTGGTTATGAAACTTTTCTGAAGTGCACGGACAACATTTTCTGCATATATGAGTATAATATAATATATGCCTTTAAGAAACTCTGTAAAAGTTATTCTTTGTAAAAATATATAGCTGTCTGACAAATTTTCTGCTTTTCTAGCAACCACCCTGTATTTATACAGAAGAGAAGAAAATGCAAGAGCAGTTAAGGATGCTTATAATTAGCAGTCAAAGGTGCTTAGACATGGCTATGCGATGTGGCGCATCTTGCTAAGCATTAGGAATGACATGAACGAGAGACCATGGTTTGCCATATAGTTAAACCGTCTTATCGATTTTCCTCACCCCAGGAAAAATATGTAGATCTTATTCTATTGCTAATATGTTAAGGGTGGTTTCCCTCCTAGCAATTAAACTGTACAATATTCATAGTATCAAATACACATTGATAAAAAGCGGTATGATGGTATCTACCTCATGCATATTGTGCAAATTGTTATATGCCCACATCATGGCTGCCTTCACCATCTATGTTTATGCATGCAGGCTCGGCGTGTGGCGCATTGTGCTAAGGGTTAGGAATACGCTCGCCACCGCATCTCTGATTACTCTTCGTGGGATCACAGGTTCGAATCGCATGCGGGGATGATCATGTGCGAAGGGATTGCTGGACCCCTCGCCGCTGTAGGGTGGTTCACGTAACCGCTGGTCGGTAACGGCTTCCTCATCATCAAGTCCATGCTTCTGAAAACAAATAACTGGCTAACTAATCCCATACCCGACCTGGACTGGTAACCGGACGAGAGGCCGTGGTTCGCTATATAATTAAGCCGTCTTATCAACTTTCCTCTCCTCCGGGATAAATATGTAAATCCTATCCTATCCATATGGTACAATTAATTAGTTACTCTTAACCCATTAAGCCTTCCCATACTGACCTGCAGTGGTAACAAGAAAAGATTTTGTGGTTTGAAATATACCTAATTAAGTCATTGTTTATTCTAAAAATTCTTTTTTTGCTAAATATATTTTTCAGGATTTTTAAGGAATGCCGGACATTTAAAAGTCATTCGAATGTACAGTACAAGTTTGGAAGAAAAAATCTTTCCAAACCCAATAAAGCCAAAACCTGTGTTTTCAAATCCTGGGGATGATTTAAAGCAACCAGATCCGAAGCTTGAAAGCATTTCACTTCATAACATAATCAGAAGAAATGGCAATCAATGGGCAGACGATATAAAATCATTTGATTCAAAGTAAGTAAAAGAAAAAAAAATTGCAAGAACCATATTCAAAAATGAAACAGACATAATCTTTTGATTTGTTCATGTGTCGAATTCCATGTTATAGACATGGAACAAGATGAGAATAACTTTTCCCAACCAACTTCTATGTTACTTGATTATTTTTACCCTTAACTTGATTCCAGTAATAAAATGCTAGAATAAATCATGAAAATTGTATTTGTTAATCATTTTTATTTATTCTTCGTCTTTTTCATTGTTTTATATATGGTATATTATTATCTTGATGCAGAATATTCGCTTCTCAGAGAGCCTTTAGGTAACAGTGAATTTGACTTTTTATTAAACCAACTATGTGTCCATCAATTTCATCTCCCAGATGCTAAAATTCAACTTTGCTCTATAACATGCAATTGACTTTATTATTTGTCGTTATTTGCTTAAGTCCATGTTATTTCGGCTTATTGCTGAAAATCTCTTTTCTCAATTCCAGGGTCAAAGATCTGAATAACAGATTCACAAGAAAAGAAGTTGATCAATACAAAGGTTTAGTAAGAAAAGCTAAATATGAAGAATTAGTGAAGTGTGATGTAATAATATGTACTTGTTCATTGTCGTCTTTATTGTCTACACTCAAAGAAGAAGGATGTGAGTCTTTTTTAATTGTTGTTTGTCAGATTTGATGCATTGTTCCATTATTCTAAGACATGGGGTTCCCAACCTTTTTATTTCAATTTCCCACTTCCGATTAGGTTGAGTTGGTATTTCCCATTACGTATGGACTTGTTTGAAAAGACTAATTTTCCTGTAAATAATAATTAGTATGACTTTCTATAAAAAAGGCTTGCAATTGGTGTAGAGGTTGAAACCCCGTGAAAACATTCCTTCCGCCGTCTAGCATCCCAATACAGTAACGATTCGTGTAAAGAAAATCAGTGTTATCCATCGAATTCAAATCAATTCTGCCGTTTTTTTATATGGTAGGCCGGAAGTCTGAATCTATTTTTGAAAATGCGCATTGCTGTTGTACAAGGAGATTCGTTCATCTTTGGCGCCGCAGGCTTACTCGGCAGAATATCATCGCACTCCACGAGACAAAGTTTTATTTATGTCCTACCGATGTTATGGAACTTTTGGTTCTTGCTATTCGCAGGACATCTACAAATGACGCAGTAAATATCACCTTTGAACTCATTTGAAATTGCCCATGTTGTCGAATCTTATCCTGCTTTTATTTTGCATTTTTTTAGCAAACTGATAAGCGAATGGATATTTGAAATATTTTGCCTCATTTCACGGGGTTACATAGAACCATTGGAGATGGTCTTAGTGCATAAAAACGCATAGCGGCAGTTGCTCAAAAATTTTCGTTAAAAACATGAAACGTAGCCGAGATGACTATGATCGTACTTTATTTTTACATAAGCCATTACTTTTTATTAACAATTTAGCAGAATGGAGGGACGGGTCAAATATTTGTTCATCAGCGCGCGTGCCTACCCAATACTTCTGAGACATTTGAATAAAAACTGTTCTATTTTGCACCTCTGCAACGAAAATCTTCTTGCGTAATGTTCAAAGAATTGGTGCTCGTTCAAAGATCAAAATGAGTTGCTTAGCACGATCAGAATATCATGCCCAATAACGTGATATTTTACTAAAGTTTTGATTAATTGAATGGGAATCTTTTTCCGCTTCATGGCATATGTTGTGATTTTCCTTGTGTAATATTTAATAATTGTGTTGTTGTGCGTACATTTTTAGAGGAGCATTAAATTTCCCACCTGCAACCTCCGAATTTCCCACTAGTGGGAAATTTCCCACCCGTTGGGAACCACTGTTCTAAGGGAGAGCAAGGCTATCTAGCTAGATCAAGGGTCGGCAAACCGCGGACCGCGAACTAATTTTTTGCGGCCCTCGAACGTTCCGACTTCTAATGCATAAAACAAAATTTTGAATATAAATTTATTATTGTCTCTACACGGATTTGCGTGGTAAGGGGTGCTGCTGTACGGCGCTTTTTTGTAGTAAGTAGTGTCAGTTGTATGCCATGCACCTGATGTTGGTTGTACTTATAAGTTCATTTTGAATTTTAAAAATATAAAAGCGTACGGGAACGTTAGGAAGTTTGCAATGAGGGTCGAGCATTCCGAAGTGCTTCTTTTGCGCATTTCAAAACCAGTTTGCCTGATATGCCGCGTCAACATCTCAGGTATTGAAATATTCAAAGTTAAACGTGATCAATAACTTACCAATAGAAAGGTGAAATGAATTTATTGATTCATACACACAGCATTTGGAAGAAGAAACAATTGAACATTTAAAATAAATACAATTTGTAAAATATTCAATCGTATTGCAGTTATGTTTATCACAATTCTGTTAATTTTCGCGGCGCCTCTAGCAACTCGTCACGGCGCACCTTTTGGGAACCCCTGCATTACACTAAGAATGGGTTTCGCACTCGCTTGTCAGATCGTCATTTGGACCACTTGCCATTTAATTTCAATGCTTTGGCCATGACAAAGAAAAAGCATTATCCGAAACATTGATGATAAGTAAATAAAAACAATGTATTGTTTGATAATATATAAATTAAAAAAGGCAACATACACGTCTCACTGTGGCACAGAATAGAATGTGCGGGTGCGCCGTAATTTGAAGTTTAATGTCGTGATTGTTCTCAGGTGGAAATTAATGCAGCCCGCACGCTACCATAAACGTGTATATTTGGCCCGCGAGTACATAAAGTTTGACGACCACTGATCTAGATTATAAGGCTATCTGTAAGGAAATCCATAAAAATTTTATCTATATATATGTTAATAATTTGGGTTTAAAGAATAGATTAGGACATATTTGTTTAAAAAAAGAACCGTCAACTTCTGAAATAAAACAAAATTGGGCCCTCCCGAAGTATGTGCACCAAGATGGCGCACAACTTGCACCCTTATCTGGTACACATACTATGTTCAGGTTGTGCGCCATCACGGTGCACATACTTCTGGAGGTCCCAAAATTGTTATTGTTTAGCTATATTCTTCTCATCTTACTCCCCATCTTGTTTTGGTACATCTTGGAAATCACCATTCTGTTTAAAATTTGTCAAGGACATTATTATTTCTTGTCTTCACAGCTATGAAGTTTGGTCAGTGTATTATTGATGAATGTGGAATGTGCAGTGAACCGGAAACCCTAATACCTCTTACAGTGGCTGACCCTGATCAGGTATAAATTCTCTATAAATAGGGAGTGTTTAATTTCAAATAATAAGTAAGAAAGTAGGCACAAGTTACAATGTGAAACCTGACATTGAATTAGTTTTGTTATCGATGATTAAGAATTTTACTTGGGCTGAATTATGGTAAAAATACTTTTGAAATTAATTGTTTACTCATTCAAAATGTTGAAATCTTTAATACTATTGAAATCAAAAATAAGCTGAAAAAATCATTTTCAGATACTAAACGTAATATTATGCACTTTGTAGAAGATTCTTCATGGGTAAATCTAGAGTGGACATTGTATTCTGTCAGAATCCTTGTATTTTATACGATCCAAGCTATAAAAGTGATAATATATAGGATAGGACTTACACATTTATCCTGGAGCAGAGGAATGCCACTAAGACGGCTTAATCATATAGTCAACCACAGCCTTTCGTTCGGTTACCAGGCCAGGTGGGGTATAGGATTAGTTAGCCAGTTTTTGTTTCAGATGCATGGACTTGATAGTGGAGGAAGCTGTAATCGACCAGCGGTTACGTGAACCACCCTATGACGGCAATTCTCTCTCACATAATTCGAACATGCGAAGTATTGCGAACCCACTCAGGGTAACAGAGGTGCGTGCGATGGCGAGCGTATTTCTAACACCACACCGCCGATCCTAGGGCCTATAGGGTTTAGTGAAGTTGATTTTTCCATTTTATTCCCAGGTTGTTCTAATTGGAGATCACAAGCAGCTTCAGCCTATTATCAAATGTAGGAAGGCTGAGAGACTTGGTCTTGGAATATCTTTATTCAGTAAATACAGTGAAATGGCTGAGATGCTGACAACACAATACAGAATGGTATATTGCGAATAACTAACGTACCTTGTAAATTAAATAGGGTGTCTGAAATTGAAGTGATCATATTAATTTAGAAGTCAGTCAGTAGTTTATTTTTTCACCCAACTAAAAATACACTTGATGTGAACATTGAATAAGAAAAATCATAAACATATTGTGTATATATATTTATTGTCATGTACCGTAAATAGTGTAACAGCCTTCCAATGGTATGTTAAGTATTTCAAATGCATATCTAATTTTATAGGCCATTTGAGAAGTTATATTTTGTGTCAATTTGTTTCAAGGTATGTATTTACACAATGTGAGGAAAAGTGTCCAATCAATATTGTCATTTTTTAAATGCCACAAGAAGTAGATGTGGAATTTTTTTTATTTAGGAACCAGATATAATGGAATTTCCATCAACTCAATTTTATGATGGCAAGTTGAATTGTGATGCTACAGTTCTTCGTAGAAAAAGAGTAATATTACTTCCTGGAAGTGAAAAAACGATGTTTGGTCACGTCGTTGGGAAAGAGAAAATACAACAATTCAAATCAATTCATGGTGGAGACAAATCAAAATACAACCTTGAAGAGGCATATGCAGTGGTAAGTAATATGCTTATAGTGATCTGCGAGTTTGGTACAAAGTAAGAAGAGCTATAAGCTGAAGATTGAAAGCTAATAGAAAACATTCTACTAAAGGATTGAATTTGTTTCATCATATTTCCATTAGTTGATCCAAGTAGAACGAGGCCATTTATTAACTTTCTAGTATCAATGTTTTTATAGGCAATATTTAAAATTGCAAGATTAGAGATTGAAGTAAACTAATCAAGCTCTATGAAGATGGGTGATAACATTGAGTAATGTCTAGTTATCAGAAATTTAAGCTTGTCAATTCTAATTTTTCGAAGTAACCTCTATCCCCTACCTAGTCAACAATGTAAGAGTGGAATATCTGAAAGTCGTAAACTGTTGCAGCTATGACAGAAAAGATACCCAATAACTAAAAAGCATGCACCAGCAAAAAAATACATCAAACTTTAGTGGTTGTCTGTTTGATTTTATTTAAACACCACAGAAGTTTAGCATGTCCTGCTACTAAAATTTATGCCAAATCTTTCCAGGTTAAATTGTTGGTCTATTTAAAAAATGAAACTTCTTTGAAAAATTCTGACATTATGGTATTATCACCATATACTGCACAATGCCACAGAATTAAGGACATCATCAAAAGAAATCGCTCTCAATTGAATGACATTCATGTTGGTACTATTGTTACAAGCCAAGGTAAGGAATATGTTTCTTGTTATACATTTAAAACCTGTAGAATACCTGTAGAATTAAATCATCATTGTGAAACATTAGGGAATTTACTACAATTAATTTTGCTCTTGTTTCCTCTTTTGAAAACACTATCTTATCATAAGTTTAATGGATTGTTTTTATAAAGCTCTATAAATTTGTTTTATAGATTTCATCTTTCCCTATATGCGAATTTATGCATTTCTAGTTAGTAATTTTTGAAATCGCTAAAAGGTTTGTCAAGTTCCCAACTTGGAAAATAGAGAATATAGTGGAATATAACTAGTTATTATTCAAATAACGGTAATAACACAATACACAATGAACTAGAAAATAGAAATTGGTCATTAAGATTTCACACAATATTAGTTTTCATGTATCTAAATCTATCAATTATTAGCCAATATAAAGTGAATGTTATGATATCAAAATGACATATCATGAGGAAGATTCATTTAGATCTTTTGGTGCAATTTGCAGATTATGTCACCAAATGAAATTAGATTGACCAATTGATGACCAAGGTTGATATTAATCATTCTAATTTGTTTACCCAAATTTTATTGAATCATGTTCGCATTTTCAAAAGGATCAATTGAAAAAACGAACAGTATTCCTTCTTGTAAGAGTAATATAAAAAATAGAGAAACTTTTGAACAGGCATACAGAAAATGCAGTTATCGAAATGAAATTAGTTAGTTGAGATTTGATGACAAACATCGAAAATTTCAATTGTTCTATATGCAGGAAGTGAAGCAGATTTTGTGATATTATCGACAGTTCGTTCACTGCCGGATGAGGCAATAGTTGATGAGCCAAGTTTGGTATGGCAATATAAACATCTTGGTTTTGTGTGTGATCCACATCAAGTTAATGTTGCTATCACTCGAGCAAAATATGGAATGTGTATTATTGGTGAGTTATTCAGAGAGATAACAGATCAGTACAATACATTTCTTCATTAGGCTAATTTGAGATAATGCAGATGACCTTTTGTATGCTGGATAAAATAATTTTTTTATATTTATCATTTATCATGCCTAGTTACCATATTTGGCTTTGATAGGTTACTAGAGAAAAACTTACAGTTGGACTGAATAAATTTGTCGGTAGTTTCTTTTCTAATCCAAGTGTTTATTTTAAGAATGTTATTAAATTTTCAAGGTCTGGCAGATAATGCACAAATTTTACTTTAGTTCCCACAAGTTACTCAAAACCTTTTTTGTTTGTTTTTTACTTCAAGATAATAAAAAAACGTGAAATTTGTTCTAGGAAACAAGAACTTACTTGGAGTCAATTCTTTGTGGAAAGAATTAATCAGCTCATATGAAAGAAGAAGAGCTGTTTTCAAATTTACTGATCAGTTCTAGACAATCATAGCTGCGCTATTTCTTCAATGACAAAAATTTCAAAGCTAGCATGCATTAGTGGTTCATTTATGCAATCCTAAAGAGCGAAAACAAGGAAAAGAGGAATTTCTTATGTTTCATTTTTGATGGTACTTATAACCAAAAAAATATAGCTCAAATTACTCAGATTGAAAGTAATTATCACTTTTATGTGTATGTTTTTAATTTTCAATTTTATTGTGTGAATAATGGGGTGAATTTTTATCAATAGCTTCAAGCATTCATTAGTTTTAACCACGTGTTTAATGTGTTTTGTAAAGTTTTTAGACGTGAATATATTTTATTAGTTGGTTTTTATGTTGGAGATAATCATCATATTCGAACGTATTTTAGCATTAGCATTACTTTTTTTCGATCATTTTTTATCAATGGATAGTATAACATTATACAGTTATTTATTGGGATAAAAACTGCCACTTATTAGGCTACCACCAGTGCTTGTTAGAATTAATTACCGTAATCAGTTTATTATATTTTGAAGAGGAATTTGGGCCCATTTTGAGATTGATTTTTCTAATCACGATACATTCTAGTAAATTCTCGATGCACTGACTTTTTTGTAAGTCAATTCTTTTTCATATATTTCTGAATTTTATAATGAAATTTTACTAATATGCAATCAACCCGCATCACTTCAATTCTTATAACTTTTTAAAACACATTGCCGAAAACTGCATAATCTGTGAATTTTCTGCAGTTTATTCAAATTTATGCATACCATTACATTTTACATATGTATTCCTATTAAGTGATTTGACAACATGGTTGCATTGAGGATGGCGATTTTGTTGATTGCTTCAGGGCTTGTATGTCGCTTGTAAATTGATTTTTTCTGGGCTAATATTAATTTGACCTCTTTGTGATATTTAGTTATGGTGATGAATATTTCAAAGTAAATTAGTTTTTGTAGAACTATGATATGCATACTATTAAACCTTCCAAGATTTATTTGTTCGTAATTTTGATAGGACTCACAGCAGGTGGCAGAATGCATCTTACAACTGAGATAGCTTTGAAAATTCTGTTCCAGCATAGCCAACTTATTAGGTAGGTACTGCATCACCTTTTTCAACAGGGTGCTATTTTTTAAATTTCCATTTTATCAGGTAGGAATTACTTTGTAGAACTGTTTGTCACTTCACAACTCACCTATGGAAAATCTTGTCAGCTGTCAAGCCCAATTGGTAGTAAGTCAAAGAGCGATGATGGTTATCTTATTTACAATAAGAACTTATTCATTGTCAACGAGTGGAAAACCACACGATTGGAAGCAAAATCCGGCGTTACACATTTTCTTTCATCGATTACTAAAAGTAAGATGATTTACTGTCACAGCTTGAGTGGGGCATGTAATCACATAACTATGTCATATTATTAGGAAAGAATTTTCTTTACCCATAGACTTGACTACAGATCAATATCAGTTTCTAGGAAGCTGATAAATCTTGTACTTAGTATTTCTATATAGCTCATTATAAATTCTCCTCTCAATGTAAAGCCTGTCCTCACAACTATTATTATTTCAAGGCAAAATACCATCGTGTGTCATTTTTATCCCTATCACAATTTTAATATGGTTCAATCACCTTTCAAGCCTCTTCTGAGCAAAGTCCTAAATCTAAACCCATCATCATATGAATCGAACTATATATGTTATATTAACCCAATTTATGTTTGAAATTTTATCCCTCGAACTAGAATTGTAGGAATTGTCTCAATTGATAACGAAAATGGTGAATGTTTGAAGGGCATTTGCGGTATGTGAGTTTCATGCTACTTGATGAGTTTTTGCTTACTAAGGATAAGGTTGTAAACCTACATAAGTCTCACATATCCATGTATATATCTTATCATACCTAACACCTGACAGATGAATATTTATCAAAAATTTATTTGTAATTTGTGTAACACACAACACAAGAATCATTAATACATGTATATACGGACTTGAAAAACGAAAAAATAAACAAAACTGGTGAACACTAAATGTTTGGTTTGCAAAATATGAACTGTGAACAAGTGTAATACTTCACATTTGATAAGATTAGAATCAGTAAATTAAATTTTATAAGTTTGAAAATCTCCGTTATAAATCATCATCTCGAGTAATTGGTGGCTGTGCTGGGGGTAGTATGTGGCCTCCTTTTCGAGATAGTAAACCAATTTCTTCCTTCAAAGCCTGCAAATCAAGCAGTTTGAAACATTAAAGATAGTGGACTTAAAGGCAAAGTTGTGGATAATAGAGTATTTTTGTCAGACAATGACATATATATATATAATCGATAAAACAAAAAATCAAAATAAAATATGTGTGGCGGCCTAGTGGTTAAAAGAGTTGAACTTGATTATATTGGCATCGTAGGTTTTATAAGTCTTGGGTTTGAACTACGTGCCCACCAACTCATCCATGATATAATAAATCGGGTAGTAAGGCTATTTGGAATGATTCCGGTTTTTGCACAAATAGTAGCTCTTATGTAAAAGTAGCTGGTAGTATAAAGCCTTGTTTAGAGTGGCAGATGCATAAAAAGAGCACATGAATCAACTATTCTGCTACGCATAACATCAACATTAAACTGAATCATGATACATGTTTTTGTATCACAGACTGAAAGATTGTAAAAGCAAAATATTTTCCAATATATATCATATATATATGTGTCCTAAATTGATATTATATTCATCTGTGAGTGAATATAACAACAGTCAAATTTACTTTGAAAACTATGATGACAAATACCTGAATTTCTTGAGCTTGCAGTTGTACAAGTTGCATTAGTCTTTGTCTTTCTCTTGTATCTGACTTCTTATCTCCATTTTGGTCAAAATTCTACAAAAATTAAATGAGTAAAAAGTCATGAAAACTCTCTTTTGCATAAATCAATATAATGCAGTTTAGGAGTTATTTAGCTTTACTGCATTTTCTGATTCTATAGGCTACCAATCTGAGTTTGACCAAATTTAGATGGTTAACCGAAATCAGACTTCTCCAGAATTTATCACACATCAGTGTTCAAGTAAAGTAAGAAGGTGTTTTTTACATTGTAAACAAGTGTCTTGATATTAGGTGATTGTATTTTTTATTAGTTTGCACTTGACACGAGTATTTCAACAACTAAGTTTTTCCTAATGCATTGATTTCCAACCGCTTTTTTGTGTAACACTAGTGTGCCGTGAAAGACCTTCAGGTGTTCCACATTTTTTTAATGGTAGACTTCAAACTAATATAAACTAATTCCGAGTCAAAAATAATATTTGAAGTATTTGACAGTGCAAAATCTTCTGCTTTAGAATCCCAGAATATTGCTTTATGACATTATGAGAAAATCATAGAGAGACATTCAGTTTTTTTAGGATACTGTCTGGTCATCATCCTTATTCATAATGTATACCACACTTTATATCAAATACTCCTGTCATGTTGGACAGATATTGGAAAGGTGAAACTAAAAGTGAAAAAAAATGCTGAAACCAGAGAATTACATGTCCAAGATAGTTCTGGTAAAACTGAATGTTATGGTGTTCTGTGAAAAATTCAAGATATTCAAAATGTTACACAGTTCAAAAAAGGTTGAAAATCTCTGTCCTAGTGATATAAGGTTAATCAATAGTATAAGAAGTAACTAGGCTTATATGAATCATCTATTTCACCAGATAAATTGAAAATGAAAAAGCTTTTTTACAAGTTCTCCGCTATTTCATTTATTTACGTACCAAATCTTTTTGTCGTTGATCCAAGTTCTTTTCAAGACTAGTTTTCTGATTCACAAGAATATTGTATTTTTCCAGATGACGGGTGTTTACTCGAGTTAGCTGAGTTATTGTGTCTTTCAATTCACTGATAAGGTTCTGTAAAATGTATATTATGGAGTAAACGACAAAAAAAAACAATTATTCAGATAACCAAACAAATACGCTGTTCCATTGGAAACCATTGTTCTATACAATTCTTACACAATACTTACATCAAGCCTCAGAAGTTTTGCTGAATTTTTCAACTCATTCTGATGAACTTTTTGTTTTAATTCCTCAACAGTTTTGTTGATTGTGATAGAATCAAGTTTATCGAGATCAACAATTCTTCCGAACTGTGAAAGATAATAGAGAGACGAACTTATTACAGTTCTCAGTGAAATAAGTTCAACTAGACTATTAGCGCCTCAATGAAAGGAGACATTTTAGCACTTTTATTTTCCTCAATACCTTTTTAAATATGTCACTATGGAAGCAAATTGAAAAATAGTTTCAAGGACTAAATTTGTGTATTCATTGATGTGCGAGTGGGAAATGTTTTACCTTGTACCACTAGCAAGGCATGTTGCAGTGATAAAGATAGATGGGGTGATTATAATGAATTGTAACTTTTAAATACAGAAATTATTGAACTATCAATAATTATATATTCCTGAGTCTTAGCATGATGCGCCAACCAACAAACCCGTTATGATATCTGCAGTGATAAGGTCCAAGTGTGCTTAGTAAGGGAACTGTTAAAGTACAGCTGAGCCATACCTTCAACATCATCATTTGCTCGCATTTTTCTTCCAATCTTTCAATTTTCTGTTCCATAATCTTTCGGTCTTTGATTAAACGAACATGTGACATCCGAGCATCCCTGGAGAGATTTTGATAATAAAATTATAATGTGATGGATAATAGTAGTAGAGTGATTAGCAACATTGTGTCTCTGTGAGCTGTGTTTGTGTGTATTCATCTTCTACATGGGAGGAAAATTATGAGTTTTCTATATATTTCTCTGCTTTGATACTCAAGCTTTTATAAGACATGGCCAGGAAATTTAGTAAGTTGCCAGGACTTTTAAAGGAGGAAGGGACTTCGAAATCAGAAATTCCATGCAACGACTTCTGAAACAGCTGCCAAGACTATACCAATCTCCAAAAAAAAATTTTTCTCAGTGGATAATGATATTTTTGTAGCACAAAGTATTTAATTCATGATCAATACCAGCATTTAAAATGTCTTATATTAATTTGTGCTCAACATAGTTTACTCATTTTTTGTCTCTCCTAAAATAATAAATGCTTAAAAAGACATTTTCAAATGAAAATATTCTAAGTTCCTAAGTTCTATTATCAAAAATTCACTTAATCGAATATAACCAATTAGAATGTATTCGAATATTCAATTTGTTTTGGACATCCCCGAGCATTAACACTTTGAAATACCACAACAATCAACGAACCTGAAATGTGTGGTAAACTGCTCGATTATATTCATTTTTGATTCATATTATTAAAATCTAGCAAATTTATCAATTCTTGCAGTTGGCTGCTTGGAATGCAACCAATATTCTTATAGTATATAAAAATAAACAAATAAAAAACCAACTTGAACAATGATCTTTGTTCTGCTTTTTCGTGTTGAAGTTCTTTGATTCTTCGTTGAAGACCGATCAGAGATTGGTTTGTGAATACAAGACATGAAGACAGATCAGCAGGAACAACACCATTTGATACATGCTCTACTTGGTGAAGATGTAAAGGAACTACAACGTCTAATTCATTCAATTTTCCTTGTTTCTCAACCTGTTGAAAGGATTTCAAGTTCGAAAGTTTTCAAGACAAAATGGCAAATGTTAAAATTTATAAAAAATTTTCATTAAAACATATTACGAAGATATGGGTGCGTTTAAGGCTGGCATCCAAGCAATATTCTATTTTAAAGCAATAAGTATTTCAATAAAAAGTTATAGTTTAGAAATAATACATTTACTCATTATCCCAAATCAGCTTTTTTCGAATTATTGTTTTTCAACCCCTCGAGTTTAATATGATAGAATAGGAGTAAGTTAATTTTTATTTAAAAACAATTTGCATACATATCTATTGTAGGGATTCCACATAATACAGGGCCAATATCACTGCTATATACCAGTAGTACACAAACCTGAAATTCTTCTAATGCATCTAATGCGGTTTTCAGTTGGCTTTCCATAACTTTTGATTTTTTCACAAGAGAATCCATATCTTTCTTCTGTTGATCTGCTATTTTCTTCTCTTCCACCAGAGCTTCTTCAAGGTCAAGGCGTTTCTCTCTCAGGTTTAGAACATCATCAAATAGTTGCTACAACAAAAATGGAAGCAATAAAAATATATTGGTTTATAACGTCGTTGGCAAAGGAACTTACAACTAACGTACCTGGTCACATCCTGGTGGACAAACAGAGTCATCAAAACCACCCTCAATAGAGTCATCTTCTTCTTCTTCACTCGACCAATCAGATTCATCATCTGATGACATATCACTGCCTTCTTCTTCCTCTCCTATAATAATATAAATTCTCTAATTATAATACATAGCATTTGAATGTTGAATACAAAGCCTTCAGATGTCTAGTAGGCTGTCACAACTATGTGGAAATTCTTGTTAGAAATATTAGACTAGTTGTTGGTTACAATACTCGATAGAATATGATGCAAGAGAATTGCTCGACACCTTGTCGCCTAAAGCTGCACATAACCTGGGCCGTCACGACTTCCTCCACCATCAAGTTCATCCATCCGAAAACAAATACCTGGCTAACTAATCCCATACCCGACATGAACTGGTAAACGGATGAAAGACTGTGATTCGCCATGCATTCGCCATTAAGCCGTGTTATCGACTTTCAAATCCCCCGCAATAAATATCTAAATCCTATCCTAATATCCTACCCTCTTCAGCTTTCTTCTTTTTTGCTCTCTTGATTTTCTTCTTGAAGACTCTAGTTAGAAAATCAGCAAACTTATTGTTGTCTCCAAGATAGCTGTTGAATGTAGCATACAATTGCTTTTCTCTGTCAGTTAGCTTTTCAATGTCACGTCGCTTTGATTCCAGCTTCACTTGCATATCAGCAACCTAGAAACATATGCGTGAATATGTTTACATTTACATTTAATTAGCCTTGAGTTTGATCAAATCTATCAGCTGGAAAAAATTGGAATAGAAAAACAGTATTTCCTCAGAAATTGTCCTGATAGCATCCCAACAATATGATTTAAGTTTAGTAAATATTATGTTATACTGTTATGTACCAATAGAGGTAGACACTACTTGCTGCTGAACTGGGTTTAGCGAACATGAGTGTTTTTCATATTATTACAAAGGAAAATCAGGCAGAGATGACGAAGAAGAGTTGATCTTTTGCCTTTTACAGACTTGAAAAGGCATAAAGTACACATTAACAAAATTAAGTTTTAAAGGCAACACTAAGAAAGTGTAAGTTTCGCAATGAGTGTTTTCCCTGATGATTTGGCACTACATGTACAAAAAGTTTGGAAATCGCTGAACTATGGCATTATTTTAAATTCTTATAAATTTCACTACAATATAAAAAACAAATTGACCTTAGTATAAACATCATTCAACTCCATTCTTTTCCCAGATACTCTTCCCGATAACGTATTTTCACGTTTCTCATATTCTTTCAAAAGAATCAGTTCTTCAAGCAAGGTAATTTGTCTATAACAAAATATTGAAATTAAAAAGTATGATATTAACAATTATTTCGTGACTTTTGCTCTGAACAAGGAACTGCACAAGAAGCCACTGTTATGTGTAGAGCTACTATTTTTGTAGAATCTTACAGGTTCTGCATTCTCTACCCAATTTATTACACTCTGAGTGAGGTGGCAGGTTGAACCCGAGATGACAACACAGTTGAGTCTAACGCTTTACCTACTAAGTCAGTGGTTGCAACCCTGCAGCCCGCGGGTCAAATGCAACCCACAAGAAAAATTGTGTGGCCCACGTGGAAGTGAAAATTTTGAATGGTGTGCGCGCAAAACGAGATTTTTTTTAGTTTCATCTAGTCAAGCAAGTAATTCCAATCTCTTTGCGTTGAAAAGGTTATACCCGAGTCCAATTTATTATCTATGCCAATAACGTTATAATGGGCTAACAGCTAGCCTGTGCGATGCAAACAACGCATGTGATGAGATCAATAACCAAAAACTTTGTACCTGCAACTACCAGACAGCCTGTGGTAAATAAAAGTGCGGACCGGGGTTTCACCCAGTCATTTGTATCTGGCACTCCTGTATTAAAGGTCGCACACCCCTGCACTAGGCCACCACTAAGTTTAGCTAAGTTTTTCAATTACAATTAATTAGTAATCCTATTTTCAATAGTTTGCTTTGAAAACAGCTTACGCAGATGTTGGAAACTACTAAATTTGGAAGGCTTGTTGTTTAACAATCAAACTCAAAGAAAGATACTGGATTTAAGTGGAACAATCGACTGATTGACTAATTTATATATTCATATATATTTGAATTGCATCTAAAAAATTTACAGTAAATGGTTTAAAAAACCGATTACATAATGTATAAATATATGAACATTAATTAAAACCATTTCATAATAAGAAAGTTCTTGATATACCTCAGATCTGCCATTTTAATATCAACGTCTAAATGTGTTTTCTCATGTCTTAACAAATGTAACTCTGCATCAAATGCTGTTATGCTTTGATTTATCATTCTCAATAACTTGTTTCGTTGATAAACAAGTTTGATTTCATTGATCTTCGCAATCTCAATTTCAAGACGACTTTGTGTCTTTGATGCCTGAATTAGAACATAGAAATAGATTAGTTTATGCCAAACTGCGTAAAATTTAGTTCTTTTGAAAATCACATATCGGTGGCTGCTTTAAAGAGCCCTCTTTGGGGTGAAAAAGGGTGTTGTATAAAAATGTATTTATTTGAGATTCTATTTGAAAACATATAACATAATACTTTTGACAAATGTCTACTTCGGCTTGGTGTACTCGAACTTTTGACACTTTTTGTGGCTTGTTCTTCTTTATCTCCTTCTGCCTCACCATCTTGCCCACCCTCCTGAATATGGAAATAATTAGTATTAGTGATGTCACAATCACAATTTGCAACAATCTTGTACAAATGTAGATTTGACTCGACTTGCTTACATATTATTGCAGGAAAAAATTAACTTTTGGAAAATATTAATTTTTCTTTCTGTACCGAGTAGCCTACCTAAAGAAATGATCATCAGGATAATATTTTCATATGTTCAGAGTTTCAAGACAGAAGGGAGAATGAATATTGGAATAACAATTAATTTTCATTCGAAAATAGCATTAAGAAATAGATAATCTCTAATAAGCTGGTATCTAATCATATAAAGCAATATTCTATTTAACAGTATTTCGATGGTAGGTTACAGAAGTATAGAAATCAAAAATATTCATTTTTCTCAATTTTCTTTTGACCTTCAGGTTAAAGCCCTTAATATATCAATGGAAGTTTATTTTTTCCAACCAGTAAACAAAACGATGGATACGACAAACAACAAACTGGTGTCCAATTATCAGTGTTGTTAACACACCAATAGGCTAGCTCAATTTAAAATGCGATCCTCAACTTTAAGAATACATTTATTTTAAAACTTTGATCAGAACAGAATACCAGTTGTAGGTAAAACAAACCAATATATTGGCGAGAAAAACTTATTTAATTTGTTAACGAAAGACTGACAACATACAAACACTTACATCATCAAAACCACCAAACATTCCCATTCCAGATCTCTTTTTACTTGCATCAGCCAATTCTCTTTCTTTTTCTAGAGCCTGGAATTCAAGTAGAGTATCCCGGGTATAATCATATTTTCTAAATAGAAAAGGATGATTGAAAAGCAAAATTATAGGAAAAAGGATTTGATAGTCAGTTTGCTTTTCTATTACAATGGAGATCTTACCAAGCAAACTGCCTAGCAGTTAAAGCGTTAGACTTAACTATGGTAGCATTGCAGATTACACACCTCAATTCAAATCCCACCCTAGTTGAATTACATCTATACTGAACTACTTAAGTTGTCTAATTATTTTGCTAATTTAATCAGTAATTCTATTCAATTCAAGAGTCTTGCTGCACACAACCACAAATATATTTCTGTAACGTTTCGACTGACCGAGGTTAGACTTCTTCAGACAAGCATTTTAGCAAGACTCTAGCATTCAGCAATACTCTTGAATTGAATAGAAAAGCCATTTACACTCTAGCTACAGCATCCTTGCGTTATACGCATACGGATCCACCTGCGCAAAGTCATATAGAGCAAGGAAAAGTAGTTAGTTTCACGCTCAACCTCAACTGTTAATCAGTAATCATCTCATTATTTTTAACCATGATGAAAATATTCACTAAACGAACACAAATGAAAATAATTTTTAAAAAAAATCGCATTACATAGCAAATGCAGACACACGCAGCGCCGAAAAGTCCAACGATAAATAAAAGTATGTTGAAGCAACTCACTAGTTGGACATTTCAACAAGCGAAAAATGACAGACCAGAGAAACAATATTTTATCTTTCTCTACCTAAGTTACATAATCACCTTTCTGGTAATTCATCTGGTTTCATTTTAGGAACTTTTGGAAGAGTTTTTCTCAATGTTCCGTTTAATTTCTTTTGAATTTCCTTCAATTCTTTCACCCATTCTTTAATGTCACCAATTCGTGATTGCTTGTTGTCTCTCAATGATGTTAACTTTGTGTTGAATTCTTTTTTTGCTTGAAATATCTGAGAAGATAAACATTTGATGTTCAGTTTCAACAAGCAAAATCATGAAAAAAACGCTCAAATATACACTAAGTGGTACGGGTATGCAATATGTCACTGTAACCTACTGGTATCGGATCACAGCTGAGCAGCAGATTTGAATTTACGTGTAAGCGGAACAACCTTAAATAACGCAACTTTAAAGCACACAAAACTCAACCCAATAGAGGAAACAGAAATTTTAGAGATAAAAGAAGTAATACCCATTCAGCAAAAATGCAATTTTCAACCAATGAAAATTTCGAAGCAATTGGTCCAGTAATTGAAGAAAAAAAAATTGTTTTCACAAGATAGAGAAAGGAAATACTAATATGATAATCAACAGCAAAATAACAAAACAATACATAGTTCCACTTCGTGTCCAATAAATAATCACAAATATATTCCAATTCTCAGTTCTAATTCTTATTCATTTGAGAATCACTGCTCACGTGAAAAGCATATGTATGCAACTGATGTCTGTACTAATGACTTGAACAGAAGGTATTCTCGTATAAGACAACAATTCGTAGACAATGCTTTTCGTGCATCCTGTATTTCAATAAAATCAAGCCGCCCAAACTTTTAATAGTTCGATGAATAACAGACCTCGAAGTTGAAAATACATAAAAAAACATAATAAAATTCCTCCACAAACCAAAGACATGTTGATTATAAACTATATCATACCAAACCCTGCAGAATCAATATCTGTGTCTTCTTTTTTTCAGTGTCCATTCGTAAATGTTCTGGTACAACATAATCAGAAGCAGTCTTCAATTTGAAATCACCAATATTGGCTTTAGCTTCTTGAATATCTGATATATCAGCTGGATCTTCATAATTCTCAGCAGGTTTGCTCTTGTATAAATCATCCCACTAACAAATAAGAGATTAAAAAGTTCGGTATCTGAATAGTGAAAAAATTTAGTCGCGTTTTTAAAACAAAAAATTGAAACGTGTGCAGATAAAAGTACGAATTGTTTTTCCTAGGGCAAAATATAAGATTCTGGAGATTACACTAAGCAGTTATTTTGGGGCTAACTCGCAAGAAAACAACATCGGTTACATTGACAATTTTACAGGCGATATTTACACACAGATGTGATAAAAAAAATAGATACGTATTAGATATTTATCCCAGCAACGAGGAAAGTCGATAAGACAGCGCAATCATATGTTGAACTACGGGCTGTCATCCAGTTACACACCCCATATCGGTATTGAAATAGTTTAAAGCAATTTTCCGTTTTAGCTGCAGCAGTTACTTACGTGAACCACCCCAAAACGGCAAAAAGTCCAGCAATTCTCTAAATATTTCCCACAAGATTTGAATATGCGGACGGGTAATCAGGAATGTGATGGCAAGCGTAAATATTAGATTTTTTATGCAACTCAAAATTAAAAACAAACCTCCTTCTGTCTTTGTTCTCTTTTCTTTTTAGCTTCTTCAGCTTTTTTTATTGCCTTTGCAACTTTTTCAGCCTGTCTACCTTGTAATGTAGTTCCTTTTTGTTTTTTGACGGCACCTTGAAGGAAGGATTGCTGGTGCTCTAGTTCTTCTGGAAAAAAAAAATTATCAGAATGAGAAAAGATAAATGAAGAAAGGTGTGACAGTTAGATTTCTTTACCGAATATGATATGCTAGAATCCCTCTCAAAATTAATATAGATATGGAATTTAAAAGAATATATTTGATTCGCTACAAAATCAAGATATGTTTAAAGTTATATTATTATTTTTAAAGCATGTTTTTTTCTAAAATGCTAAAGAGTATACCAAAATGGAATTTTCATATTCATCATGGGTGAAAAAAGCTGATGAAACGACTTAATAGTGTGATGAAATACAGCCTCTCATCTGTTACCAGCCTATGCCTGGTATAGGTAACCAATTGCTTATTTCAGTTAGACTTGATGGTGGTGAAATTCATAGCGGACCAGCAATTACGTGAATCACCCTATGCTGAGAAGTCCAGCAATCCTCTTGCATAGAATTATTCCCCACAAGTTTGAACCAACACAGGTCAATAAGTTGCAATGACAAGCGTTTCCTAACACTTAGCATTTGCCAACTATAGTAGTAATACTGAAAAAATCACATCTACATTTAGGTATATATACCGGTAATACAAATTACTGAAGACAAAATAATACAAACCTTTTGTGCTTTGCTTTCTCCCCATATCCAAACCATCGGATAATCTTCGACCTTTTATATTCCCTCCATCCAAGCTACCGAGTCGAGCTCGTTCTGCGATATTCTTTTCAAGCTCGAAATACTCATCGGCCAATCGAGTGATTCGATATGAAGAAACAGTGTGTTCAGAATTCAAAGCATGTAATGTGATTCGTGGACAATCTATCATATCCGAAAATCGATTCTAAAATACAATTGGACATAATTTAGAATGAAAATGTGAAATAAATTTATTGAGAACAAATTTATTTACTGATAATGCAATTACTTTGACTTTTAAAGTATTTTATTCCTTTACATATTCTTCGATAGTAAACTATACAGGGGTTTTCCAGAAAAGGCCATTGATTTAAAAAAAGACAAAAATTATATATGTCAATGCTTGGCACATTGGCTTGACTGTGATTTATATTCTATATTGATTCACATGACTTTCACAGTAAAGTAAGCGAAGAAATTTTTGCCATTTTCCTTACCTTTAACTTCCTTGTAGCAAGATTCAATTTTTCTTTTTCCCATTGCATTTCCAATCTTACTCTTTCAATTCTTTTGTTAGTTGCTTCATGCATGTTTACTCTCAATGATGGATCGAGCTCAAAATCCTAAAATATTTTTTTAAACATTTCACACAATTTTTGCTAAAATCGATGAATTTTACCAGTAAAAAAATTTTCAACCACTTGGCCTCCCTTTCACCTTCATTCAAGGCTGATATAGAATTGATGATTTGAGGATAGGATTTTTGAATTTATCCCAGGGGCGAAAAAAGTCAATATAATGTCCACCATCATGGTAAACCATGGCCTCTCATTCAATTACCAGTCAGTACCAGGTATGGAATTAGGTATCCAGTTTGTTTCAGATGCATAGACTTGATGGTGGAGGAAGTCAAAACCGACCAGAAGTTCAGTGAACCACTGTACGATGCGAAGAGTCCAGCAATCTTCTCGTACATAATCATTCCTCATTCAAACCTGCTGACCCACGCAGGGTAATCAGAGATGCAATGAAAAGCATATTCTAAATGCTTGAAATGATGCGTTGCCAACAGCCTTTTCAAATGGCGTTTCAATCATCATTTTTATAATTTATTTAAAGCTATTATTCCTCTAAGCAGCCACCACACAGATCCATCCTTTCACATCAAGCTATGAACCTTTCCCCGTGCATCGACTTCCTTGTTTACTTCGTGACATTGGCCAATCAGCAAAATGCAAAAAGTGACGTAACAATGCTTCCTTTTAGCATCCGCTCAGACACTTTTCTCACTCAGACAGATTTTCAGGCGTGGTCGTGAACATTACCTCGTTTTAGCGTTTTTGAACACTATTCGTTGTAGTTTTCAGTTGTGTTTCGGAAATTTAAATACAAATCAGATATTCAATGATCACTCTGTCTTCCTGGGAGTTTTAATTTGATTGCAGCAATAAAAAATTTGTGCAGAAATAGCTGTGATAGACTAGGCTAAAATTCTTTACCGGTACTTTTAAAAAACAGATTGTTGTATGCGATGAATCACAAAAATGGTTTGAAACACATACCTCATTTTACAGGCGCCAGCTCGCAAAACCCCTTTTAAAATAAGCCCCGAAAATTTTGCAATGGTAAAGTATAGGAAGAAATTTTCGGGGGTGAAAGGTCGGGGAAAGGTCCATTACCTAACCAGAGCCTAATTCATGTTACAAACAACAATAAAAACATAACCTGTCAACTCACCTCTCGTTTCAGTCTCACATTTTCAGGTAATTGATCATTCTTTTTTATTATATCAGTAAAAATATGCCGAAGTTTTTGAATTTTTTGTCTTTCTTCAGCTTTCTTTGCTTCAGCTTCTTTCATATAACGATCATGTTCAGCTTTTAATTTTGCATCTTCAATACTGTATGCTTGTGGATCATCAATGTCATCTGCAGGAACTTCATCTGCATCTTTCTGTAACAGGTAAAATTTTATTTCGTTGTTATTTGGTTTGTATTGCTTTAAGGCTAATGAGCAAGAGATTATATAGTGTATGCAGCAGGTCGGGGAAGCCATGATTCAGAATCTGGAGAGACAGTTTAGCATGCTTTCATAGATATCGTGATGGGAGTCATGTTTTCAAACTCGGAATATAACATCTGAGCCAAAGTCGGGATTCTATGGTTGTAATACAACTTTGAACTTTTAATGATGAAAGATGAAGAAAATCTACAAAGCGCTCTACAAAATGACAAGTTAAAGAGAAAAAGCATATCCCAACTTTTTTGTGGTCAAAATTTAATTTTTTTTTAAATTGAAAGCTGGATTTGGATTCAACACTTGCTGATTGATTTTTGGATCAGTTCCAGAATTATATTTTAAAATTTTTGGAGTCTGGAGTCAGAGTTGAACTCTCTGAATGTCGATTTGCTAAGACATAAGTCAGAAACAAAATTTTCAACTAAAACAGGACTGCAAACGCCAAAGTGGTCAGGAAAAAATTTCTACATCTGGAAGCCATTTCCCAGTTTATCGTATTTCAGATTGTCAGAATTTTTGTATGAATCACGACTCGAGTCGAGTGCTTACAGACAAACAAATTCATTGTCAGTAGAATAAAACTTACTCTAGCCGAAGGCAATCTCGCTCTTTGTCCTTCCATTGCTTTATAAACTTCTTCAAATGGTAGAAAGTTATATCCATAAATATTACCATCATTACCACCAGTGAATAGGAATGCACCGTCATTACTTTCACATATGCTGGATACGAATCCTAAAAACGAAAATATCTGTGGGTGACATGGCTTAGGGGTTAGTGCAGTATGGGAATAGTTAGCCTGTTATTTGTTTCAGGTGCATGGACTTGATGAAGAAGGAAGGCGTAACCGACCAGCGGACCAGCAATGGCAAGCGTATTCCTAATGCCTACCGTCGACATTCCTGATCTTCAGGAATTACACAGACTAGAACCAACCTGTCTCATTGTCATGCATGCTTAATTGCCAGTATGGTAAGGTGATGACGTCCATTTTGAATGTTTCCATATTGACATCTTTTTCCAATGGATACACTCTTATTATTCCATTTTGAAATCCAACCAATAGACAATGTGCATTTTGACTATGGTAAATGGTTGTGGCAGGAATATCATTTGACTCTATATAAAAAAGAGTGCGGTGAGTCAAAAAGTGAATGAATTTGCAGCAAGACTCTTGAATTAAATAGAACAGTCATCTTTATGCTTGCTACAGCGTTCTTGCGTTGTATGCGTATGGATCCATTTGCACAAAAGAATAAAGCAAAGTCAATCTTGCGTAACCCCAACTGATAGTAGAAGAATTAAAAAAAAAAAGATTGTAGCTGGCATTTTGAATAAACCATGTTGAAAATAAAGATTCGAGATAAAGGATCAAAGATGTTTCATTGGTAAATCCAAGCCCACCTGAGCCTTGTTTAGAGCAGTGAAGTGAAAATTCAACACTATGGAATTCAGAAAAAAATCATTGAAAAGAAGAGATATTCGTTCGAAAAATCAAAGTTTTTGGCCCTGCATACCAAGGTTTTTCAAAAGGCCACACAGGGACGTTAATTTGAACTGGAATTTGTAAGTATGGCACGAAAAGAGTAAATCTTGGAAATCTCTGTGAAAAGACACAGACGGAACACATATCGTAATCATTGGCAAATTAGAAAAATGTGTATCAGATTACAAAAATCTGAAATAACTTGAATAGTCCAGTTGATGAAAACTATTAAAAATAAGTGCAATCCACGTACCTGGCACAGCAAGAGAGTTGATAGGTTCTGCAGGAGCAATGTCAGGATTTTGCACTGAGACTGCATCAGATGAAAACTCACACTCATATAAATATCCTGCATCATAATCCCCTACTGACAAAATAAACTTGTTTTCTTCGCTGTAAAAAGCAGCATGAAGTGGTGAGGGTTTTGCAGGGAAAAAGAGTGGTTCCTCCTCTTCTTCTTCCTCCTCAACATTGAGAAATTCTCTCTCTTCCTCCTCAGAGAATTCCTCACCTTGAGTAAAATACATTTTTTGTAAATATAGAGTGCAATATTTTATATACATAATTTGATAATGTATTCTGTATCAAAAGTGAATGTAACTTCACTTGGAGATGTGTCTCCTCTACTTGAGTGAGTGCATGATCTTGCTTTGAGCGTACTCTCTTTTAAAAAATTGTTTCCTGGGGATTTATGTTAACTTTCTTCTTTCACAAGATGGATATAATTGCTTCATTGCCTCCTGGTTACCCCTCAATGTTGAGGAATTCTATCTCTTCCTCCTCAGAGAATTCCTATCTTTGAGAAAAAAGTCAATTTTTTTTTATAAATGATAAACTGGAATATTTGGTATGCAGAATTTGAAAAAGTAGCTGTAACTTTGCTCAGAGATGAGTCCACTTTACTTCTGAGTGAGTATATATGACATTGCTCTGAGCATATTCGTTTTAAAAAATATTTTTTCTGTTGGCTTCTTGAGATAATCGCAATTGTTTCATCTCTACCTCTATCTTTTCTTCTTTTTAGTTCTTTCTTTTTTTCTTTCAGTTTATTTTCTTTTTCAATTCTTTTCCTCTCCCTTGCTTCATCTCTACGCAGCTGTGATTTTATACTTTGGAATGAAAAATATCTAAAAAAAAAGAACAGAATATTTGAGAGATAAGCTATGTCTTGATTGCCAACAAGCTTTCAGAAATCTGACAAATCTGTCCAATGACGTTAACAGAAATTGAAATACAATACTTACAAACTTTTCCAATCATGTCACAATTATTGGAATTAAAGAGTAGGTAAATTGTCTTGAAGTAGAGAAATTCTAACAATTCGATAATCTACCAAAAAATTATAGTCAAAAATGCTGAGAGACCCGAAAGGAAATTCGATGCTCGAACACCTGAGCGGGCAGCCGAGTGAGATGACGTTATCCAAACCACACATCTCAGCTGCCTTTCAACAATTCAACAAAAGAACGATGCTCGAATATATGGACATGAAGGTCAAAACGGAGTTGTACAGGTATGCAATCTGTCACAGTAGGCAAACAGCACAGCAATCTTCATGACTAACACGAAAGCGAACCGCCACGCACAATTTTTGATGACATCATCACACTCAAAAACGAATCCCATAAAGCCGGCAGAATATTGGTCAAACATACAGTAACTGATACAAATCTTTATCTATATCAGTGCTCTTCAACCGGGTATACGGTATACCCAAGTGTATACCGGACCATAATTTGGGTATACAACAGATAAAGGGTATACGAAGGGTATACAGTCTAAGTCAGGGACTCCAAACTCTAATATAATAAATTATAAAATATTCAGGCAAAGACAACAATGCAAACGCAGCGCATATGAAATATAAAATGTCATTTATGCAAAGAACCGACGTGGGCACATTGTTACATCACATATTATATAGATATTGCGGTCACGTGTCTGGGTTGGTGATTTCCGCTGCCATGCACTTTGTTTAATTTACGTTGAGCATTATCCCCGTTGACGCTAAGACCGTCAGTCAAATTTATAACTTGCGGATTCTAGCCTATTAGATTGCATGATGATATTGCAGTACAATATGTGCTTAAAATTGAATGATTATTTAAGCCTTAAATGAACATTGGTATTTGTAAGGTATACAAAGTTCTTGAAAAATTGTAAAAGGTATACCACAATAAAAAAGGTTGAAGAACACTGATCTATATTATGTACACATTTAAATAATTAATTTTGATTAGGTGCACGCTTTGTTAATATTTTGGGTTTTTTGCAATGCGCAAGAACGAATTAAAATAATCACCATTGTTTCTTGTGGCGAAAGTTTCGATACTCTAACAAATCTGTAGTCAAACACCAATCCTGAACGAATCACTATAAATCAATAATTCTTTACTAACTTCATTGGTAAAGTCAGTTTATATGAATGAGATGTATCGAAAGCACCTATACCAGGTTTCGCCACCTCTGCTACTTTTCCATTAGAGCAGCAAACAAGCAGAGTGGAAGATGACTGAAAAAAAAGAATTCATTTTTAAATATATTGAATTGCTTGAATAAAAAGGTCAAAAGAAGATACTTTGAAACATCCAATATACAATCCATGCACCTGAAACAAATAACTGGGTAACTAATCCCATACCTGACATGGACTGGTAACCGGACGAGAGGCCGTGGTTCACCATTTGATTAAGCCGCCTTATTGCCTTTCCTCTCCCTACAAGATTAATAGGTATATCCTATCCCATATCATCCCGAGGAGTCCAGCAATCTTCTCATACGGATTTGAACAAGCAATCAACTTATTGGATTTGACCAGCGAACCAGCACAGGGTAATCAGAGGTGTGGTGGCAAATGTATTCCTAATGCTAAGCATGATGCGCCACACTGCAACCACACCATAATGTCCAGGCTTGAATGTAATACAACAACTTTTTTTTACATTTTTCTATGCTAAGTACAATATAAAACCAAATTTTGACACACTCACAAAAGATTCGGGTGACCATTGTAAATGGGAGACAGGTCCAGGAACTGAGACAAATCCTATTGGCTCAATGACCGAGTTGAGTTTGAAAAAGAAAACAGTTTGATCTTTGCTTCCAGTCGCGAGTATCCTGTCATCAGGATGAATTGCCAAAGCAGTAACTTCTTGAGTGTGTGGCTTGAGGACCTAAGCACATTGTATAAGATGGTAAATATGAGTAGGGATTGAGTATGATAAAATAATATGAGTATATCATGAGTGAGGTGTGAGGTGATGAATATGAGTGTGAAATAATTTTCCAAAATACAGATATGATATGTAAATTGATAAATAGGAGTATGTGATGAGGGAAAAAACCATTAGTGAGTACATTATGAGTAAGAATTGAGGTGAAAATTATAAATGAGTAATGCATGATATGATAAATAGGACACTTGATAAGATATAAGTGTATGGATGTAAGTACGAATTTCAAAACAAGTTAAATGATTAAGATGAGTATCCACTGAGAAAGGTATGAGATGAGTTTCATGAGTATGAGGTAAAAAATAGGTTGGGTGAAGGGATGAGTAATGCATGAAATGATAAAAATGAGCACAAGATGAGTGACTCATGAGATATTAAATATGAATATACTCAGAGGCTATGAGTGAAAATAATTAGTAGGCTACAACATCATTTCTTGAGATGAGTATAAAAATGGGATAATATATTCAGAGTGATAGTCGTTACCTGCTGCAATGTTAAACTCTTCTCATCTTCGTTTGTCTGAAGAATTAATGATCTCAACAAGCCATTTGAAAATCCAACAAGAAGAATATTTGACTTGGCATAAATCTAAAATGTATGAAGATCTTCATTAAGAGAAGAGACAGTACATCAGCAAATGGAGAGTTCCTTTAAAATCTAAGTTTACTTATTAATTGAACGAAAATTTGAGAAAAAAGCAAGATCTGAAAACAGCAAACGCACATTGGAAGTGCCTAACTCAGACTTTGGGCTGACCACCCAAAAAAAGTCAGATCATCTGGAACATATCTTAGAGAAAACATAATTTTTGTGCAAAGCGTCCTAGATTGATAAACGTTTGGATACAATCATACAAAAACAGAAGTTTGAGTGTCATCTTTATTTTCATAGAAGTAATTAAGAAATTTATGTGTTTTAATTTTCGGGGGTCACCCTGTACTACATTCAAGTATTTTATTAAACGATCTGGTATAAACATACAACAAAATATCCCCTACCTACGCTAATATCGAATAAAAAAACCACTTACCAACTTTCCAGGCCATAATATAGATGAACTGTTAGACAACATCGGACATTTATATTCACAAAGAGCATCTTTCGTAAGGTAATCATAAATACGAACACTTGTATCTCCAGTTACAGCAACCATATGACTTGCAGGTGACGCCGTAAGCCCGCTAATTTTTCCAGCTGTATATGAATACAACTTTTCTGGAGGTTTCGTCTGAAGAGATATAGGTTATAATGAGTACTTTTCAGCAAAAATTACTTTTTAAATTGATCAACAACAATTTATATGCTACTACATTTATATTACCGAAGGAGTGATCATGATGCCAAATTAATATTACCTCATAGATTGATAGGACGCAAATTAGTTTTTCACCATATCGTAAAGTCAATAGAATTTCAATAACATTAGTAATAATGGCAGTCTTATTAGAGGAAACTGTGTCATGCATGCCATAAAAATAGGAATTAATGCCTTTTGTGTAAATTTTTTTTTATCAAACTGCCTTTAGTGGGAATGATTGTTGTGAGGGTGCAGTTTTGCAAAAACAGATTTTTTAGCAAATGTAGTTTTTTGAGTACAACCTTTTACAAATTGCAGTCTTGCAAAAATTTGATTTTGCATGAAATTGAACTTTCGAGTATATTAAACATATTTCCACAAAAACATTTTGCATAAAATTTCACTTGAAAAGAAGTTGGCTTTTGCATTTTAGGCAAGTAATGGAGTGAATATTTCGAGAGAAGAGTATGGTGAGCTAATTTGAGTGTAATTTTCACTAATATTCTTATACTTTTATTAGTTTATTTTATTATTTCTATCCTTATACTTTTATACTGGTTTTCATTACCAAATTGCCGAAATCAAAGTTGCGAGTAGTTCAACTCAAATGTAAATAGATCACCAATATCACAAAGCATCAATGATGCCATGGGAACAATACAATACAGATCTTATGTTCCAATCACAAATAGGATAGGATTTTCATATTTATCCCAAGGGAGAAGAAAGCTTTTATTAGAAGAGCATAATCATACAGTGTGCCAAATCCTTTTGTCCAGTCCATGTCAGGTATGAAAACAGTTAGTCAAGTGGTTATGAAAATGAGTATACTTTGCCAGATCCAAACCTACAAACCCACATAAGGTGCGATGGCAAAAGTACTCCTAAGGCTTGGCATGATGCGCTAACCACCGAGCTGAGATATCATTTTACACATTCCTTGCCCACACTACCATTGATGAAGTAAACAACCAATATACAAACAACTTACAGTGTGTGAAAATGACAAATCAAGTTTCCAAATGCCGCCATTAGCATCCTGTGCAAACCATATAGATTCAATTGATTCTTCCGATTCATCTGCAGGTTTTGTTTCTCGCAGTTTAACCATACTTGTCAATTGAACCTCAGATCCAACTTTTAATTCATTCATTGGTTCGACTTCAAAAACATCAGATTCATCAGTCGTATCTGCCGTATCGATTGACTCCATTTCCCAAACCTTTTGGAAGAAGAACATGGACTCAAACATCGAAAACACACCTACAAAGGCAACCAAAATACAGTCCTATGTGGGAATGAACAATTAACATGCTTAAATAACAATCTATGGCGCTGTAGTAAGCAGTACATCCTGTAGTATGTGTACCTAGACGGCACACAACCTGAACCCTATGTGGGAATGAACAATTAACATGCTTAAATAACAATCTATGGCGCTGTAGTAAGCAGTACATCCTGTAGTATGTGTACCTAGACGGCACACAACCTGAACCCTATGTGGGAATGAACAATTAACATGCTTAAATAACAATCTATGGCGCTGTAGTAAGCAGTACATCCTGTAGTATGTGTACCTAGACGGCACACAACCTGAACCCTATGTGGGAATGAACAATTAACATGCTTAAATAACAATCTATGGCGCTGTAGTAAGCAGTACATCCTGTAGTATGTGTACCTAGACGGCACACAACCTGAACCCTATGTGGGAATGAACAATTAACATGCTTAAATAACAATCTATGGCGCTGTAGTAAGCAGTACATCCTGTAGTATGTGTACCTAGACGGCACACAACCTGAACCCTATGTGGGAATGAACAATTAACATGCTTAAATAACAATCTATGGCGCTGTAGTAAGCAGTACATCCTGTAGTATGTGTACCTAGACGGCACACAACCTGAACCCTATGTGGGAATGAACAATTAACATGCTTAAATAACAATCTATGGCGCTGTAGTAAGCAGTACATCCTGTAGTATGTGTACCTAGACGGCACACAACCTGAACCCTATGTGGGAATGAACAATTAACATGCTTAAATAACAATCTATGGCGCTGTAGTAAGCAGTACATCCTGTAGTATGTATACCTAGACGGCACACAACCTGAACCCTATGTGGGAATGAACAATTAACATGCTTAAATAACAATCTATGGCGCTGTAGTAAGCAGTACATCCTGTAGTATGTGTACCTAGACGGCACACAACCTGAACCCTATGTGGGAATGAACAATTAACATGCTTAAATAACAATCTATGGCGCTGTAGTAAGCAGTACATCCTGTAGTATGTGTACCTAGACGGTACACAACCTGAACCCTATGTGGGAATGAACAATTAACATGCTTAAATAACAATCTATGGCGCTGTAGTAAGCAGTACATCCTGTAGTATGTGTACCTAGACGGCACACAACCTGAACCCTATGTGGGAATGAACAATTAACATGCTTAAATAACAATCTATGGCGCTGTAGTAAGCAGTACATCCTGTAGTATGTATACCTAGACGGCACACAACCTGAACCCCAACCTGGTACACATACTATGTTGAGGTTGTGCATACTACGAAAGCGCCCAATCTATTAACTACTACTACAAACTGTGAGTATAAAAACCCTATTTTGACAATTTGACGGTAAGGAGTACCAAGTTCGGTAAACCTAATTCAGATTTTTCCGTACAAGTTTAAACGACAATGAGAAGATAACGACAACAACTTATCAAAACAATCTATATGTCCACTTTGTGTCTGAAAACTGAATACTCACCCTTACAAATCCATCAACACCAATAGTAATCAATTCTCCTTCATCAATGACAAGTTGTTGTATTGAACCTGCATGACATGATTTTCTTCCCTTCCTACAGATTTCAACCTGATGAAATATACATGTTATAATAAAATATGATATAAGATTGCAGTAACAAATAACTGCAGTGATGAAGGTAAAAAATGTAGAAAACAGTCAAAATCATTTAATGTCTTTCATCCTATCTATGGTGGTGTCTAAATTATCATCTAGCGTAGGGTTTAAATAAGATGGTATGTTATAATGAAGTGGAGAATTTCAGAAAACATTGCATCATCTTTAATTTGTATGTATCAGAGGATGTCTATCCATAGCTTTGTTTGAAAAAAAAAAGAGAGTGACACAAAAAAAGAACATAATATAGGTCATTTGGAACATATTATAGAAAGAACATACATAACTCTCGTGCAAAACGTCCTAGGTCAGGGCTATTCACCGGACCTTTCGAGTATTAGAGTTGGACCACACCTAATTATTTATTTTGGGTCAGTAGCCCTACTTTTTAAATTTCCTATTATACAATGACTCTTATAGTTTTGAATATACATGGAAAGAACTATAACACCATACAAAAAACAATCCTGTTTAGTTAATAATCATTAGTCGGCCTAGGAAGGGGCTGGACCCAAATAATTTCGAAGTTTTGTATGCGGATCCTCGGTAAAAATAGTTGAGTAGCCCTGTCCTAGGTTACTGACACTTTTGGGTACAATCATACATAAACAGAACTCCGAATGTTAAAAAAATTTTCTTCATTTTCAGAACTGTATTTAATAAATTTATGGGTTCTGTCATATTGGGTTACCCTGCATGTATCACCACACAAATAAGAAATCTTTTAAATGAAATCAAGATGCCTGGGTAAGATTAGGTACAAAAGGGTTGTCAAACTTCTTTCTGCTCTCCAACTTTCTAGTTATGCCTTCCTCCATTAGTCACGCCCTTTCATACAGAACATTGAAATACTTTCACATATTTTTTGCATAAATTTGACTCCTAATAATATGGGGAATTGTAATTTATTTTACTCCCATCCGCTATAAATATAAAACTTCATCAAACTTGAAGGTTTCTTTGATAAATAAATGAAGATAATTTACAATTACAAATCTAACAACAAAAAAACATTCCTGACATAAAATCAAATTCAATTCAATAATAAATTATAAATAACATTAAAAAAATACTATTAGCATAGTTCATACCTTGATCAACCCTCCATCCCAAAGTAACAGATTTCCCCACTCAGATCCAGAAAGCACTTTGCCGTCAGGTAACTGCACAAAACCACCAATGTCAGATAAAGAAGTTTTGCCAAAACGTCCCAACTCTCCTTTCAACTTCAGTCCAGTAAAAGTGCGTGCCATCTTCCAAAATCTTGAAAATTGAACAATTTGAAATAATACAGTGAAAACGAAATAAATTGGTCTATAAGTCAACATAGTCAATGCATACTCAAGTTTATATGTTTCAAATCTTCATGCAAAGCAAGGCTCCCAAAAGAATCCACTAAGCAATTAACATTAAGCAATGTGAAGCTAATCCAGGAGGAGAAAGTCAATAAGACATATTAATAATATGGCAAGTGTATTGAAACGATTAGCATGGTGCAGCAATTGTTAAGTCAAAACATAGTCATCCCCGCCTACCTGATATGTCCTGTTCCACTAGAACAAAGCTGGCCTTCTTGTTCCGGAGCAAATTTAACTCTGAAAATATCTTGTGAAAATGCCTGTAGAAGTAGAATGAAACGTCAAATCTTTTTTTTCCAAAAAATCAACTTTCTTTATATTACAAAATATAAGTATCTTATCTTATCATCGCAAGTTATACATGTTGGGTTCATATCTCATGGGGACTCAGGGTGTACAGGACTTAGTTTGAAGCAAAGACCCAAATGACCATAAAAAATAAAAAAATTTATGATTAAGATTCATTTGAGAAAAACTGAACATAGACAATGCCTGCCATATACTAATGAAAACACCCAAAAAAAACACAACAACACCGATGTGTGTAAAGTAAACTAAGTACCGGTAGATTGATTTCATTTTTAAAATAAGGTATATCTGAGAAAAAGATGGCATATTTGAATAATTACCTTTGTACGCAACATAATTTTTTCATTTATCCAATCCCACACAGTAAGCATGAAATCTGGTGCACAACCAACTGATGCCAGAAGATTTCCATTTGGATTGAAGTCAACAAATGAATAAGCTCTTTCTGTTCCCTCTGTTGAAAAAAAAACAAAGGATAAGACATTTATTACATTTATTATCCCAAGGGAGAGCAACGTCAATAAGACAGCTATATTATTATAGTCCATTTACAAATATAGGAATAGTTAACAAGTTATTTGTTTCAGATACATGAAGATGAACTTGATGGTGGACGAAGACATAAACAACCAGCGGTTATGTGAAACACCCTACGACGGTGAGAGGTCCAGACAGGTAGAGGTAAGATCGGGCCCAAAAATTCCAGCCCGGCCAGGCCCTGGTATAAAACCCGACCCGAGCCCAAGTAATTAACTGGATTTGCAGGCCTGAACCCGAAGCAAACCTGAAATTTCATATTTTATTTAGGAGTTCTTTGAATTGTCACTGCAAGAGTTAGTACAGTATGTGTCGTGTTGGTGAGGCAACTACTGTTTTTTTGCAGAACATGGTCTCTCGTGGCCAAAACAAGGCCGAAACGCCTCATTTGAAAAAAAAGTCAGCGATAAAGAAGCCCGACCTGACTCGAACGACTCTGACTCTGAATTTTTCTGTGTCATAGATAGCAATTTTGCCTTGCACGAAACACTTTTATATCCTCCTGGAAACCCAAGTTTTCCGGCCTCCAGACGAACACGCTAGCTGTTAGGGTCTAACTTGACACCTAGAAATTTCAGAAACCCTGTTTGGAAATTCCTGGCCTCGCCCCTGGGTCCAGCAATAGCAGCTTTTTACATCTTCTTAGATATCTGTGGCTATTTGGGAGCAGAAGACATGATTAATATAAGTATAAATATATTTTACCTTGCAAAATCCTGAACAACTTGAGTGATGGAAATTCATAAATCAAAATATGAGGTTTTTGTCCTTTCTCAGCAACAGCAAAATGAGTCAACTCAGGATGAACCTGAATAATAGGAATAACATAATATTATAAAAAAAAAATATTTTGGTAATGCAATAAATTGACTAAAATGCTGTTTAATTGGAATTTAAAATTTATTTTTAAGGAAAACTTGCTCAAAGGCAATGCGAACTCAGTCAGAAAATAAGGAAATTGGTCTCTAAGCGAAGTTACAGCCAGTGTGTGATCGAGATCTACTGAGACTATAAGAAATCATAGTATAGATGTACTCGTTGGTAAATTGATGCATAACTTGAAGCTCTTCCTGTCAATATGATCTGGAAAACAGCTTTGAGGTAGTAAATTTCACATAACTAAAGTTCTTGGTAAAAACTTCGGGCATAAATCTTTTTTGTCTGGTAGTTGGGTGAGGATGGTTTACAGCCAACCAAGGTTGACTATAAAGCTGACTGTAAGAGTCGAAGGTGGAAATCTGTCTGAATATAAGCTATTTGAATATTTTTGTTGATTACTCACAGTCACAGCACCAATACCTCCTCCACTACTACTTCTCAAAAATTTGTGAGTATTTGCTGTTAGATCAAGCAGATGCACCTAAAAAATCAAATCAAGAAATTTAATATGATCTGCACATTTCCTGTGGTAAATTTATAGAACTAAAATAGAATAAGAGAATTACAGGAGTAAAAAAGGAAACATTTGCATATGCATTGAAAATACTGAGACCACAACCCAAATCATAAAGAATTGATTAGCAAGATTGTCAAGTTATTGTTGCTGAAAGGTCGAACTTAATCATATTATGTAATTCAAAAGTCTTGCTCCACACAAACACTAATTTATTTCAGCAACATTTCGTCTAACCAAAGTCAAAGCACAATTGCATTAATAAAGAAGGATATGGAGTTAGTGCAGCATAAACCCAACTGATATGACTCAACTATGATGGCCAGTGTAAAAAATTCTCTATTTTAATGTGAGCCACCTCACTCACCCAGGGTGTAACAAATTGGGTTGGCAAAGCTGAACCAGAAAGATTGTATATTTGTAGTAGCTTATAATCTTGCAAAGAGTAAAAGGTGTAGAAGTAAAAGGATGTACTATGATAAAACTTCTCAGCATCTAATCTCAACTAAAATCTCTCATATTATATACTGAATCTCAGCAGGTTTACATGTTATAGTGAAGTTAAATTTAGTTTTATTCATAACAATCAATTTTAACGCAAGATGACCTAGTATTCTAAAGCATAACATTCAACTATGATGGAATCGTAGATTAAAATCTCGGGTTCAAATCCCATGCCCTGTCCTGACTATAGTATTGTATTTCCTTACCTAAAAGCAGTTACTTGTGCAGAGTGAAAAGCGTATACATATGTCAAATAAAAACATATAGGCCTACTCAGTATTTCAGAGTTGCAATTGTAATCAGTAGATATGGTGTAAAAATGGCAGTAAAAATGTAAAAAGTAAAAATGAGTTCCTTACACATAAGGTGACTTCAGAATTACATTTAAACAATAAAGTTAAAACACTAAGATTCTTACTAGATTTCCAGCAGCGAAGACAGCTGTTGGCCCAGGTAACAAACTTAAGTTGGATTTTTTCTTGCTATCATAACCAAATGAATGAAAAAGGTGTAAAATATTTTCAGGAATGCCAGATTCTGGAGAGACGTAACTTGTTGAAGCATATTCCTATATAAAATAAAATTTAAACGTTATTAGCTAGAAATATTATATGCAGTATGATTGTATAAATGTGTTAAAATTCGAATGAGCAAGATTTCACAAATATAAAGTAGAAATTCAGAAAATGGAGATTATCAATATTAAAGAATACATTTAATTCTTTGCAATTTTCTGAGTCGATGCATTCGAAACGAATAACTTGCTAACTAATCCAAATCTGGATGTCGACTAGTAGCAGGGCATAAGGTCGTGGTACGCCATTAGATTAGGTCGTCTCATCGTCGTTTCTCTCTGATAAAAATGATAACTTCTTGTTATTCTTAAATCAAATAGAGCAACGAGAAAGCCCTTGCATGTCCTTCAACCAAAACTGTTGAGTTAGTGTCCGGAGTGGGGGTTTAGAAATATTTTCAGATTATTAATGATGATATTTACCTCATAGTCATAGTAAAAATCTGATGGCTTCGAGTCATCTCCTTCTGAATAGAAAGAAAAGTTGTTAATTACAACAGGCAGGAGTTGTAAATTTGGTTATGAAATTCTACATAAAAAATCGTAAAATCTAAAATTTGAGCAAATTAAATTGTGAACAGTGATAGTATTAATTACGGTAGGTAAAGAAGTGCATTGAAAATTACTCAACAATGCAACTGAATTACTGGATTAAGCTTGGTGAAGCTTTTTGAATGCACAACAATTGCAAGCTTACATAAGTAGTAATAAATAATTAAATTTCACTACATTAAATTGTGTATTTAATAAATACCATATTCAATATCAAACGAAACTTATGCATAGTTAATGACAAAAAAAAACACATCATAACATGTTAAAAATTATTTGACTAACTACGTTATTTATATAGTTAAAATGGAAATGATCAACATAATTAAATTATATTAAAGGCAATAGCATGCAAATAACAAGTGTTACAATTAGTAACAATTAAATTATATTTAAAATTAGTTCAGCAGTTAGTTAACAATTAATGACAGTAATATGCATGTTGGAAAAAATGTATTCTACAATAGCCTTGAAAAACGAAAGAGAAAAATTGAAGGAATTATGTAATAATGAATAGGTAATGATAGTCGAAGGCCTACCGAAAATCAAGTGAATAGCAGCATGGTACATGAATTATAATGAGCAAACTAAATATTTCACCAAAATAAGAGATATTAGTAAAATTACATTGCGGTACAAGGTTGACCGAAAAAACTAACTTTTCCACTAACTGGAGATGTTAGTTAGTTAATGATTATTACATGTTTGCAATCTCATTACATAATTAATTAATAGAATAAAGTTATTACGATGATTATTCAAGCAAAACCACACTACAGCATGCAGTTTCAAATTCAGTCATGCAAGTTTTACCAGCATTTTCTGTTGGTACGTCAAAAACAGGCGGTTCAATGTTTGCTTCGTCACTTTTTTCCACTGATTGTTCATTCTCTTTCTGTGCTTTTTTCTCTCCTCCTGGTTTTCCATCTTCTTCTTCTGGTTTTCTATCCTTTTCCTCTGGTTTTCCATCCACTTCTTCTGGTTTTCCACCCTTTTCTTCTGGTTTTCCATCCTCTTCTTCTGGTTTTCCATCCTCTTCTTTTGGTTTTCCCTCTTCTTCTGTGTTTTTCTCTTCTTTTACAGCTTTATCTTTATCAATTTGTTCTTCTTCCGCAGGTTGTGGTTTTTCTTCCTGTGCAGAAATCTTTTCGGACTCTTCCACAGGTTTTTCATCATTAACTTTATCTTCTTCATCTTCCTGACTTGGATCTTTTTCTTTCTTAACTTCGAAAGCTTCTCCAGAGTCATTTTTTGAGATGTCGTCCTCTTTGGTTTCCACATCAGAAGAATCTTGTACATCAATCTTCTCAACCACTTTCTCGTCATTTGCTTTCTCTTGATCAGTGGATGCCACTGTAGAATCAGGTTGTTCATCTTGTTTCACAGCTTCACTGACAATTTCAGACTTTTCAGCTTCTTTAACATCCTCATCTTCTGTGGATACTTCTTGTTTTTCTTCAGTTTTAGAAGAATTCTGCCCTTTATCTGGTTCTACCGCATCTTCAGGCTTCTCTGAACTCTGAATATCTGGTTGTGGAGAATCCTTTGACACAGTATTTTCATCCTCGTGTACACTTGGAAGTACATCAACATGATTCTCTGCACCTTCTTTTGCTTTATCCTCATCCACCTTTCCATCTTGTGTCTGATCTTCAGTTTTTATTGAAACCTCGTTAGAATCTTCTGTAGTTTTCATCTCATCATCTTCTGTAGTTTTTATCTCATCATCTAGCTTTACAGGAGATTCTTCTGGTATTGGGTTAGCATCACCAGGAGGAGAATCTTCTACTTTTTCAGATCCACCTTCATCTTGTTGCTCAGTAGTTGGTGCTGGATCTTCAGTCTCTCCAGTAGAAGGGTCGGCGGAGTCTTCATTACCTGCAGCAGGAACAGTTACAACATCATCTGTTTTAATCTCACCTGTTTGATCTTCATTCGAAGACATCGTACTCTTGTGAGAAAGAAATATTCAGTGCTGCATGGATACGAAGTTGTGAAGAAAACAAAAAATGTACCATGAATATCAATTAATAACTGAAACAAAATCCTTATTTTAAAAGGTAAAAGCTTCAAATTCTTAGATTTAGGTCATGCAAGTGGCATAAAATTGAATAATTTTGGTCAGTGATCCCACATTAACTCTTGTGTACAAGCAATAATATTAAAATACCACTACCAGCTGAGTTGGTAATTAGATAAAGGTATAGTCCATAATGGTTATCTATATATGTTTAAACAGTATTAACTGCTTCACAGTTTACACCGAGATAGTATTTTGAGATGATTTTTAAATACGACTACTACAAAATTCTAAACTATTTTAAATAATGTATTAAATAGTTTGAGTACACATATATTGAATGTTTGTAACCTGTGGTTATTAACTAGATATGGGTATAAGTTGATTTCAAGAAGCTTCTTAAACATTAGATAATTAGGTACATCCAAACAAAACCCATAAAATTCTCAATTGCTCCTACGAAAATGAAGGAAATTCATTTAACACCTAAAATGTTTCAAATGACCTGGGTTCTGTTTTTTGGGTCCACCTTCATGCCTTGCCCCCACTAGCTGTTTTGTCTTGGCAAGTACAAATTGCAGAAACCCCACCTTCAAAAATTTTTGGTCCGCCCCATGCACCTGGCATTCATATCAATAAAGGCTCTATTCCACTCCAGAAAATAGTCAATTAGTATTTATATATTTTCAGTTCTACAATGTAAAATCTTCCTCCTATATTAAGGTAATATGTGTCCTCCATTCATGTCCTCAACTCATATATATTACCCACACATCAGTTGCTTCTTAGTGTATTTGATTCAAATAATTTGTTGAAAAAATGAAATGATGTCATTTGTGAACAAAATGCATAAGATTTGTAAGTTACCACTATTAATTTCTATAGTTCATACACACGAAAGATGATACACTCTTGTTTTATTGTTGTGTTATTTTGGTATTCCATTGTTTATAAGCCAAGGATGAGTTCTAGGATAAAACATCTGTAAGGTTTTTCATCCTTCTAGATTTTTATTTTTTATTTTAGAGTCATTAATTTGGCAGTATTTGGCATTTCCATCACAGAGTAGTGTCAAAAGTAGAATAGTAACGTAAGTTACCCTATTATCGCCACTTTTTATTGCAATCCATCCAAAGACTACAATACTTTAAGTAACAATTTCTCTATATTGTCCCGGAACATTAGCTACAAATCAGTGAAAAAAATGCCAACAGCAGCAAGTCGCGAAGTGAATTTGCTATAGAGACACCTCACGAATATAGCGGAAATGTGGGTATGGCGATAATAGGAACTACGATTATCCTATTATCGCCACTTTTGTCAAACTTTTTTTTTCAAACGCTTTTCTCTTTAAATACATAATCAATTGCTCCGAAATTTTAAACGATTGAATATTGTTGCTGCCGCTAAAAGGCTATTACTTTCATTTATTTCAAGCACTTTTGTGGTCCCTATGAGATTCGTTTTTCACTCTGAAGTTTTATGTGATGAAGTCATCAAAATAAAAAATGCGCATCGTAGCATGGCGGTTCTGCGATCACATTTAGGCAATCTGGCGATCAGCGAAATCGGGATTTTTTTCAATAAGTGAGACTACCGTTACTGTGAAAGATTTGATACCACTTTGTTTTGGTTTTCGTGATCATATATTTGAGCATTGATGCCTCGTTTTTTCACGATTTTTTCCGTTCTCCCTTTTGGCGAGCCATAATTTTCTTATCCCATTATCGCCACCCTGTGGATGCGAGAATTAACAACAGCACGATATTTAGAAACACTTCCCATGTCAAACTTGATTCAACCTCGATCTAATCACTGACTGACAAAAACTAAAAGAAATAAACACCGTCGCTCTATTTTGAGCTGATAATTAGTAATTACCGCCCTCCCGAAAAGTTGGCCGAGCATGATATCAGTTGATTTTTACATTTTACAAAAATGTTTTCATTAAAATGTCTTTACGCCACCGGGTGACAGACTATGTTTAATAGTCATCACTTATTACGTCGCAATCCGAAAACAACTCATATACAGCACTATCTGAAAGTGCGACAGCAGCAGGGCGATTTTGAAGGAGTGTGGTGAAAATTAGCAAGTGGCGATAATAGGGTAACTTACGTTAGGTTAGACCTTGATACTGGTATTCCTTTACAGTCCGATAACCTGGATTTTTTTCATATAATCATTTGTTTTTGTCTGTTCTTTTCGCCAAAATCGGTAATGCCTGAATGTTGCAGTCAAATTCTATTAGAAAATAGATGAAAAAAATAGAAAGCGTCAAAATCTTTCAAAAACTAATGACTCATGCAAAATGTCAACATGATTCAACCACTCCGCCAGGCCGAAAAGGAAATGCAAAATTATTCCGACTATACATCTTAGTCTGATATATGTACAGTTACATTCATGCAGTCATAGAAACTGCCTGCGAATCTGCACACTAAGGCAAAGACATTGTATTGCAATATCAATAAACTGAACACAACACACAGGAAACTTTGCTGCGAGGTGAGTGTGACCATGGAAACGAAAACTCAAACATGAAGCGTTTTATCGACCTTTGATCCCAAGTATTAAACTTCAAGCTAAGGATGGAATTTCGAAGCCAGTTTTTTACAGTATCAGGATATCCCGGGACTGATCCGTATAATCCTGGGATTTTTCGGGTTAAGTGAAAGAATGAAACAACTTGCATGACAATAAAATCCTGTATTTGTATTTATTTCATGTAATACAGACGCAGAAATGTTAGAGCAGTGGTTCTTAACTTTTTTTTTTATATATATTTTACCCCTTTAGCAAATTAGACTACGAGATTTACCCCCAAATACAGACATTGGTGATCATTTATTAAAAATTTGTCAAGCAAAGTATGAAAATGTGGTATCGATTGGGTTTCTACAATACTAAACCAGTAACTACTTCTACGTCTTCTATTCTTTTGCGCCGGTGGATCCGTATGCATATAATGCAAGGATGCTGTAGCAAGAGTGAAGATAACTATCCTAAGTGATTCGAAAGTCTTGCTGCACACTAACACAAATTTTTTTACTGTAACGTTTCGTCTGACCAAGTTCAGACTTCCCCTGCAGACATACATAGTTCAACATTGAGTTGTGCTTTAAATTTTGGTTCTAGGAAAATTCACCGCAGGAAATTCTCGCCGCATAGAAAAATTCGCGCGTGAAAAATCGCTTATTTAAAAAAGATCCGTTATTTAAAGAGCATACCCTAACCCTATAAACCTAAATGTTTTTATCACATATACTTGTTTTACCGTAAATATATACTAGCCTACTACGTTTTACAATACTTGTTTCGGTTTTGCTCGCCGTTCCATATTACACTCTTATTGGACACGTCAGTGTACATAACGATCGTTCCAATATCATGTTGTTGTTCTTGATATTTTTCTCCTTCGTCGTGATAAAATTGCATTTCTCTTCGAATACTGGACCAATTGGATAGGATAGGATTTACATATTTACCCCGGGGGAGTGGAAAGCCGATAAGACGGTTTATTCATATGGTGATCCACGTCCTCTCGTCCCGTTACCTGTCCAGGTCGGGTATGGGATTAGTTAGCCAGTTATTGGACACGTAGTGGACATAGCGATCGTTTCAATAATAGGATAGGATAGAATTTACATATTTCTCCCGGGGGGAGAGGAAAGCCGATAAGACACCTTAATCATATGGCGGACCACGGCCTCTCGTCCGGTCACCAATCCAGGTCGGGTATGGGATTAGTTAGCAAGTTATTAGTTTACGGAAGTATGGACTTGACGGTAGAGGAATCCGTAACCGACCAGCGGTTACGTGAACCACCCTACGGCGGCGAGGAGTCCAGCAATCCTCTCGCACATCATAATCCCCACATGGGATTCGAACCTGCGAACTCACGCAAGGTAATCAGAGTTGCGGTGGCAAGCGTATTCCCAACGCCACACCGCCGAGATAATATGTTGTTGTTGTGCTTGTTGCTTTAATTCTTGTTGTTCTTGTTCTTTGACACGTTTTCAATAAGTCGCTTTTTTCTTCGATTACTGGACCAATTGCGTAGAAATTTTTAGTGAGTAAAAAATATTAATATTTTTTGCTAGAGGGTATTACTTTTATTTTTCGCCATGACGTCATCAAAATATGTGGTGCTACGTGTCCATATATTTGAGCATAGCTCTCTTGTTCGTTATCGGAAGCATGAAGTCCATGGTGGAGGCGGCAGGGAGTCCAGCAATCCTCTTGCACATAACCATCCCCGCAGGGGATTAGAACCTGCGGACCCACGCAGGGTAATCAAACGTACTGTGGCGAGCGGCATTCAAACTTTTTCGTTCAGGATTGGTGTTCGACTAACGATTAATTCGAGTACCGAAACTTCATTTGCCATAAACAACAATGGTCATTATTTTAATTCATTTCTACGCATTCCAAAATACACAAAATATTAACGTACCTAAACAACAATAATTATTCAAATCGGTCGGGTGTTCGGGCACTAAATTTCCGTTCATTTAGGCTACCGGTACCGTATCATTCTTGACTGAAATTCTGATCGACCACCGAATTATCCGAGTATCGAGTCGTTCAACTACAATGTTGGTTTTGTTTGAAATTATGTATCAAAGTTTGGATTCCTTTAACAGCCGAGTATATGTATCTGGATTACGACAAGGGGTTTGGTTTGTAAGTATGACCTTGTCCAACATCAGCAATTGTCAGCTTACATATATTTCTTTTTATTAGAAGACGACTAAACATCATACATACATACGATGTTTTTGAAGGCATTTAGGAATTTAAAACTTTTATTTTCGTTTTTATAGAAATTGTTTACATAAAACATGATATGTAGGCCTATCATTAATTCGCTATACGCATTTTCAGAGTTTGATTCTCGATTTTCAGAATTGAACCTATGAATCAATATCTTTCTGTCAGATAAATATCGTTTTGAATGACGGTGAAATCTTCTCCACATGGTGTATCTTGAATAGGATCTAACTGTGTTTTTAATGTACGTCGAAGCAAAATTTCATTTTCTCTTGTCATTTTTTATTCAAACCATAACATGAAATACAATAATCTCATTCGTGTTTTGAAATGTGTGATAACTGATAACCTTGATATACTTTGGCGCGGCGGAGTGGCTCAACGGGCTAAGCGTTAGGAATACGCTCGCCACCGCACTTCTAAGTACTCTGCGTGGGTTCGCAGGTTCGAATCCCATGCAGGGATGGTTTTGTGCGAGAAGATTGCTGGACTCCTCGCCGTCGTTGGGTGGTTCACGTAACCGCTGGTCGGTTACGGCTTCCTACACCACTAAGTCCATGCTTCTGAAAACAAAATGATACAGTAAAACCAATTCCATACCCGACTTGGAATGGTAACCGGACGAGAGGCCGTGGTTCGCCATATGGATAAGCCGTCTTATCGGCTTTCCTCTCCCCCGGGATAAATATGTAAATCCTATCCTATCCTTATGTTTTTATTCTTATCAATAATGAAGGTATTGTATCAAATTTGCACTTCAAACATAGTCATGTTCAGATTTGCACCGAAAAATTTTCGACCTACTTATTATTAAACCAGCGATTCTTAAACTGGGGGGCGCGAAGGTAAGTCAGGGGGGGGGGGGGGGGCGTGAACTGTCAAATGCAAAACAAGCTAAAAATAGTGAAATTACGACGAACAACGAATCCAACAACGCTTCCGAAGAATAATTTTATTAACTCGCAGTTTCAGCCACCTCCTGGAGGTCACTCGTGTGCTACGCATTGCAGTACTACCCGCAATCACGACCGGTTTTTCGTGGCTGTGTCACCAACGTGGCTCTGCGGTGGCACTATCTCACATTTACGACATAATTACATTCAACTTCAAAAGTGGACACGCCTCACTCCCACCCATCCCGTCTGACTGCGGCTAACCTTGTGACGCAATAATAGCACGGAGATGGCTGGAAGCGTAGCTCATTAGATATCGATATACGGATTATTTAGTCGTAAGACACAAGATGAGTTCAAAAAAAAGAAAGTTCGACAGCCGTTATCTTCAATATAGATTTACTGATGCGACGGAAAATGGTCAGGTCGTAGCAAAATGCGTCATATGCCTCCAAAGCTTGAGTAATGACGCTCTGAGGCCAAGTCGGCTGCAGCGTCATCTTCGAACCAAACACAGTTCTCTTCAGAACAAGCCGTTGGCTTTCTTCCAGACCAGAGAAGAGTCTTTCAAGAAAATGAAGATTGTGGGTGAAGAGAGCTTTCGCCAATCCTCATCTGCTGAAGTAGTTGAAGCGTCTTACGAGATAGCTAATATGATTGCTCGTGCAAAGAAACCCCACAATATTGGTGAAACCTTGAATCAAACCATGCATGCTAAAAGCAGCCAGCCTTTTGTTGGGAGAGAAAAACAGCAAAAAGCCAACGAATATTTCTCTATCCGATTCCACCATGAAAACGCGCATTGATGAACTCGCGAAAGATATCGAATTGCCGATTATCGAAAAGATACATTCATCACCTTGTTTCGCCATACAATGTGATGAGACAACTGATTTAACCCAATTGTCTCGGCTGATGGTCTACGTCCGTTTTTTATCGGATCTACAAGCATTGAAGAGGAAATGTTGTTTTGCAAACCCCTTGAAACCACCACTAAAGCGGAAGATGTGTTCGAAGCTGTTGCTGCGTATTTTGACAGCAACGCCATCAAATGGGGGAACCTTATGGGAATATGCACTGATGGGGCCCCTGCAATGCTCGGGTCACGAAGTGGATTTGTTAGCAGGATGAAGCAGAGAAGCCCCAACGCAATCGGAACTCGCTGTGTAATTCACAAGGAAGCTTTGGCATCCAGGACCTTGCCTCCTGCATTGGAGGACAAGCTTGCTGTTGTCATACGAATTGTTAACTTCGTCAAAGCAACACCAGTCAAATCGAGGTTGTTTGCCAGGTTGTGCAAGAATATGGATTCTGATCATGAGGCTCTTCTGTTTCACACGGCGGTTCGATGGCTGTCAAAAAGCAATATGTTATCTCGCGTTTATGAGATGAGTGAGGAAGTGAAGCTATTCCTCGAAGCGCAGGGAAAACAGGACCTCCTGCTGTCATTCGCGTCAGACAGTTTTCAACTTGGGTTGGCATACCTTGTTGACATTTTTGAAGCCCTGAATCTTCTCAATAGATTATTACAAGGCAATAATACCAGCCGAATAGATCACTACGATGCCATACATACGTTCATAGCGAAACTTGGGCTATGGCTTCGTCGAGTTGAAAGGGGAAACGCGGCATCATTTTCTACCCTCGATAAAAACAAGGCTGATCTGGAGGGAAAACTAAAGACTGAAGTGGAAGCCCATCTCCAGCTATTGAAGCAGGAATTCGAGCGGTATTTTCCAGACCTGGCTAACACTGTACTACCAGATTGGAAAATGGCCAGGAATTCCTTTCGTCTCAATGAAGCCATTCTGCCTGACGCTTTGTAGGATGAATTCTTGGAGATGATGTGCAACTCCATTGCAAAAGATGACTTCGAATCAATGCCTCTCAACGATTTTTGGGTGAAATACATAGGCGTGTATAAAAATGTTGGTAAAGTGGCTTTGCGTACTCTAACACCATTTTCTGCCACTTATCTATGTGAAAGTGGCTTCTCTGCACTTGTGAGTGTCAAAACAAAAGCTCGTAACAAACTCGACTGTGAAGCCGACCTTCGATGTGCATTGTCCACTACGAAACCCAGAATCAACCTCCTGGTTTCCGAAAAACAGCTACATCCTTCCCATTAATAACAACTAGGAAATAAACGTTCATTCAACATTTCTTGACTAGATCACAACTAGAAATTAAACGTTCATTTAACATTTCTTGACTTTTTTCGGAGGGGGGGGGTGTGAGTTTTTATTAAACTTCCAAGGGGGGTGCAGCCAAAAAAGTTTAAGAACCCCTGTATTAAACTTTCTAAGACATTTTTAAAATTTGATGGCTAGAAAACGCTCATGCTTCATGCACTATTCAGGGAACACGCAGATTCATAGAATAGTTGATATTCCCGCCAACCGAACACAAGGAATGTATTAATTGTTGACGAATATCAAAATGAATTAATGTGTTAATTTAACTCTTTTATTGTTTCAAAACTATTCTGAAACCGAGTTTGCATGGCCCGAAGAAACAAGCACGCAGCGAGATTGAGCAAGAAATAAATAAAATAAAGTATTTCAAACGTATTATTCGATACAAAAAATAAGAGAGAATTTTCATGCTGTCAATTCTTGATTCATCTATACTAGACAGACAGAAAAATACTAGCACAAACAGGAGTGGAATTCAAACGCGCACAAGTACTATCGCACATGAAATACATGGTGCATACGAATGCCTATTGGACAGACAGATTACCAAAACGTGATTCAACATTGTGTTTCACGATTTACATGTTTTATTTCTCATTGAGACAGGCATTCTTCATACTTCCTTTTTTCCTTTCTTTTTCTGTATATATGGCGTTTTCAATTCGGCTTTCAATTATTACGAATCAAGGCTAACACACTTTAAATGTTTTAATTTTGATTGACTCTCACAGAATTTGGGGTAGCGAAAAACTTGATTTGAAATAGCCTACGTATCTAAGCCAAATTTAAAATAAAAATACGCATTTTTATAATTCAATTCTTCACTTCATATTCTGCTTTTTCTATAACTTCTTCATTTAAACATTTTCTGAACTTATACCATGAATTTTAGCATCATATAATTGTTTCATTTTTGTATATTTCCAATTTTTCAGAAGAGGTCAAATCTTTCAACAGTTCTAAAGATTTTTGGCGTAAGGATAACGGAGCTTAAAAAACACCAAATTCACCCCAATTCGAACTAAAATTATGAAAATGTTGGAACAGAGTCAGTTCACGAGTTCGTCAACTAAGCCTTGCCAGTCAATCATATCTGATCGCTAGAAGCAAACTCAGTGGTAAAAACAAGTTCTTGTAATTACCGGAACGGACCCTAAATTACCTGAACGGGGTGGTGTATTTCAATGTAAATTGTTAACTTCTCTAGTATTTCTTCGAATCTTAGAAAATGAGGAAGTTTTAAAAACAGGAAAATGAAAACCTATCTCTTGATTTTCTTTTCAATTGTAATTCAGTGTGCGGAATTTGTCTTCTCGTTTAAACTTCATGTTACCGAAGAAAGGAAAGGCGAACCGTGCACCCGCACATCACCTTGATCAATGGGAACACTTCATTCTCACGAATGTATGGTGCAATTTGGTCACAAGATTATAAAGAAAGATGATGCGATATTTAGGTATTTCTGTTATTCTGTACACAGATAGGCTCCAGTTGTACATATGCTGTGTACGTCGCGATAGCCAGGCACAAAAGTGTAAACGCGGTAACGAAACTACCGATTTATGTGAAAATTCTACTCGATTCCCGTGTCCGTTAATTTAGGATTCATTCAATTAATTCGGTATACCGTATGTTAAAGGCAGTAAAGGTGTAAGGTACCGGTATGACTTACAGACTTGAGTTATACTTGTATACTGTTATAGGCAGGGCTGCCATACTGTAACGTCCTTATTTCTAAGATTCGTCCTTATTTTGAAGGTCTTTGTCTTTGAAAATATTTTTTTGAAACGTCCTTATTTTGACATGTGTCCTTATTTTTGTTTTAATTTAGGGGTACGGTAGAGGTCACTTTGAGCTGTCGAGTGATTGATTTGCTAAAACATGTCAGCATGTAGAAATAATGTTAGAACCTCATTCTGTCATTCCAGCATTCTGTCATTGATTGCTATGAGCATTCATGATGTAATAACAGCATATTACTGTATTAATTCACACAATGTCAAAACAATAAACAACTTAGAAGTGAGATGGAACAGATACCGTACCAGTAGTTTCTAACAATAAAAAACTGCTGGAGAATATCCTTTCTAACATTTGTAAAATTTGATGAAGGAATCAGGTATAACAAGTAAAACAGTACAAATCATGTCTTCTTTACTGTCTTTATGCAGTTATGAGACCGTTTGGCCACCACAGTCCTAGCCTATATTGATACAAAAATCACAAGCAGAAGCTGTGCAATAGCCTGTACTTAGAAAAAACGCAATTTGAAAATGTTACGATTGGATACATTGAAAAAAAATTATTTACTTGCGGTAAATTTTTACTGTAACATTCAAGAGAATGCTGGAATGTGTAATCATATGCAGATGACCTTGCGTCAAAGACGAATAAAGCTTGTTTTGGATATCTAAATACCAAGGGCATTCTTGGAATCCGCGAACTGTGAGGTACTGAATCTAGTTTAGCCAGTTTGTCTCAATATAAAATCTGAGCTATGATCGATAGCGAACTTCACAATTTCCAAACTATGGGTATATCAAAAATTAATCAGGATTGCAAACTGGGAAACCACATTAAATATGAATAGTGTCACTCTGTCACTTTAAACTGGTATTACAATACCTCTGTGACAAGGTATATACGGTAGGTATATAAAGGCATGTCGCGATGGGTATCTTTGTGGTGTTAATTTTTTTTTAAATTGCCTATTATAGATTCTATGTTGCATCTGTACATATTTAAAATAAAAATAATACTTTCAGAAACAATAAATCAATCCGCACTTCATTATTCAAAATTTTCCTATATCAGTATGCCATATATTTGTATTGATCATCGTGTTGCATTAAAAATTTTCCTTTACATAATGTACAACAATAAAAAAATTTTTATCAGTCAACAATACTTTGTTGTTCGAGGTTTGTGATGAACCATTTTAAAAATACGACCTTAACTTATGTTTGACTGATGACAAAAAATGAAAACTTAAGTATGTGGAATTCCTATATATATGTAGCTTATATTTAAATATGACAGAGACAGATTATGATGAGATTGTATTATAAGTATATTTAAACTTTATATTATTCAAGTTGAATTTCTTTGACATATTTATCTATCTCTCTTATTTATTTAACTTGATTTGGCTTACGTTTCTGTCATTAATTTATTACAGTCGAGGTTTATACTTTGTCAATGTTTATTAAGAGAACAACTTCAATATTTCAAACATAAATCATTATTTTTGTTTGAGTATATTTTGTGTATAAGGAAAAGGATATTAACTCAATCTGCAGTTATCTCCTATGTTTTCAGTCATAGTTTTTTTCTGCTGCTATTGTTAGTTCGTTACCGTCTACCACATTGCATGACGCTTGCCCACACATGACGTTTGTCATTCAATTTGTATGTGGCTGATAGTAGAGAGCTATGAATATATTGTTTCATACTACGGTCATTATTTTTAAGAAGTAGAAATGCAATTTCTGTTTCAATGGCATTGTTTATGATTTAATAATAAACAATAAGATAATAAATAATATCTTAATTGACTCCCTTTTATTTGTTTTTTTTCTGGCACATGGTATTAGCAGTGCGATACTAATGATGTCTCTTCCGTATTTTTCCATTTTCCACCATATTGTTTAGTATTTTGATATGGTGCTAAACAAAAAATTGTTGCCTTTTTATTTTTATCATGCTCAAATCAAACAAGTCAGTATTGTCAGTGACTCATGTCTGGTTTCTAGTAATGATTCCAAGGTAGAGTCATAGGTTATTTTTGAAGGAAACTGTTGATTTTGGTTTGTGGATTGAGCTGTTTAATGAGTACATTTCATCTGTATTATTTACTCTAGACTAAATTTAACCAGACAGAAAATGGTGTGAAGATTATATATTATACAGGGTGAACCTGAGAAAAAACAGAAACATTAACTTATTGTACGAAAAGGGAAAAAATGTATTTAATACTTGAACTTCTGTTTGTGTATAATTGTACCCAAAAGTTTCAGGAATTTAGGATGCTTTGCACAAAAGATGTTGTTTCTAGAACATGTTCCAATCGACCTGATCTCGTTTTTTTTTTGGTCACTCTGTATTTACCAATAAGATATTTGAATACTGTGACTAATAATCAACCTAACAACCTATTGTGCATTTTTATTACAGATCGTAATAGGCATATAATTGGAAACCTACGATAAACCTTTTGTTGTCAGAAATATGTCCTGTTTGCCTTGGAAAGGGCATTCGAGACATATGGATGCCAATGATGTAATAAACAGTATCTATCACGAAAGACAACGATATGAATTATGTGCTCTTCACGCCCTCAATAATATATTTCAAGATCCGAATGCGTTTTCGAAAGAAATTCTTGACGACATATGCTACAAGTGAGATATTTTGGTTGTTTGTTATTTAGTCAAATATTAACCGCACTGTTTCTGCATGTTGATCTAGTGCTGCCTTTGCCAATAAGAATAGTGAAAGTACATAATTTCTATTCATTTGAAATATATAATCATTCTTTCATCTAGGATGTTATCAAATTTGATCATATCCTCCTCATTGAGAAAATTTTTAGATAAGAGATATTTCGAAAATCTATAATAACAATTATGTTTACAAAAATGTTTGTTATTTGATATTTTGACAATCTATATTGTTTAAATTGGATTGTACCTCTTTGTAATTAGTGTGTAATTTCACTGCTAATTATGCCAACATTTTTGATGAGGATTTTCGATTGATACAATAAAAACTTGAGAGGATTTATGCATCACCTTGTGACGGGATGAGATTTTTGAAAAGTGCAATTGTGAGAATCAATTATAGTATTCTGAGCTGTGCCAAGCCAAAACTCAGAAACAGCTAACCAGAGTCGAGTCAAGTTTCGATATTGACAATCCAATGATGTGAAAATTAGTTCTTATAAGTTTTTGGAATTCTTAAGATTTGACTCTTAGTTTATCTATGGCTCGGGTATGACTTGGTATTAATTCCACCTTCCATCTTTATTTTAGTTTCAAACTTGAAATACAAACATGCACTTGTTTTGAAGATACATTATATAGTAAAGAATTTGTTCCATACTATTATTTTATTTTTTTGTTGTTATATTTTTCAGGTTATCACCAGACACAATGTTGAATCCACATAAAAGCGTACTCGGTACTGGAGATTATGATGTAAATGTTATCATGGCAGCTTTACAATCGAAAGGTTATGCTGCCATTTGGTGGGATAAACGAAAGTGAGTTTTCATGTTTGTTTCATTATCAGTAATGCTAAAATTTTATTGACTTAATAAATTAAATGGTCATTTGGTACTTACTGGTTACTGATTTTTAGAACTGACTCTTCGACTTGATACGTAAAAAAACACCAGGCATAGAATTTAATAATTATCAATGAAAGAGTATACTCATGAGAGCCGAAATCAAAATTGAATACCCTCTCCATGATATTCTAAATTAGATATATTAGATGCAGTAAGTTGGTTTAAGAACATTTCTAAAATATTCCTGATATAATTTTGTTATTCGAAGCTATTGACATTGTGTAATTAAAAGAGAATAATTAACATATACTAATTGTATAAATAATAATAAAGAATATTCAAAACAATGGTTATTTTGACATTTCTACGTTTTCAAATTCAATCGCTATGAAAACGAAATGATTTATGCATTTTTCTCTATTGAATATGGCCTGAATTCTTCATTTCCAATTATTAGTTCAAAATGAATTTTGAATGGTAGATTAATATTAGGTAACAAAGAATATGAGTTTTAATGAGGCTTGTTATTGATTTATTGAATATATGATTTTTCCAGGTTGCTTAATAAAGTAATTATTATGCTGTTTGAACAATTGCCTATTCATTTCCTGATTTAGTAAAATTTTATTATTGTTCACATCACATTAGTATGTTAATCTCTACTAGCGCTGATCAAAACATGCAGATATGATTGGGGTTATTACTGAGTGAGATTTAAACCCGAGTAATGTATAAAGAATATAGGTCATAGGTTTATTCAATGTTTGCTTCAATGAGAAACTTGCTGTTACATCTTTTCTGAAAGTTAATCTTGGGGTTGGTAGGTTCTGGCTTCACACGTGCTGACGTGCAATACTTATATCCTGGTACTCGATTTTGTGAAATTCATGTGAAGATCAAATGAAGATAAGAACCAAAAAATTGTTCAAAAGAGTGTGGGAGGGAATGGATGTTTCTCCAACCTTTGAGTCCACAAAAATTGCATTTGCAATTGCGTTACTATTGTGAAATTTTCAAAGTATGTTCGCGAGTGGGCATTAGCAAACTGGTGCATTTTCAATATCACCATTTCATCCAAAAACATTCGAGCAGGTTTCATAAAAAATGTATTGAGATTTAAATTTTTGATTTTGAAAGCCCTATTTATCTTGCTTTTTGATTACTGTAAAACCTAAAGCTTACAAATAACACTCGAACCTACAAAAGCAAATCAATGTTGTAATCATGCTTGAAAGTCGGTCTTTGTAAAATGTATCTGAGCGTCATTTAAAATTTTAATTGGTATGTCACTGTGGACTTTTTGCTGATTAGTCATTGTTACAAAAATAAACAAGGAAGTCGATGCTCTGAGAAAACGTCAATATCCACTATGAGATAATTATATTTTCTGCTCCACTTTCAACATACTCCCAAGTCCCAACCAACTCATTTTTATAGGCTTTATTAAATTTAATAAATTTTGTTTTCAAATAGGACTCGCTTGGGAGTCTTATCATTTACGTTTTAATATTGGAAAAGCAAATTATTGGAAAAGCAAATCCACGCGAACTTAAATAATTCTAAATTCTCAAATCCATGATTTGTATGTGGGGGAAAAATGAACTAGGGAAAGTATCAACCAGGGATCTCCGAAGAGAATCGAATATTTGAATACATTCAAATTTCATTATATTCAATACAAATAATTTTTGCTTTCAGTAATTTTTTCTTTAAATTAGAGATTTGGAGCTGTCAGACAAGCAGATCAACTTTGTAAAGAAAACAATTACCTTTGTATTTACGTTGTTTCAGACATGTTCAACCTGAAAATAATTTTCCACATGAACTTGCCTCCAATTTAGAATGTACCGGTAATCGTTAGTGAAAATTTTTTTTTCAGAATATTTGGATTTGGCCATCCCTAGTGTCATCCAGTTTTTATTACTGAATAAACTTTCAGAAATAATAACCTTAAGCGGCTAAATATCATTTCATCACTAGGAAAGTCACCCCAAATACAAACTTGGGACACTTTGTGATCCACCTGTCAGTGATTTGCCACCTTTCCCTTATAATATACCATTGTAACAGTCGTAATCTTCTATTTCAAATGTTATATTAGTAAAAAACAAAGCTTCAGGCTCTTGGTGTACAGTATTTTTCCACTACTAGTTTGTGTGCGTATTATGGCATCGTTGGTATTTTCCATAGGTATTATATTTCATTCTTTACCAAAAATGAATGCCAATATCTAGTATGATTGGAATATTATTCGCATTTATATTTGTAGTCCACTGGTATTCGGCTCACTCAATGTATTTTAGATTTAATTAATGAAAACGCATACCGGTATTTATAAGCAATGCCATAATACCATCATTTGGTCAGGAAATTGATTCAAAACATCTGGCTTGAATTTTTGGTAGCTCATTATTTTTAATTTGAATACAGTGTAGCATAATGAAGCGAGAGGGAAAAAATGAAATTTTTTTTATCCTGTATTATATCCAAATGGCTGGCAGCAGTATGAACTTTAGACGGATATTATAGCAATAAAACTTTCAATCATCTGTTCTATTTTTAAATTTGAAAGTGATTTCAACCATTTGATGAATGTTTTAATTATTCATATAATTTGCTAAACTGAGTAAAACTTATCTAGATCAGCCAAATTTGGTTCAATAGCAGGTTAAATGTACTAGTAGAATGTTCATGTATTTTTTTCAATATACTACTGGATTTCAGTATTCAAATTCAAAAAATAATTATATTGGAATGCCCTGTGATTTTCCTACACCTCCCAGATATGCATTCTATGTATTACATAATAACATAATTTGACTCTGGGTGGCATATTTGCAGTTACCTAATTTCAGTATTTGTGTTATTATTTTATTTCATCTGGATGGCGCAATCGCCTAGCGGTTAAACTATTAAGACTTGATAACTGTGATGGCTTGGCAGAAAACACATCTCAGGTTAAAATCCCATGCGTCCAGCTCACCCAGAGTGTAATAAGTTGAGTAGGCAATGCTGAAACATACAGCTTCCAGTACTTCCAAATAATAAAAGCTTCTTACATTTTATTAGACATCAGTGGCTGCTTCTATAGAGCCTTAGGAACTAAAGGCGAGAAATAAGTGTTGTATAAAAAAAAAAATTATCAGCAAATTGAATCTTAGTGACATGATAGGTTTGGAAACTTTACTCTTTCCCTATCTCCTATTTCAGTTGTATGTAATTATAAAAGTATTCAACTTTATTTTTCAGGAACATAAGTTCCCTTCACCTACCGAGTGTCAAAGGTTTAATGTTGAATATTCCATCCGAAATTGATCTTGGCCTTTTCAAATTACCTCTGAAACGAAGACATTGGATCGCGTTGCTTGCAATAGATGAGGTTTTTTATAATCTTGACTCAAAATTGAAGAAACCATCGTTAATTGGCGGACGAGACTTAATAAGGTGAGTTGAGAGTTTAATATGAATATATTCTTGAGAATATTTTATTAATTTATGATACTTTGAAGTGAGTTTGAACTTATGCTTATTCTAAAATAGCGTTATTCAAGTGGGGTTTTCGCAGTCTTAATGCTTGACAAAACAAAAATGGGGTTCTCTAAGAGTTCAATTAAGTATAGTGGGTTTCTGTTATTAAAGGTTGTTGCATATGCTCATTGATTAGTGACCATGATAAAGCGTACAATGAGACAAAAAAATTGTGTGAAATAATGGAAACAGTTTCCTTCGCTTTATTCTAACCCTCTATTCCTTGGAGTGGGTAGTGTTAATATAGTCTTGACATGGGCAAACTACTCCCTCCGGCCAAATCTGTCCCGCTTCATGACTTAATCCGGCCCTGCAATAGGCTTGTTAGATTATGATTGTGTAAGCTGTATTTTTGGTTGCCACAGACTTTCATGATATGGAATTTTGACAAAACTTTAGGTTTATTTGCTTACTCTATTCAACAGTGTGCTTTTCACAGCTTGTTCTATTTCTCGCGCGCTTGCTGTGTGTGCTCACATAAAACATTTCACGTCATACTTATATGGCCCTGGTCCAAAAACCTTGGCCACCCCTGGTAAAGTCTATATTGTATAAATATTCGAAAAGGTGTCAAAACCTATCGCTACTTTTTCAATAATATCTCATTTGCTGGCTATTGATCGCTTTTATGCCGTTACCATGTTAGCAAACTTGTTATGTACAAACATGTGCTTTTTTTCACTACAGGGCTTACCTCGAGAAACTACTCGGTGCCAAGAACAGTGAACTACTCTTGGTTGTTGACAATGTAGTGGAGCAAACTCGAGAATGGAAAACTGTGACTCCCAATAATTCTGAGAGTAGTTTAGAGACAACATAGCAGAATGATCTAAAAAATGCGCTGCCATGAGAATTATGTTTGCAGTAATTGACATGTTTATAAATACCGTAATCTGGAAATGCCATCATTGATGAGGTATAGCCGTTAGCATTTTCTGGTAGAAGTACTGATAGCTGAACTGAGAATGGTTAAGCGATTCGTCGGAACGTTTTGTCTAAAGTTACATTTTTCTGTGAAATGTTGTGTGTGTATTTTATACTTAATCTAAGATTTATTATCTTGGATAACATAATTAAATTTCATACTTTAACAAATATTGAACTATCAAATTATTGTGAAATTTGCATTGTTCGAATCGTTTCGTGAGGCACATCATATCTTATCGATATTTATAATTCAGTCTTTTTCATCTTCCTGCTTCCTTTTTGTTTTGTCAATATTTTATCATTCAGAAGGCTTATGTTTGAATGGAATTACACTTGCAATCATCGTTTAAATGAAACAAATATAGCTAATAAAGTATGCTTTTATTCTGATATTATAACATTTTCAATAAATTCACTTAGAATTTCACGGTACTTTGGCAACAAGAAGTCTGGGATTTTTCATGCAGTTTTTCATGCCTACCTACGATTGCCTTTGATCGCTGTAAAAATGATCTCGTCTTATATATATCATTGCCTCGCTGTATACTTAACGACCCTATTAATGTAATTCAAATTTGTAAGTTTTGTCACCAATGTGATTATGTGTCACCACAAGGCATGGTTTTTGCACCATCAGTCTTTTTACTTTATGATGAATACTTTCTCGTCCAGTGCATATATGTAATATAGTATAACTTAGCTAACATGGCATGTGAAATGTCATTGTCATTCTCTAATCAAGTGTGCAGTTTAACTTGTTTGTTTGTCTGGTTGAAAATAGCAATCAAATTGGTGATCCAAGTTTTTCACTTTCACATGTTTCTGTATTTAAGACAGCAATTTCTTCTCGCCTAATCTATGGTAATTCATCCATTTTTGATGGTTTACCTGAAGATTTCGTTTCATTTATTTTATTTTCAAGTCTGTATATTGTTTTCATGTACTAGCCTTTCTCGAAAAGTCGTTCATACAAGATTGCTCAAGTTCAAGATGTTTTAGCAACCGATTTACTAATGCTAAACTTGAAATTGAATGAAATATCAACACCCACAAACTGAAACTTAACATTGAAACTGAATGAATGCATATATATACTGGCATTTGCGTAAGAACTCTTTCCTAACTTGAGTAACTGATGTATTTGGGTTTCAAAATAAAATGATGAGGTATGGATGTGGCTAGGTGGAAGTTGATTCTTTTCTTTGGTACCCTATTTTGGTGCATTTGTTATTGTTTTTTTTTCTCTCAATATATATTTCACAAAGTTTAAATAGAAAACGATCTGATATGTTTATCATATATTGGAGGGTAACCAACCATTCGCACGAAGACTAGGTATTTTGCAAGCATGTGTGAGAAATCGTTGCTGAATAATTTGACCCAAGTCGGAAGCTTGTAAAATTTTATATTATAAAAAACCATTCGTTTTTTGGAGCGTATATCGGAATACTGCAATTTTCTGCGCTTGCCCTTATCGTTAGATTCCTGCGTTGGCGGACGCGAGTCCTCTTATTTGATCCAGCGATGTGAACTACGATCGCCCGTGACGCGACTCCGGGCTTTTAGAGACATGTATTGTATCCAACACTGTGATACTCATCCACGTCAAGATACGAATTTTATTGGCTTGGCTTTTATATACCGGAAATCACAAAATAGCATTTAGCGCGAGCTAAGCGTTGGGAATACGCTGGTCGGTTGCGGCTTCCTCCACCATCAAGTCCATACTTCCGAATAGTGTAACTGTAACTGACTAATCCCATATGGTAACCGGACGAGAGGATTGCTGGACACCTCGCCGCCGTATGGTGGTACACTTAACCGCTGGTCGGTTACGGCTTGCTACACCAGGGCTACTCAACTATTTTTACCGAAGATCCGCATACAAAACATCAAAATTATTTGGGTCCTTTGTTTCCATAATTTATATTTCGGCATCCGTGAACTCGCACTTCCTCGACCGGCTAGTGATTAATATCAGCTAATCGAGATTGTTCATTATGGCGTTACAGTTCTTTTCATATATATTCAAAACAATAAAAGTCATTTTATAAAATGAAACGTTAAGAATTGGGTGCGGTCCGAATCAAATTGTCGCAAGGTCCGGATTCGGACAGAGGTCCGCCAGTTGAGTAGTCCTGTCCTACACCATCAAGTCCATGCTTCCGAAAACTGCCCTAACTGCAGTGCCGAATAAGTAAGTTAACGTGTTCATTACTAATTGAGGGCCAAGTTACGATTAATTTGCACAATTTAGTTTTCTGGAACAGTTCCGATACTTACAAACATCGGTAGAGAGATTTAAAACGAATGATACTTGAGAATTTTTCTATTTCAGCCGGGCCTCTATTTAGGTCTTCGCCGTCTGATCAACTCAAATTGTTTCATAAAACACTGAGGCACCACTGAAAAATCGTCTATGGAATTTCTGTGCTGCGCTCTTTTCCTTGTTCCCCTGAGCACGTGCTTATTTTGTTTAATGGTTAATCCAGCACTGTATGTAGGATAGGATTGACATATTTATTCCGGGGGAGAGAGAAGCCGATAAGACGGCTTAATCATATGACGAACCATTGCCTCTTACCCGGTTACCAGTTCATGTTGGGTATGGGATTATTTAACCAGTTATTTGTTTCAGGTGCGTGGACTCGAATCTCGGATGAAATTGCAGGATAGAACAAAACTAACTTATATTATTCTTCGGGAAATGACATTCTTTCGTCACTTATTGGGGAAAATACTAATCTAACGTGAGCATAGATAAGTAAGGCTAATATCGTTAAAAATAATAACGCGCTAGAACGTTTAAAAACATTACGCATGATACTAAAGACGTTTTGCCTTACACCAGGCCTGCACAACCCAAATGGACGAAAGGGCTGCAACATACAAAAATAATTGTTCACGGGCCAAAAGTTATCATTATTACCGTATAACTTATATCATTTAATATAGAGCAGGGCTACTCAACTGGCGGACCGCGGTCCGAGTCCGGACCTTTTGACCATCCAATTAGGACCGCGTCCACTTGTTTATTTTGGCAGCACAAGCATCGTTTCATAGTTTCAGATGATTTTGATACTATTTACATACACAGCATGGAAAGATTCATAGGATGTTTTCCGACCTTTGACCACAGAAAAGTTCTCCCTATATTTCACTATGCAAAATTTTGAATGCGTATTTTGCGAGTGTTTCACTCGCTTGTTTACAGCCATTCTTGAATATCTGCCTGAGCGGACGAAGTATCTGAGCGGCTTCAAAAAATGTAATTATAATACGTCATTGTTGACTCTTTGGTGATTGGTCATTGTTACGGAAATAAACAAGGAGAACGATGCTCGGGGAAACATCCATACAGTTGAAGTACTGGTGCCGATGTGCGAGTGCGATGTTTATCCATATTTGTGAGCCATTCATCGCTCTTGTATTTAATTAATAATGCATTTGAAGTTTCGTTTAGTTAATCGAATAAATTTTCTGAAATGTCCCGACCCCAGTAATTCTGAAGTTTTGTAAACAGACCTTTGGGGTGAAAATAGCCCTGATATAGAGTATAAACGGTGTAATACATGATCAATTCGACACAATTGCGTTTGTCGGCGACAAGCTCCTCATATATATTCATTCATTGTTTGATTTATTCAGTTGAATATTATTTTCCGTCAAGTTGAAAAAAGTTACTATTAAATTCCCCCCCCCCCCCCCCCCCTACAGCTCATGAGATATTATGATGCGAGTATGTGACAAATGATCACATCATAGTGCCAAAATCATACGTCATGTGCAAAGGAATTTGAACAAGTTATAAGAAAATGGGCAACTTGGTCGCTATTTGAATATTTAGATTAATAAGTTATCTAGAATTGATCTTTGGCACCGATCGTCAGATTTTTGTATGCAGAAGTACATTTATTGAAATAACCTCGCTGACCACATGCGGCCTGCCTTACATCGTTTATAAGCTTCTTATCGGCATCGGCAGTTATGGAGCTTCGTCCATACGAAATATCTGCTCAAACTCAAATAAAATTTCCTGTAACATGCACCCTGAAATCAAGTACACGACATCTCACAAAACATTCAACATGAAGGTTGTTGTGTACTATAACAAAAACAAAGGCACTGAATAATGCAATGACGGAGATATCAGTACCGGTAACTGGCAGAACAGAACCTGATAAAAAAAAATACAAAATCGAACAACTGCTCAGAAATAACAGTAATCAAACACCAAAATGTTCCCATATTGGTTTTACATCAATGTCACATCACTAACTACACTCTTGAAGCTGATGATTTGCAGAGTTGGTTAGTCAGACTTCTCTATGTGCTCCATATTCAATTGTGAATGGTGGTAAAAATGGCTTGCTTTGTCTGTTCATAGATCATGATTGTCCAGTTGAACCAAAGCCCCCCTCACCTCTGACAGTGTCATCGAGTTTCTAAAGAAAGAAATATTTCAATGCCACATACACATTACATCTCAAAAAGCCAAATCCAAGATTTTGATCAGAACATAGCTGTAATGTTTTGAATGGACTAGTTGTGTCCCAAGCCAACTTTAAAAATGGCAGATAGGATTTGCATGTTAATCTGCTTTATAATCTGGTGAAGCATGATTCCTGGTCCGGTCCTTAGACGGGTGTGGGATTGATTAGCCAGTTAAGTGTTTCAGATGCATGGTCTTGACTGAGGAGGAAGCTGTAACCGACTAGCGGTTACGTGAACCACCCTATGGTGGAGAAGAGTCCGGAAAACCTCTTGCACATAATAATCCCCCACAGAATTCGAACCCACTCAGGGTAATCAGAGAGAGGTGCAGTGGCAAGCGTATTCCTAATGCTTAGTACGATGCAGCACACAGCCGAGATTAGTGAACATTAACCAGGCAAGAGGGACCCGTTAGTAATAGTTGAGACACTGCTAATTAAACTGTTATTCAAATTGGTGATCAAGTATTTCAAATTAATGTTCGCATTGCTGTTGATCAATGTGGAAACAGATAAACCTGAATGGTATTTTTAGTAACCTGGGCCTAATCAGTATTGAACAAAATTAGCTTTTCAGTTGTACTATTTTGCAGCAATTGCTTCAGCCTTCAGATGTTATCATTCAATTCATTAGTCTCTCAAAATTAAGACATGGGGGCAACAATGTTAAAAGAATTGGGAGTGGTATTAGGTATTCACAATGGAGGAAACTCACATCAAGTTCTTGCAATTTAGGAATGAATATTCTTTCACAAATCAATTGTGCGATCCGAGCACCTTTCTTTACTGTAAAACAAGTTTATTTTGTTTATTGCGAGAACATGAACTGAAGAAAGAAAATGAACCTGCATGATATTGTCACTAAACGACTTCAAAAAACAAAGATAATTTTAATATTGACTACTTTGGATTAGAAAAAAGCAAGTACACATTTCGAAGTTAAAACGTTGTTAAGCCTCCACAAAATTTATGACAAAATGAAAAGCTGTGCAAAGAACAAAAATTACGATTATTCCAGAATTTAGCACCTCTATATTAACTAGCTAGTAGCTACTACTACCTTCTCATTCTAAGTAGAATTTTTCGCATAAGACTAATTTGGTGTGAATGTAACAAAAAAACAAACCCTTTTTTCCATTTTACCACTTCATAGGTAGTAAGAGAAAGATGTTTTATCTATTTATCTTGGTGGACGAAAGTTATAAGACGTCTTAATCATATCGCGAACCATGGCATCTCATCTGGTTACCAGTGCATGTTGTTGAGTATGGAATAAGTTTAGCAGTCATTTGTTTCAAATACTTGTGGTGGAGGAAGCCATAATCCCCCAGGGATAACATAAACAGTGGGAAGGGGTCCAGGAATCCTCTCACACATAATTATCTTCATAGGATTCCAACCAATTAACCTATGCAGGGTGATCAAATGTAAGATGGCAAGCATATTCCCAACGCTTGGAATGATGCGCCGAACAGAGAAAGTTTTATGGAAGTTCTAAGCAATTCAGTAGTTGATTCAATAATATTACTCCAATGAACACGAATATACCTTCAAATTCTTCATCTGAAAAATTGAACAATATGACACCAACATTCCCTCTGTAATCTTGATCAATCACTCCAGCCCCAACATCAATAAAGTGTTTGTGAGCTAAACCAGATCTTGGTGCGACTCTTCCATAACAACCTTCAGGTAATGCTATTTGAATATCAGTTTTTGCAAGAACCTTCCCTCTGGATGGGATTTTATAATCATATGCACTGAAAAAAAATGAATCATATAAATTAAAATAAGTGGAATTGGAATTAATTAATATTGAATTTACAAGACTGAGTTATATGACCCAAAACAAAATCAGTATGGATAATTATCCATGCTTCTATAATAAAAGAGCTTGTTTTTTTTTGTCTATGATTCTTATTAATTGTAAAAAATATTCATTTTATTAATATAGGTAGCAACAGTATAAATTAGTACAATGCCATACTCCTCAATCAGGAAATCTGAACAAATCATCATATACTCGTAGACTGATCATTTTAGTGATGAAAACTTGAGTCTAGTATAGTTTAGTACCACAAGTATTTCCAGTGGGCGTAGCATAACGATTTTTGCATATGTTATTCCTAACCCTCACCTGACTATGCCATCCAAAAATTACGTCACTACGACGTCACCATCGCGTCATAGGGATTGCCAAAGTATAATTACGATCGCCCGAAATGGCATCTGCGTCGCTGATAAAAACTTGCTAAAGCCGGCGATCTCTCTCCTATCGTGATCGTTGCGACGAGAAAACGAGAGAAATAGCTTGCTCGATTTCGGGTTATCGTCTGCGCGTTTTGGACTACCATCCGCTTACTTCGGTGAGCCCTATTACGCCACTGTGATGTCAGAATGACGTAATTTTTTGGTGACGTAGTCAGGTGGGGGTTAGGATTGACATATGCAAAAATTGTTGAGCCAGGCCAACTAGAAGTGGATGTGGTACTAAACTATACCAGACCCGAAAACTTTTCATTTGTTTCATACAACTGTCAGAAATTAAATAGGCATGTTTAGTCTGCAAATTAGATCAGTAGATGGCAATTGTGCAGAATGAAGGTATTCTAAATTATGTCTAAATTGAGTAATTTTAATATCCAATATAACCAAGTTTGAATGTGAATGTATGGCTTTCGAAAATTCAATTCATTTAGGACATCCCTGCTCAACAAACAGTACTGGTTTATTCAGTCTGTTTTCACCGTGAAATACTATTCATGCTGTATGTAGGCTACAATGTGTGTTTTCAGTATGGTGAAAAAAAAGGATTGATTTACCACCTCATTACTGCATTAAGGCACAAATCAATTAGGTGGGTTGAGCCCTTTTTCGAATATAACACTACAAATTGACTGTATACTGGTATGTATATGTAAAATATTGTTTGAAGAAAATATACGAAAACACTGATAAAAATACCTGTATAAATCAAACCCCGCAGCAAGTTCAGATCCTCTGGTTGGTGTAGTTGCTTCCTTAGACAGTTTGGCAAATTGTAATGTTGGGATGCTAGCATCTGACATTCTAGGTTTCTTGTTGATATGCCCATCTGCATAACCTGTGTTTGTGTCAATTTCTTTAAGTGGTTGATGGACAACTTCCATGATTAGATATATGTATGAAGTTTGCAAGGAATAATGAAAATTAAAACTAATAGGAAAAATTAGGGAGGGAATACGACTGAATATTAGTGAAAACAAAGTTGGTTATATTATGTTCGTAATCACTTTTTCCATACCGCTGTACTGACCTTAGCTAGAAAATGTCTGTTGGGAAAAAAATAGAGAAAAGGTTTGTAGTCTGATGGCTGAGAGGATAGAGCCAAGGGTACGAAGGTTGGGAAGTCTGAAAGTGGCGTAGGCCACGTAGTCAGGTGGGAGTTAGGATTGACACGTGAAAAAATAGTTATGCTACGCCCACTAGAAGTATGTTAGGTACAAAACTACATGAGACCCCTTTGTCAAGCTCTATGACATGAATGTCAGGAACAACATACAGACATATGCAAAATTCTGAAATTTGTTATGCTACGCCCACCGAAAGTACCGTACTTCTGTCAGTACTACTAAACTATACCGGTACTGTACCCCAAATTTCGGGTGGATATTCATGAAAAATTAAATCTGTTAAGCAGTGTTCACTATTAGCGCACTTTTTTGCGAAAATTGCGAAGCACTTTCGCAACTTTTTTTAGGGACTGCGAAATAGCACTTTTTTCCGATTTTGAAGAGAAATAGCACTTTTTTCCGATTTCGAATGGAATAAAAATTCAAAGTTAACGGATATTTTCGAGTATTAAGTTGACAAATAAGTAACATACTAGTACTTTTGTAACTCAATTCTGTGTATCATAACGATATTTACCGGAATTCTAACCTATGAGATGCAGACATAGGAGATAAAGCTTTTGCATTAACGGCAAAATTCTTGTTTATAATATGATTATTATACAAGCACACCATTCCGCTTCCCAGTGCGTGGTTCTTTGAACGAGAGTGGTCATGTGACTATCAATGATATCGATGAATTCAAAATGACTATAAAAGTGTTACGTGTTATAGTCACTTTGGATGAATTGTGACCAAACTGCACGATTTTCAAATCAGACGAAACTTTTAGCAGCATGTCACAGATTTGCAAAATCACCAAATTCACAAAATACCATTAAGTGCCATTTTATTGTAATCACAATGTTGAAAGGACGTGGCATTTTCCGGATTTTGCGATATTTACACAACTATTTCTCATTGATATGCGAGGGGTGGGCAAAATTCAATATTTTTTTAATCGAATATTTTTAAGGAGTACCGAATAAACGTGGTGGAAACATTAAAAATCGGCAACAAAGCCTTTTTACTGGTTAATTCCGTTGTAATCGCTAATTGTTCTTGTCACCGATCGTTTTGGCGGCGATATCCAGGTTTTGGGTAATCTATATTCCCGCCCTCTCTTTTTACAAATATGAATTCTTGTGGGTCGGCGGACATCGAAGTTTTATATTTCGGGTTTACCCGTTCGTTCACATCGGCAACAGCTGTTGAAGACATTGAGGACTCAAATTAACATTTGCGTTGGCTTTAATATTACCTATCAAGATTTGTAAATTTACCGTCCCAATTTTATGCGAATGGTAATATTATTGTCCATACCGTGATGCAGATATTTATTAAGACGATAATTAACTTTCTCATGTATTTCTATGGTGATAAACTTCGCAATCTGAAATTGTGCCAATCCTGAATGTTGATTTAAATAGTGATTGAATAATTCGGCTATAAAGGCATTTCTGCGTGGTCATAAGACGAGATGACGTTAATGAACAGCACTTCTTTTACAGGATATTTTACGTATGCGACTTAATGCTAAAAAGATTGGGCTCGAGTGCCTAATAGAGGTCAGGCGCTAATTGTAACTAATTCCCTCAAGTTTCAACGTGTTTTCAACAAAACAATACCCCGGCGATAATTATAGCTAAAATGTTACCGAGCAATTCACAATTTTATTTATGGAATTTGCAAATTCACCAGTTTCTTGACGATTTTGATATTGTCACGCCCTAATTATTAGTGCAAAAAATACTCCCCTTCTTCCGCGGCGGTTTGACGGGTTCTTTGTTCCATTCTTCAGAAAGTTCTGACACGGGGATATAGAATACTGAATCCGGAGGGTTGAATCCCTGTCCACTTACTGGTGATTTTCCGTTTTGAAATGCGTGAAACATTCTCTATTTTAAATTAAATGACGTTTCGCGGGCTAGAGTTCTCCCCGAAAATGATGTGTTCCAGACGTTAGTTAGACGATAGATAAAACATTAATTAATAATTTTCGTGACGCCCCGTTTTCGAAAATACAAAGTTATATCGCAAAAAATGCGTTATGATACATTTGGAATGAAACATTATTTACGGTTAATTCAGATCATATTTTACTCTTCATGACACCCGGTATCCGAAAATACAGTTGTATCTCGAAAAATGTGTTTTGTTACATTTAAAATAAAATCTTTTTGCGATTAATTTAGATCAAATTTTACCTTTCACGGCAACCCGTTTCCGAAAATACAAAGTTATATCACAAAAAAATGCGTTTTGTTACATTTATTTTGCATTCCCAATAAAATACATATTTTCCCTAATTAAGGTCGTCGATGAATCTGTTCCTGTCGTTCAAGCTCGACACACGTTTGGACGAGTGTGGGGCGGTTTTTTGGTCGACGATAAATTAAAAAGTTGCCACACGTTATTTGTATAACGATAATAACTGAAAATTAAGATTTTATAATAGAAGTGAATTTGTCTCAAGATGGTATTTTACGATTCCTGCCCACAGAAAAGAATTATTTTTTATTCTACTTATAATTGATATTCGTTTAATTTATTTTACACTATTAATAAACGCGCCACACCAATTGCGACCATATAAATTGCAGTCGCATCGGTATGGACTGTATGTTTTTGGCGCTCTCACATTAATAATAATTTTCAACAAAACAATACCCCGACGGTCATTAAAGCTGAATTCGTTACCGAATAATTCACAATTTTATTTACGGAATTTGCAATTTCAAGATCTGACGATTTTGATGATGTCATGCCCTAATTATTACTGCTTAAATGCCTCAAAATACAACAAATGTAATCATTTTCGACGATAACAGGCGCAACAATTCGTAAACGAGCCGTTATAACGAAATTCGCGATTGATTTTACCTCTCTCTTGTTTACAATTTTAACATCCCGCCGGCCATGTATGGTCGAATAAAATGTTCACATATTCGAAACATGACTTGGCCAAGGATGGAAGGGATCACTAAAGAGCTAATAGAAAGTACATACGCGAGGGTATGATATTAATATCGAGAATATTTGTGAGCATATCACAGGACGGAAATATTTTGCACCCGGCTGTTTGTTGGCAGAACAACGATACGCTAAAGTTAATTGATCGAATACAGGGAAGTATTTATTTATCATCTCACTTGCGAACATCGAGGTTTTGGCGGAATTGTACGATCATGTTGTCTTTCTTAAATAATAACTTTTTCAATAAATGTTCATTTTACTTTTGCGTCTTTATTATATGTCGGGTTTTCATTTATTTTAAATTCGAAATTGTCCGAAATACTCCAACAGGTGTATAAGTACAATAATAATAGTACTTACCAGGGAAGTTTAATACACACGATGTGTAAAGGGCGTCGTAACTCCCGTTTATTAATTATAAATTTTTTTACATTCTGCTTAAAAAACAACGCACGTAACTCTCGCGACCAAATCTTTTTGTTTTGTATGGCATCGTCTTGGCGACGAATTTATTGCCGACTGAATTTTAATTGTGTTTTAGGATAAGTTATTTTCTGTTTGTTGGTTTCTAAACTTTACAAACTTGGGTAGCAATTACTATTAATGTGAGATTTGTGCATATGAACGATTGAATATCGCGACTGGATGTCCGATATCTGAGAATGCGTACTTCTCTTTCAACATTAATTTTCAGGATATCAGCGTTCATGTGGTCGAATAAAAATTATTTATCAAATGGATTGGTATTTCGAGACACTCTCAAAATTATTTGGGATCCACTATCATATCATTCGTTTATTTTTTTATTCATGTTTTTCTCAAGAATCACCCTCGTTATATTTAGTGTACCTTCGCAAAAGAAAACTCTTTGGTGTCATCGTTCCTATTAGTGTAATTGAAATATATGGAAACCTCGCAAGTGGCGTTGTGATGCGAATATTTGATACTAGGTCAGCAGCATTACAAAGAGTGCTATTTATGAATGCTGAAAGTACATGACATTACTAAACATTTTGCCAATATATGATGTTTTCTGCCCGATTTAAACTAACTCGCACGCAAACCAAGGCATGTCGACATTTAAAAATTACTTGTCTTTGGGTAAGCTCTGAAATAGTATAATATAAATGTAAATGAGAAATTAGGTCACGCTAGCTCACGAAACGGAGGAGGATTTTCTTGTGTAATATTTCGGAGAAAAAAGTTTGAAAGGAAAGTAGGTCAACCTATCTCCTAAAACACGGGAGTATCCTGCGTAATATTTCGGAGGGAACGTAGGTTAACCTATCTTTTAAAACAGCGGGTGGCGACTTTCAAAGTGGTTCAAAATCACAAATTAATAATTATCAGATTAGGTTTAGGGATAAATCGAAAAGTTGAATTTCCAGCGCACCTAACCCTAATTAGTTTTGCTATTTATATTTGGGGGGGGGGTTATTTTGCACGGGATTTGTACAAACGATCCACCCTGTAACTAATATGGTTTCCAGCCTGCCTCGTGTCTGTTAGATGGAAGGAGTAACAAATGTGAAAGTCTTTGCTGTTTACCGAGTAAGCAACTGACACCGTGATACATTGCATGAAAGTTTTGTCCGCGGCAGGTGTTAGCAGATGTCATTTCGTTGCCGATGAATTCGCTTGTTTTAATTAAACATGAATTCGCTTAAAGGGAACTCGGAAAAGGCTTCTCTTTAATTCATAATATTAACCGGAGGAGCGCTTTTTCGAGTATCTATGCCGTTTTAAATGGGTTATATGAAAGGCTAGGGCACCTAACTTGTTAAAATCGGCAAAAGCACTTTCGCACTTTTTTTTTCGACTGCGAAGCACTTTCGCACTCATAATTTGCTTAGAGTTAACACTGCTGTTAAGTCTAATTCAATTGCTGAACTGTTAGACTGCTT